TTATTTTCAAGCACCTCCCTCACTCTACGGAAAAAATCCTGAATACGCCAATTAATATCGTTATACTAATTATTGCATATGTGGTACGCGTAGATAAATGTATACATGAGTTAGGTAGGTCATTTGTTAATAATAAATCACAGTTTTACATTAGCGACGATTGTCTGTTGACATGAATGTATACTACGCAATACAATAAAAATGTTCACTATAATTAATCGTATAATATTATGGGGCAGAAAGAATTTATTCAGCAAATATTTCATAACAGGCAACCAATTCATCACGACTAATACGGATCGTTCATAGATATAGAGTATAGATGACAGATGTAATGATATAGATGTATATATAGATGTGATGATTGTCATATTATAAAATATGTGCTGTTTTTCTGTACGTATGAGAAATTTCAAGAATAATAAAAAAAAATCCTGTTTTAACTTTGTAGCGTATACACATTAATTAATGCCAGTGGAAATTCGAATGTATTGTTTTCTTTAATATAAGCTCCACTGCGACGATTCGTACTAAATGTTACGTGATTTCTGGAAAGTTGGTTTTTATATTAAATCCTACAACCTAGAAGTAAATGCAAGCACAAAGTGTGAGTGAAACACCTTAAGTTTATAAAGAACTAAGAACAACTGTGTCCATTGTTGTTTATAGCATATTGTAAAAATTTATATATAATATTAAATATTGTAAAAACTTTTGTTTTTACTTTAAATTTGAGGTTTTAATGAAACGAAACTAAACTATATGCAACAAAATTAAGCATAACATCTGATTTGTAATTTATTTAATATACAAAAAGTAATTTATTTTCGTAGGAAAACATCAATGCATTTATATCGTTTATAAATTTGGTCTCATATTTTATAATTAAAATTTAAGTACATATATTTTATCAAAATAAATTACATTTATTTCAAAAACATAACCAGCACAGTTAGTACTATTATCGATTTCTTTGTAATTTGATTTTTATAATAATTTGATGCATTGATAAATTATCGTAATAGGAAAACTTAACGATCTTATAAGTTAAGACATCAAAATTCATAATATATATTTTATAGTATTTAGTTGTTAGACTGTGTGAGATTGATTATGAATAAAACATTCTGCGTTCAAAAAACCATTTGATAAGAACAAATTTTATAAACCAACCAAATGTTTAGAATTTTCTAATGGAAATAATTTTTTTAATACAGAAATGTTGTTGGGATCTTACAGGAGCGTAAAGTGAAAATAAAAATTTTTTCACTCAATGATTTTTTAACTGTAAATAATTTAAGGATCTACGCATGAAAATAATTGCATACCCGTGACATATATATTTGAAAATGCGGTCTATGAGAAGATAATTAAAAGAGCATATAGAAATATTCATGTCAAAGAAAACTCGTAATTATGCGAGATATATCTTTTATCATTTTCTAGCAGTAGTGATTTGAGAACATATATGCGTAACTACTCTAGGGAAAAAACCATATCCATGATGTGAGTGTGTGCTTATATATTTTGTCATTATTAAAACTAGTCAGTGGAAATTACATGTGCAGGTAGGTTATGATACTTGTATTGAGAAAAAACTTTTTCTTGTAAGGTGTGTTTGAACATATCTTCTCAAAAAAGTGAGTTAAAATTATATAAAATATGAGTATAGGAGTATATTTACATCGGGGGGAAACATGTAACCATGTGATGTTCATCCAAGGACATTTTCTCAATGAAATAATCTAAATGTGGACGCATAAAGAATCCATTGAGCAAAATAAAAAAAATAAAAAAAACTAATATTAAAATAAATATTAATTTGCATTTCATTGTCCACGTCAATTTGATAATTATCGGTGATTTGCACGGTTAAAGAGTTTAATATTTCGTTTCCTTTTGTTATTAAATATTAGTATGAGAAAACAATCTAAATGGATATATATATATATATTCAGTTATATCAGTTATAACTGTTAATTTAATTATTTCGTTTACACTTTTTTTTAATTTTTAATATTTGTGAATTCCAAATATTGATTTTCTTGTTGGGAAAATTGATAAATTATTGAAAATTGATTATTTTTCTTAGAAACAGAGATACTTATTTTATTATTACTTTCTATCTTATTTATTATTGAAGTATATACTAATACGGTAGTATTACTCACGAATGTCTCACCAACCTTCTTCCTCTAAATAATATTTACCAATTTTTTACTATAAATATATTAAAAAACTTAGAAGAAACTGTAAAAGTAATGTATTGACAATTCCGTTCCCGACTTGAACTAACAAAAGTCAATCATACAAAAGTATGATTCCTGTAAACATAAATAAATAAACTTTTATAAATAAATGTTGTTATAAATAATAATAAATTATTAAAATATAACAATAGTGCAAATATAATTCGAATAAAATATAAAACATTTAACTTCTACATCTTATTCATAAAACTGTTCAATATCTACTGATATGTTTCTTTATCTAGGGATCACTTTTGGTTCATAATTGTGGATAAAAATTAAAAAAATGCATCGCTTCTGTGGAATAAATTAGGACACCTATGAAAACTGCATGATTCTGGGCCTATTCCTATCTTAGCTTATTTTTAAAGCCACATTGGTTTTGATCTAAGGATTGGTAGGTAATTTTTGTTTATTTTCAATATCGCCGAATTTTATTGATACAGTGTAAAAACATAAAAGGGCTTGCCAATAAAAGGGTTTGCCGTAATTCATCTGGTATCCTAGTAGTTAGCTGTAATAATGTAGTGTAGGACCTCATAGAGTACAAATAATAACCTTTTTGCTTTGATCTTTGCATAATTGCTCGTCCTAAATCGGGTTTTGGATAAGAAGTTTATGTTCAGAAATTGTTGTTGATGAAGATACCTAAAACAATTTTCTCAAATGTATATATTACATTCTCAACAAAACAGTATGAGATTGCGTAGGCTATTATAACTTTAAGTTGTATTTCTTTTCTCATAAATTTTGTCTTTCAGTCGAATACAATTTAATTTAGACTTCTAAAAAAAATAAAATCCTAGACAATTTGAAAATATAAAGATACATTTATTTATAACATTGTATATTCAATCAGTGATCATTCTAAAAGTAATACCATTATTATGGTATGGTTGGCTTTATGTTACATAGTCGTATACATGTTATTGTTCAAAAAACCTATTAAGATATTAATCAGTTAAAATTTTGATTATATTTATATTATATAATACTTTTTAAACTTGAACTTTTGGTAGACAATCACTGTTTTTAATATTCTTAATTAGCTTGATGTGATTTTCTATTGTCTTAGCGCTTGATCGATTTTTAGTAGTCTCTTAAAACCCGGTGTATACTAGTTGCGGTTAAAATCAAAAATTATGTACTAGTTGCGATCACTCAAAATATATATCTAATATATATGGTATATACCATGCAATTTTATTTACAAAAAATTTTCAACATTTTCCTTTCCGTTTTATAAACAGACTTAAGACTGTCTACACTATTTTTATTGTGTAGGTTCAAAATCACTGAAGACTCTATTTGGGATATAGTCAGATAAACAACCTTTGAGGTGGTCTAATACAGTTTTTTACGTATTACAAGCAGGGGCGGATCTAGGGGGGGGGGTTCAGGGGGGTCAGCTAACCAACAATTAATATTTGTTGATAAAATTGGCCCCTTGGAATTTTTTTTCTCTTTTTAGACCTTAATTTGGACTCTTGAACAGTTGGCCCATCGAAGTTACTTGAAAAGTGAATGCCATATATATTCTAAATTTAAAATTTTTCAATTCATTTATAATTTATATTTTAAATTCTATCGTTTTAGTAAAAAATTAGGTAAATCATATTTTATTCCGTACGTTTGTTGCGCTGATAAAATTAGATTATATTTATTAATCGTAAATATGTCATTATCGGTGGTATCACTAATTCTAAAATGTAATATAAATATACTTATAAACTTTTATGAGCATATTGTAATTTTTTTTTTACAAGGTATTCATTTTTAATTCAATTTCATCCCTAATAAATGGCCTCTTGAAATGGTTTGACCCACAGTTCCTCGACTCTGTATCCGCCCCTGATTACAAGGCAATTTACTAGACAATAACGAAAAAAACAAAGGTACTTATGAGCTGCTTTTGTTTTTATATCCATGTATCACAAAAAATTTTTTAAAAAGAAAATGGCAACTTGAAAAAGTACCGTCCATAAAAATTGAATCACATTGTTTTAAAAAATTAAGGTTTATCTGATTCGTAAGACATATTATATTGTTCTGAACATCGTTTATAAAAATACTATTTTCATTATTTTTGGTTTGTATTTTATTAATTACGTTAGGAAGCGTCAAATGTAATTGTGAAAAGTCACGGGGCAACTTCGGGTGAACATTCATTCTTGCAGTGCAGTGGCGTATTTACGAGGGGGGGGGGGTCCCGGGTCTCGACCCCCCCTAGAAAAAAATTTAAAAAGTTAAAAAAACTTGGTACGTAGGTACCGAGAAAGAGAATATTAATTTTATATTATGGGTTTTTACTTTGGTTTAACTTTTGGTTATTTTTGTCGCGTTGTCGCCGTCCGACGACGACAATTACGACGAAAACGAGTCCGACGTAACATAATAATAATTATTATATGATTATATTAGTAGGTACGCCGACTGTTATCGACATATTATAGTAGGCATCTGGCATTCTGTGTAATGCGTTCGTTCGGTCGTAATAATTTGCAGTTTGCTATACGGCATTGACATAAAATTTGCTTAATTCGCTACATGAATACCGAAACACTTAACATAACAGTAAGGACGTAAGGTAATTGCTAATTTATAATTTCAAATTTAATTTATAAATATTATTATTTATTGTTTGATGTAACGTGTAAAATGAAAATATTAAAATGATATTATTATGTATACACTAGGTACCTATACATAATATTAATGTATTTTATATATTATTCTAAATAGATCACAATTATGACTTCTAAAAAGAAACTCAATATTCAGTCTTTTTTCAAACCTCAAAAAGTTGATAATATACAAAATAACACAGATTCAGTAGTTTCAGCATCAGACACTGATATCCCTACGTCGTCCACATCCCATATAAATAGACACGATATTTTCAATTACGTTAAAAGAGTATTGACTCAAAATGAAATACATGATATACTAAATGCAATTTGGATTCCCGATGTAAATTATAATTTTCCTGTGAAAGTATTTTTTGTTGGAAAAGATAAAACTGCTAGGTACTTGAAGTTCCAATATAAATGGTTTGCTAGATTTCCTTGGTTAGTGTATTCTGAAATAGACAATGGAGCGTATTGTAAATTTTGTGTAGCTTTTTCAACAAATTATGCTGGGATTAATGATCAAAAATTAGAATTATTAGTTACAAAAAAATATGACAACTGGAGACATGCATTAGAATATTTCAAAAATCACTCGCAACTAGAATACCATAAAAAATGTTTATTAGATTCAGAAAACTTTTTAAATATTATTAAAAATCCCACTTTATCAGTAGACAAACAAATTGATATTGGAAGGAAAAAAGAAATAATACAAAATCGTAAAAATATCATTCCTGTTATTGAGGCAATTATTTTGTGTGGTCGGCAAAATATGGCACTACGAGGGCATCGTGACTTTGGGAACATTTTCAAAGCATGCTCAGATGACAAACAAAATAATGATGGTAATTTTAGGGCGATTCTTCGCTATAGGGCCCAAGGCGATAGTGATATGAGATCATATCTTGAAAGTTCTGGTACCATTAAGTACACAAGTTCTACTAGTCAAAATGAAATAATCGATTCCTGTAATAAACTGTTATTGAACAAAATAGTTTCAAGAGTAAACGAAGCAAAATGTTTTACTGTTCTTGCTGACGAAACGGCTAATGTGTCGGGTATAGAACAGATATCTTTGTGTGTCAGATATATTGAATTAAGCACCCTTGAACTTCATGAAGATTTTTTGCAATTTGTTCCTGCTGTTGACATGACAGGGAAAGGATTGGCGAAATTAATAATTGATAATCTATAAAATTTTGGCATAGATACAACATACTTACGTGGTCAGGGGTATGATGGGGCAGCCTCTATGTCGGGAAAATTTAATGGCGTTCAAGCACATATTAAAGACACACACCCTTTAGCAATTTATGTACACTGTTCAGCACATGTGTTAAACCTGGTAGTATCTAAATCATGTAGCGCGACCCAAATAAGAGACTGTTTAGCAATTTTAGGGAAAGTCCGCGATTTCTTTATTTTTCCGAAAAGAAAATCAATTCTTCAATTTCATATTGAAAATTCATCAGAAACATCAATAAAAAAGTTATTGAAAAGAAGTTGCAAAACTAGATGGATAGAACGATTTCACGCAATAAACGATTTTCTAGAACTTTATGAGTACGTCATTGAAGCATTGGATACAATTTCGGAATGGGACGATAACGATACTTCGAATAAAGCAAGACGTCTTAGAAGTTCTATTTTAGGTATAGAGTTTGTAATATCATTATTCGTACTAAACAAAGGTTTTAGTATAGGTTTACCACTTTCAAAGTTCCTACAAAAATCAAATATCGATCTTAAATCGGCTGTACAATTAGCAAATGATACACAAAAAGAATTACAAGAGGCTATGGCTATGTGTAACCAGTCAATTTATCCAAACATATTTAAACTTCTTCAAATCTTAGTCACGCTACCTGTTTCCTCTGCAACAAATGAAAGAACATTTTCAAATTTAAAAAGAATAAAAACGTATCTAAGAAATTCCATGTCAGAGGTAAATTATTATAAACTTAAAAAAATATTCTTGTTATTTACAAATTACAATTAAACACTTTGTTTATTTTTTTGTTTATAGGGAAGATTGAACGGTTTAGCGATGTTATCAATAAATAAAAACTATTCAATAAAACCGGAAGAAGTTATTGAAGAACTGGCGAGGAAAAAAAGACGTTTACCTTTTTTATTATAAAAAACTATTAATTTGTATTAATAAATAATAATAGTAGTGAAATATACATAATTTAATATAAATAATATAGTTATTACATATTTACATCATAACTCGTATGTGTTTTTTTTATATTATAAATTTATAGGTACTTAATATTTAGACCCCCCCCCCCACAAAAAATTTGAAAATACGCCACTGTTGCAGTGTGTACATTTTTTCTAATCTATGTAACGCCATTTGATCCCAGTACACTGAGTACTGTACTTAACATCTCAGAATAAAAAATTTTGGAGGGATGCTCGCTCACTGCTCCACTGCCTTACGTTTAACACTGTAACTAACCTTTAGCCGTACCATTGCTTGGTGATCATTTAGTTTGTGATTATACAACTATTGCAGGGGCGTATACAAGGGGGGATGTGGGGGTCAGATCCCCCCCATAGGTCTTTTAAAAATTGTATAAAATAGTGTTCTTAATGTAAGGAAATTATAAGGAAACAAAAAATTATTTCAATTCAAGGATTTATTGTAAATTATTATTATGACACATTCAATATATATATATATATATTATTATTATTTATTATTTAAATGTGCAAGTACTTAGGTTTAGGAATTTTTCTTCCATAATAATTTGTTTGTAACTGATCCCCCCCCATACAAAATTTATATGTACGCCATTGTACTCATAGGCGAAACTACAGGTCAGGTCAGTCCAGCCATGGTCTGACCTAATACTAACTAAAAATATGTACTCGTATATATTATATATTTTAATAATTATTTAGGCATTATAAATAATATATTTATACATGTAAACGTATATATAATTTTTATCAGTTTTTTTCTCAACGATGTTTTATTATGGCCTAGAGATGACCCTATTGCTTGTCGTTCTATTAATACTCGCATACATATTATAATTTACGCTCCTGATCTTGGGGTTTTGTGGTAATCAACAGTCAAGCAAGCGTAGTCAAAATTGCGGGTTTTTGTAAACGTGTGTATGTGTGTGTAATACAATATTATTGTTAAGACATTTAACGTGTCAAAGACGTTCGATCGTCAGTAATAGAATAAAGCGATTTTATTTTATTCGCATTTGTACGTGAGGTACGTTTCACAATATCTTTTTCATACCTTTCAACGTAATACCAACTTATTAAAAATGTTCTGTCAATATTTCGTTTGGTTTGCAATATATTTCTCAAATATTAATTTAGCTTTTCTACTGCCCGTCAATATTTTTTTTTACTTTATTTTTTACCACCCAGTTGTCATCAGATATAGATTTTTATCTTTAAAGTATTGCTCGCGAATACCGTTCATTTCAGATCGAGTCCCCGTACAGGTGATTTTATATTATAAATATAATCATTTTTATAGAAATAAAAATTATAAAGCACGGATACAAAATATATCATAAAATAAAAGTACATTTTCATGAAATTACTACGTATAGTGATGAGGTACGACAACACGGATTAATAAAAAGCATAATAGTTTACTCTAAGATCGGCAGTATTCGAAAGTTTTACATTTCGTGTTATGTAAGAACATAATGATATTATGAAATCATATCGTATTACATGGCATTAATGGAAATTATTTATGATTAATTAAAAATGCATACCATAAATTATAAAATTTATATCGTGACCACTTAACCGATGTTCACATTTATGTATTAATATATTTTTAAAATGTTATTTTAAGTTTTCGAAATAGTAATGTTCAATATTTTTATTATATATCTCCGATTTTTGTTAAAAATACAATGAGAATGAAATATAATACTATACTAATATGATTCAAAACATAGAAGTTTAATTTTTAAAGTTTATGTTATACTTTTAGTTACTAAAATTTAGTATACAATTGTAGTTTATCACGGATCTTTTCTTGCCTTCAATCTGAACGTTTTCTCTTGATCTGAGTATTTTCAAAATACTCCGAAAATTATTTAAAAAAAATTAAATAATTTTGACAACTTTGTGTTTGTAAACTTACAGATAGACATTTCTACGATTCTGAAACTCACACTTCAATTTAATTTTAAACACTACTCGAAAAATATTTGTTTAAAGTTTAAAATTATTATTTTTAGTTTAACAAAGTAAATTCGTGCTTTACGTGCTTTCGATAAGGTTTTTTGCAATATTTTAATGAACGAAGATTTTAATTGATTGAATTTTCCATTGTAAGAATTCAGATATTCATTTATTTATACTTTATTGTCACATTAGTGAATGCTGAATAAATACAAATAAAGTATGTAGTTATAACTTTATAAAGTACGCTCATGCATACTCTCAAAATTGTACCTAGTTAATCCGAGTTGAACAAGTAAATAATTTATCAAGAAATGTAAGAAATTGATTTAGACACTGATTTGAATGTTCAACAAAATATTCTAATTATAATTGGTTTGAACACATTATAACATAAATATATTTGTAAAAAGATTTATTCTTTGAAGTGTAAAAAAATCTCTTTTTGACATATAAGCTACTTTATCATATTCTTTATCCCTCAGTGATTACACATAGAATAATAAAGTTTTATTGAATTTCCAAAAATCATTGTTGGTAATAACATAAATATATTTATATTTATCTACTAAAAGAGAAAAATGTTTATTATATTATATTTTTACTTTTAAATCTTAATACTGTAAAACATTGACTGACATTGTAGAAATGGAATTTGAAATAAGCTTTTATTTTATATAACATTTCTTAATTGACACATGAGTCATAAATAATTGTATTGAGACATAAATTGAATTTGTATTATGTAAATTATATGTAATAATTTTCATATTCCTAATGAAATCATTGTAATACATTCAATTTACAATAAAATAAAATGGTTAATTTTGTTCAATATACTATAAAAAAAATATTAAAAAAATGTTCAACGTATACCATATTAACTGATAGGAAAATAAACTAGTAAGATTAAAATACTTTTAGTAAAGTAATTGAATTTTTAACTATAATATTAATTTTATTTTGTTTATTTTAAAGTAATGTAGGCATTTAAAATAAATGTTTTTTTTTTTTTTTTTTTTTTTATTTAAAAAATCATTATCATAAGGTATATTTTGAGATAGCTTGCAGAATTTGTATAGGTTTGTTGTAGCGTTTACAAGTTAAGCTATTTTGATATTTCATTGTATCTTAGATTTTTCTAAGTATAGTTAAAAAAGTAATAAATTGGTCGTTTGAGTATTTATGGAAAATATATAAAACTAATAACCATCGAAAAATGTATTAGAAAATCAAAAATTTGCTTTAAAATAGTACTACAAAAAGTTTATTAAAGTGTAATGACGAAAATGTAATTATATATCAATGTACAGAAGAAGAATTCATCCGTGTAACATGTGTCAAATTATATTTTGTATGAAACTAAAGAATATTTTTGTTTCATATTTTGAGCACATATTTGATTCCGTAGTGGAAAATATACTCAGAACTCATTCACTATAGAAGCATGCGTATGCGTACTATTATAGGTTTGGCACATACATATTTTGGAGAACATTTATATTTGTACAACACGAGTTTGAAAAGTTTTTATACGAGTGTATGAATAAATCACCCTGGAATAGTTTTGTTTGTGCAAGCTTCTCATATTTGTGTAATAATTACTGGTTTTGTAAAGCTGGTATAACTATTTGTAAGTGCAGCACGCGTTGTACGAAGGCATATGATGGAGAATTATCGATGGTTTTTATACATGACACCAATAAAATCTATGTTTTACTAAATCGTTTCTGAATACATTTCTGAATAAAAAATTCTGAACAATTTAATCACTCATAGATACAAAAAATGATCACAACATACAATCACAAACTCACAAAAATCGTACAAGATCTATTTGTAGTGTTTTTATGTTTTAATCGTTATCAATTGATTAAATATGTCCCGTACAAAATTAATTTATATTGAAACTAATAAAAGGTATGTAGATAGTTCATAATTGATACATTTTTATCGATTTAAATAAATATTTGTACGATCAGTTTCACGTTTTGTATGAAGCGGAATTGACAAGAGTGACGAAATAGATTTAAAAATGGATTTTATTGAATCGTACCAATACATTAATAAAAAGTAAATACCGGTTCTGATGTCATATAAACATTCACTGATCGCAAAAGAATCAATATATCTTGTTCACTCAGTGAAGACCCATTGACCTTATTGATCTTAACCTCGCAAGTGTAAAACCGCGGAGTACTGAAAAAAAGAAAACGGATATAGTATTTTCAAAAGGCTTATCCTTTCATTTGAATTATCACTGTAATGTGATAAAAGAAAACAACCTAGTTTTTAATTCTTAATTTCTTAAATAAACATACCATCTAGTGGTCGAAAACAGACACCGGAAAAAAAATAACTATATTTTTCTCTAGAAGTTCATCCATGAACCTGCAGTGGTTGTTTCATTAATCTGTTTATTCAAAGTAAAGTGGATTATGGAAAAAATTATAAAAACAAACTTTTGTAGGTAATACCTTACGATTTTAAGTTGAAAAAATAATAAAATAATAATATATGTATATTATAATTATATTGTTTGTTGTTAATGTTGTCTAAGGTGATATGCAATTTATACTTAATTCTTTTTTTTACATACTTTATGTATCAAGTGGCTATAAATGGTCGATTGTATGAAATTTTTCAGTAATTTACAATAGAACTTGAATAATATTATAAACAGTATTTTTAAATAATATTAATGAAGAATGTAGTATTAAAATGAAGTATTCAATAATAAAATCGACTTTAGTAAAACAAAAAAAATATCATAAAAATCAATCAGCTAGACACAAATATCACACCGTATTTTCGTCTTTTGTCATTTCACTGATAGAAATAATTTTTATTCTTTAAAGAATATATAACGTGTATCATATTATCTACTTATTATTTTCATAACATACAGTTGAAATCGATAACCAACTCGATTTTTATAATTTCGCTAAATTCAATTACGAACATGATTGGGTTTTCAATAATTATATAAGTAAAATTATACATCAACAAAAAGATACAAATACATACGTATTGGAATTATATCCCATTAAATTACGATTTTTTTTGTTTTAAACATATTTAAAAATCCTAACTGAAAGCTCATATCGTGCAATGAGTTCGTGTGCCAAATGTTTAAAACCATAATTCGAAAGAAATCCTTATTGGTAAACCGCATTGGCACTCGGACCGGATGAAAGCAAATTCGACTACAGTTATGTGTGTTTGTGGATATTTTCACGCTAAGATGCCTTTACATCACATAACACGTAGTCAACACTGGAAGTTAACTGCATTTGTGCGATACACAAATACGTGTTCTGCGATTAGCGAGTTTGTACTGGAGAAAAACTTATTTGCGCGAGGTATGCCTGAACACATTATCCCGAAGTGGAGATTTGTCGACGGTTTACATACTGCGAAATCTAAAAACATGATTTAATTAAACTGTTTGTAATAAACACAATTACATGTTTTAATGCATTTATTTATAGTGCTTTTGCTGTTTAAATTTCAATAATAATATGAAGCAATATTAATTAAATTAAATGCGCTAAACATTTTTGGTAAGAATTATTTGCGTTGATGTTTCATCATGTTACGAAAAAGTAGGTTATTAATAAATAATTTACAAATCGATCGAATTATATAATCGGCTGCATAATTTACATATAAAAAAAAAAAAATCATTTAAACTTTATAATTTCAATACCAACAACTGCTCTTTTGCGTACTATATTATAATTTTACCTTAAATTTTAAAATCATGGTTCACGTTTTACAAGAAAACGCGTGTTTATTTATTTGTACATTTATTTTTTCGTTGATAAAATAAATATAAAGTTTAGTGTTTTAACATCTATAGGTTGAATAAAATTTGCAGTTATTAAGATTGTTATTAGATATTTATTTAACCTTAACCTTTGCTCATAATTGTTTTGGAATGCGGTGAATCTTTATTGTTTTCACACATGTGCAAATGATACAACTAAAATACATAAGTTCTATAAACTTACACAATGTTCGAAGTACTACTCATTAACTGTGTCGAAGCGATAGAAACAAGTTAAAATATACTGTCTCATCGGTTTATTCAAATTTTGTATATTAATAACTAAATTTGTTTATTTAAATAATAATGATTGCTTATTTTTAAAATATAACATCGAAAAATCTTTAAATCATGCGATAAAATAATATTGTATTGAAACTTATACAGCAATTATATATTTTCATCGATTTTGCTGATAATTTCACATTTTTTTTTTTTGTTTCTTTAAATAATTAGTGAGAATTGATTTGCTACAGATATTATTTTCTTTTCATAACATTTATTGGGTAGTTTTTAAGACTGTTGAAAAATTACTCCTGTGACTCGTTTTAAGACGTATTTAATAAATTTTCAGCTCTCGAAAATATGTGAAAAACTTAAAAAATACAGGTTACGGGTGAAAAATGTACTTCGTGATAAAATTATATCACACTCACTCGGGCTGCGAAATGAATAAAATAAAAAAAATTAATATGTTGGACAAGATTATTATTAAACATTGTATTATAGTTTATAAAGTACATATAAACACTTAACATATAAAAATACGAATTCTGATTATTCTGATTATGATACGTACCATCGAAAACAATTATACAAATTAATGCGCTTGCACCTGTACAATATACATTCCTTTATCGAAATTCTTGCCGGCCAACTAATTGCTAGCACGATTTAATAGCTCATAATAATAATGTAATTTTTGTCTCAATTGTACGCATCGTGTACGCGCACTTATACTTTGTGCTGTTAACGTACAGATTCGATATCATTAGAACATATTGATAATTGAATGTAGAACATTCGTTTATCATTTCCTACAAACATACCCTTTGAACCGTTGATGATAATTGCCTATCTCTTTTCTTTTAAAATGTGTATCAATTCACGCACACGTAACTCTCCTGTTTACGGACACAATAATTTCATTTGTTGCCAGTGATTCAGTCGAACAAAACTAAACGTCACGTTTCGTTGTCGTAATTCTCATAATATTTTTCTCAATGCTGCACAAGTGTGGTTTCCATTAATTGGATACGAATATCATTTCGAAAGGACTCGTGATACGTACGGTTTACTGGCTCGTTTTTAGCATGTAATTATTACCGTTTTTGGTCGTTTTTATAATTTCAATACATTTATATAAAAAAAAACGCGCGCTCGTGCGCGCGTGTAACATTCTTTAGCAAAGATGAAGAAAATAAAGCCTGAACATGTCTGCGGACTCGTACTTCTGACTTTACTTCTCGTTTTGGATACGGCTTCAACGCGTGAGTTCATATGATGTTTATTTTACTGTAGACAAGGATAGATATATTAAATATTTATAAATATATATTATGTACCTATATTCATATGACTTTATACTTATATCAACAAAAAATTAAATATATCTGATAAAAAAAAGCTTAAGGGATAAATGCCCCATTGCTCCTGCCCCAAAAAATTAGCTTTTGACTGTAGGTCATTTTGTCCACGAAATGAACGACTAAATTTGAATATATATATATTCATCACTGCAATGCATCTGATCATCGTATAATATTTATTCTTACACGTCTTCATGTCATAGATACAACGTTTACAATAACTCAGAGGTTGCGGTATAACTTCTATGCGCGTACTTATGTATCGAACATAGGTATGCGTAGACCTGTATTTCAAGGATTGCCCACAATACTTTTGAGTCCTATCTTAACAAAACGTGTAGGTATATTTAAAAAATTATAATGTACTCGTATGAATAATTAAATAAACACAACTTTAAATTTTTATTAAATATTGTGGTATATTAATCCCAATAAATATGTTTTCCTTGAACTCGTATATTTTTCTCAGGCGCTTTAAATTATTTATAATTTGCATTTTTATAAAGCCGTAGCCATTATATCATAAGAAGTTTTGGCTGCATCCAAATTGAGTCCCAAATTTAAAATTACTACACTAGTTGGCCCCGAATTATTTTAGGTACTACACTAATTAGGTCCGGAAGTTTATAAATACTACACTAGTTCCTGAATATTTTTCGGTAAATACTATATTATACTAACAATACTAACATTTTCCTTCCTATTTTAACAGACTTAGGACTGTCAATAATATATTTAGACCACAGGTATGGTTAAAAATGTTTTTATAGTATTTTTTCCTTTCATTTTTATTTATATTAGATAATGATTTTAATATTTTTAATATTTTTACCAATACAATTCTAATAATTTACATTTTAATGGAAAAAAAAACTAAAAAACAAAAAAAAAAAAACTATAAAAAACATTTTTATCCATACCTGTGGTCTAAATAAATCATTGACAGTCCTAGGTCTGTTAAAATAGGAAGGAAAAGGTTAGTATAATGTAGTACTTACCAAAAAATATTCAAGAACTAATGTGGTATTTATAAAAATCTGGGACCCAACTAATGTAGTACCTATAAGAATCCGGAACCCAACTAGTACACTAACTACCCACTATCTGCCCCTAGTACTCGGGATCCAACTCGGTTGCTCCGGAAGTTTTTACACGAATACGTAGTACATTTGGTATAATTTTTTCTACTACAAAGCATCATTTACTTTTTGCCAAATATTTTAAAATAAATTACATTTAATTTGAGTAACATCAGTTAAAATATGGACCATTTACTTAAATTGTAGGGCCCCATTCACAACATTTCGGGGGGGAGGGGTGTCCAGACACACTCATCACTCCCCATGCGCACGCCTATGGTATCAAACAAAGTTTATCCACGTTGAACATGTTTTCCATAAAAACATATTGTACCGTGCATGATTTTGGCACGTTATGAACGGCACAACAATAACTTCGACCCGATTATGAGTATTATGGACACGATATCGCACAAATATTTACTTTTCCGTCAATATTTTCTGTCCTGGAATTTGAATCAATACAAAATTATTGTGTCATCAATGTCTGAACAGCATGAATAAATCCAACAACTTAAAATTCATATCGACTCACGGCTTGAGATTTTAATTAAATTTGAAACATAATTTTTACACCAACTTTCGTGTAATCAAATGAAATTCATTTGTTAATGAAATCAAATTTAAAGTTGTTGGAAATGTCGAGTATATATCAACCATAACGTATTCGAATTGTACGTATTTGTGTTTGTTCATATAATTATGATTTTTCATAATACTAAAAATACATTAGACTTGGATCAGCCAGAACCAAAAGTTGCTGAAAAATATCGGATTTTATTAATAATAATTTTATTTTAGCGAAACATATTATGTATTGTAATAATTATAATCACATATATAATATGGTACGTTTACATATTAGTTGTATGTTTTACAACGATTCAAATTATAAACAAATTGTGATTTCATAGTATTCGATTATGAGTTATGATTTTGTCGAATATGACATTGAAGTTTTAATTTATTTAACGGGATGATTATGTATAATTTATCAATGTACTAATTGTTTATTAGCATACAAGATTTATTGGGTTTATGACTCATTTATACGAAATATAAACGTTAGGATTGTGACTTAATCGTTTAATTTGAGCTGGTTATATATTTATATATCTATACTACAAAACTTTGTTCAAGTATAATGTTCTTAATTGTTTAAGCTCAACGGCTATGATATTGTTTTTTATATATTTTTATATAGTAAAAATTCTAGGTCAGTCATACAGTCCGAGAACAACAAGTATTTCACCACCTTCAATAATTGCATAAGTATTAAACCATATCTTTTTACGAAAAATGTATATAAAAATATAAAAATTATATCTCATAGAAATATAATTAAATTATATAGTTTAAGTAAAAAATAATTAATAATTTACAAATATCAGATTAAAATTATATTATTTTCTATAACACTACATATAAGATGACTTTTGTATTGTAAAAATTGTTTTTAATTTGCTTTGAAGCCAAATCTGATATTAACATTTATGGAGTGTTTGACTTTACTGAATCCATTTGTCGATACTGAATAGGAAAGAAAATCGTGAAGGCATATTTACAGCATTTTTTATTTTTTTTTTAAAGAAATTTTATCCATCTTATTATGAATTTAAGGAAAATATGATATAAGTATTTTTAAAATTAACAATTTCATAATATACATATGCATTATAAGTATCAAATATATTTTAAATAAAGGAATTAAAAAATAAGCTTTGCAAATAAATGTATACAACAATTAAATTTATAAATTTGTTTTCAATATAAAAACTATCACTTGATATAAAAATTTTAAAAATTATTTAAATTACTAATACATCGACAATAGCAAGATGTATACATTATCCAAGTTCCTGACGAAAATATCCTAAGAATAAAAATTTACAACTATTGTTTGTGATGTCACTCATCAAGTTGTGATTTTTAAACGAAAACTGTTTAATTTTTGTCTCATGAGAGTTAATCTAATATTTAGGTACTAATAAACTGTTGGTTGTAAAATTATATTCATTTGATATTTATTTTTATGGTTTAATGTATTTGTATTATTAAACTAATTTAGTGGTCATCAGCATAATTCTGTTTTTAATTGGATTCCTTCAACATTATTTTAGAAAACCTATCCCCAATATTTTTATTCGATGTCTTTGCAATTTGAATACAAAAATTTTTTCATGAACTGCATTATAGTTGTTGTATTTTTATAAATCAATGAATTTACAATACCATTATACTATAAATTTTGTTCTACTAGTTAACATTGAGTGGATTTTATGATGTATATATTTTCATCATAATCATATCCATTTCGTTCTATACATATCTACTTCAGTTACAATTTATATTTTATTCTCAGTTGTATTGTATATAAATGGAAAATGAAAAAAATTGATTTTATTTACAATTTGGGTCATTTGGTTTCTTGTTATTAATTACCTTACCAGGTTGACTCATGATAATTCGAGATTGAAAAAGAACATAATAACGTGTATATGTATAGATATTATCAAGTTTATCTATATATATATATTTGTTGTTGTTCCACTTGTAATATAAATTAAATTTTGAATTCAATAAATAAAAAATTAAAATCAAGAAAAATTGTTGATATTTTATAGTTAAAAATGCATAAAACTTTCTATTTTAATTTTAAAGGCTTAATTTAAATTGGATACAATATTTTTGTATGATTATTTTTTATAGTCAAATAAAAAGTTTACTAGAAAGTTACAAAAAAGTTTTATAAGCATTACAAAATTAAATTTTGACGAAATCGAAAATGTAATTAAGCGATATTCGTTATTTAGTTGTCATTCTATGAATATTAATCGTATCGAATCGAAAAGTTTACTGAGTATTTTTATTAGCATTTAAAAACGTTTAATATTTTTTAATTATTTTAATAAACAAAGTTTGTGTTGTTTACAGGAACTTTAAATTTTCGAAACTTTTTTTTGTTGCGAAAGTTAGAACATAAAAATATCAAGCTACCGTATTAAAGAATTTGGTTTTAATACTATTATATTAACCATATTTAAAAATATAATCTGATATATCTGATTATTTTCACTCAGAATTGTTTTTTCTGAGAGCAATGGTATATCGGTTTCGAGTTTAAAAATAACCTAATAGAAACATCGTTCACTCATCCTTGTATCTCACCCGATTGTGAAGTTTCACTCAACCTTTAAAATTAATACCGACACCTTAGTTCTACTTTTCCAATTTGATTATTGCCTAAAAATATATACCTTGTATTAACCGATATTTTGAGCTTGAAAATCGTATGTATTTAATGTATATGATGTTTCAATTTATTAATTTTCATCTGTAACCAAGATTTTTTTTTTTTCAGGTGGAACTAATAAACTCAACACTTGTTCGAGATCAGCTTGTTTCGGTAAGCACACCACAAGTCATATAAATTCCTACAGTTTATGTCTTGTCGACTTTTCATTATATTTTCGTTTTTTTTACCATAGATAATGGAAAATTTAAATTCCAACCCGATATTGTTTACGTGTATAAGCACTCGATACGTTCACAAACCACGTTCGATAAGTCCAAGAATACAGCTTCAATTGCTGAATTCAATTTTAAAGTGCATATACGCATTAAAGACTGCGATGGTTTTATGTTTGTAAGTATAATTTCATGTAATTTCCAAAGTAAATTGGTTAAAACAATTACCTAATCATACGTGTAGATAACCGATACGCGCATTCATAAAGGAGTAAAGACAAGGAACTTAAACACTGCCACTGTTGATGAGACAAACTATATGAACTCAAATGACAAAGTAGTATACGATGAGTTGGAAAAAAATATGTTGAGGTTGGTATATATCTTTATAAAAATATTAATGTGTCATTACCTATAATATATTATAAAATATTATAATCAGTGATGTTCCCATCAATTTTGTTGAGAGTATACTACGCCGAAGAATTTTTGAATATGAACATTTTTATAATTTAGATGGTGATAGTGTCTGTGAAATAGAGTTGTAAATATTAACAAAAACTTGAAATTTTTATTTTTCACAGAAATAGAAATTAAAATTATTTAAATAAGTTGATTCCATTGTAAATACATTGTATACTGTCATTAATTACTTCATAGTTATACATCAATCGTCTGAGGAAAAACTGAATATCTATTATAAGATAAGGCCAAAATTAAAAATCGAAAAAACTAATAACATTTAATACTTCTTGGCGAAGTGCTTGAGATCTGAGAGTATATGTAATATACCCATGACTTTTCAAAATAATGTTGAAAATATACGGCGTATATGTGTTATACCCTATGGAAACACCACTGATTATAATATAATTATAAGACGTGTCATAATGACTTTAGGTCTAATAACTTTAATACCTACTGATATTAATTCTAGTCTCGATTTATAATTACAAAATATTAGTATACTGAAATTTTAATAATTAATTTGTAATTTTTGAACCTGCAAGTGACAAGTTTTTAAAATATAAAGAAAAAAAATTACATTTTTTATTATTTATATTGGGGTATTTTTATCATTTATAATGATTGTAATAAACTAATAATTTTACAACTTTATTTTTAATTTTATGTATTTTATTTGATTATAATTTTTGATTTATATAAAAAAAATTACTAAGTAGAAAGAAGATGTATTATTTTTGATAGCTATAAATGATATATGTATAATAAATGCATATAAATGTATAATATTTATTAATAATCAAAATTTAGTCAATTTACTAATAATAATTACTCTGTACTCTAATGTTAGATGTTTAACGTGCCACTTATATTTACATTTATATCTATATTTAGAATTGTTTTGCAATATTCAAAATGTTATGTAGATGTTAATGTTATTAGTATTTTACTACCAACTAGTAATTAATTTTGTTGTAGACTAAAAATAAATCATTGTAGAAATTATGTAAATAATACAAGACGATATTATAATGGGAAAAAATATTACTATACCCGACAAAAATAAACTTAATAATTTATTATAGCTTATAACGAATAATTTTGTCAAAAATAATTTGATCGTAACGACATAATATTTATAGTCAAAAATATTAAATAATATTAAATATTTATTAAATATTGATTCATTATATTATAACGAAAAAGTAAAAAAAGGATTTTATTTTCAGATTTTCATTCCATGATGGTCATATAAGCACAGTTTGTCCCGAGGAAAATGAACCCGTGTGGGCTTTGAACATGAAAAAAGCTGTACTCTCCACGTTCCAGAATCGTATGGAACGATTTGATATTCATCACACGGTCGCAGAGGTGGGTTTCGGTATCATAATGTTTATATTTAGCTGTAATTTATGATCTGAATGAATCTTGATTACTTCGCTAGAAATGCTTCAAATTTTGTTTCTTTTTTGTAAAATAACATAGGTAGAACATGGGTAGACAATCGTCCTCTCATGAAAGTGATGTATACTAGTTTATATATTATACTATAGTATGTATATATACATTTTATGCCGTTTGTAATCGGTAACTTTTAAATTTTATTCAACAATGCTTAGTCGGGAAATCGTAGCAATATTTTGAGGATTGCAAAAATAATTTTTACTCATATTTAAATTTGTATAGAGATTTTATCATTTTATAAATATTTTATTTCTTTAATAACGGAAATAGTTTAAAATTTAATATAAAATAAAAATAGAAGATTTTTAGTGTTAGTGTTTTCTAAGTCAGTCTCAATTCGTACAAATAGGGTTGACAAAGAAAATATGTCATATTTGACGTGAAAATTAAGAACACTGCCATTAAGAGTCGGCCTAAGCTCAGCTTTTAGTTCTAATTTTTTTTTTTTTTTTTTTCAGAGAGATATTAATGGATTTTGTCCCACAGCATATACATTTTTAAAATCAAACGGTACACAAATGATAGTAGATAAAGTAAAGGATATTTCAGAATGTACAGAGAGGTATCATATGCATTCTATAATTCCAACTTCATCGTATGTTTTTCAAAGCGTAAGTCAACGAATAACTTATTTCAATAAATTAAAAATTATAATCGCAAAATTATTAACAAACGTATCGACGAGGAAAACTAATTTATTTCCCGTTTCATTTTTTCGATAGGTAGGTTGGCTAAATTACAGAGTAATTCAAAACGTGACGTTTGACAATTTTTTTTTAGTAAACTATATTTCGTAACTAAAAAATTCAAATTATTATCTTTACGATTGTTATAATATAATGAAAAATATAATTAATGTCTGTTTTGTTGTATTTTATAAAAGGTTAAAAGCATTAAGTGTCGTGGTAATGAATGTCATAACATCGGCGTCTATAATATAATCGTACTTTCGAGTTAAATAAAACATACTATTCCTAAACAATGTACTGTATTTGCGAGTATACCATTTGGGAATTTATATCTAAAATTAATGAAATTCTGGAAATCTGTGCTATACAATATTCTATAACATACAAATGTACCTGCAGTATAACAGAAAAAAAATAGTAACAAAAAATCAAAAAATCAAAAACGATTAAAAAATGTTTATTTTTATATTATAATTAATGTGGTACTAAAAAAAAAAAAACTAATTGCTGTATACCAAACAGAAAATGAAGTTAATATCCAGTGTATTATAAGGAATTACGTATTCAAATTGTTACTAATTATGCATTATAAGTACATAAAGCTGTGTCGAATACTATATAGTATGTTTACCAAACGTAATGAATACATAATCTGTGCGAGTAATGTACTACTTGGAGTTTATATTTACAGGTCAAACAAAAGTCAATAAAGGTTTTGTTTGAATTTAAGTATTTCTATTATTTGCTGGTCTATTACATAGAAATCACTGTGTTATTTATTATTTTAAACCTAAAATGTTTTAAATAATTTTAAATAATTTTGTAATACTTCCTATTTAATAAATCAAATAAACCATTTACAATGTCGGACATTCTTGACATAATATATATATATAGTCCTTTATGATAGTTATTAAGTATATTAAATAATTATAAAAAAAATATTTGACTAGGTAATCAATTATATAAATTAATTATTTTCACACCCAAGAATATGTCATTTGTAATAATTTTTATGGTAAAAATATTTATCGTTAATTACTATTATATTTTTCAATTAGAAATATCATAAATGGTCTCCAGTGAAATCGCTGTTTGTTTGTTTTTACTATATTGATCATCATGTGATTGTAAAAATCGATTGTCAAGAAAAACACTCATTTCATCCGTTTGCTAGCAATGAAACAAATAGCGCGAGAACAAAAATATTTCAAACGATTGAATTGGTCGGAGAAGATTCTGCGTCATATTCTCATCATCCCAATAGTATGATATTAATTATTATTAACAATAAATATATATTATTTGTATTGTACGAGTTTATTAAAAAATGTAATGTAAACATTGTTTTCATAAAGATAAAACTAATCAATACATTTAAATTAGTAAACTGTTAAAAAATTGCTGGATAGAATTGGTTTTAATGTAGGTTTATATTCTAACAGATTATGAAATTACATCCAGACAGTCTTTATTGTATAATCATAAGCTAATTAATAATCCAGATTCATTGGATGAAACGGAAACTGTTGAACTAATTAAAAAGTTATGCATAATGAGTGAAGTACGTAAAAACTATTCTGGTATTAAAATATATTTTAATCTTTAATTTTCTCTCTTAGGGACAATTTAACCCGGATTTTCCTAGTGAATTTTATAATGTCATTCAAGCTGCTAGAAAATTAACGTATGATACCTTAAGAAATCTTTATAAGCTTTCACAAAACGATGTGTGTTCTTCTGCAACGTAAGTTTTAATTTTAATGTAATTATATCTAGTCTTTTATATACGCAAATATATTTTAAATTTAAAAACTTAAAAAAAAATTAACAAGAAGTATCTTAAAAACTTTGTTCAATTTTTTCTACTATAAAGTCAATGAAGAAAAATATTCAAAAGTTTTGAAATATAAATTCAAATTTTTAATTTATTAACACTTATTTTATTTTATTTTATTTTATTTTACATATAAACGGGCTTGCGCCCAAGTAAAATGGTACATATAACATGATAATATAATAATATTCTCAATACGACAAATTATTAGAAACAGTTTTAAATAATAATTATAAACTAAAATAACTTATATACTAATGAAGTGGGGATCCTCATTTGCTATTCTTACCATGCGATTTATGGGTTCATTATACATGTAATTAGTTGAACAGAAAGGAACGTGAAATGGAATCGAGTTGCGAGTAAAACACGCAGGTACTCTAAAATTAATTAATGAGAGAAGTTGGAGCGTCGATATCCGAAGAAATAAGTTTAGTGAGGAAGGAAATATTTTGAGAATATCGACGGCTAGCTAATGTGGATAGGTTGAGCTTAGATAGGACAGGGGAATAATCATGCGGGGGGCAAGGAATTTTCAATTAGCTTGTAGCTTGCGTGATTGAGGAATTTCCTTTGGACACCCTCAAGTTGACGACAAAGATCAGTACAATGCGGATCCCAAACTTAAAAACAATATGTCAAGTACTGGAATGATTTTTTAAGTAACAAAAACATATTTAGATTATAAAATGTTGGTACGTATTTCCTAATCAAGCGTTAAATAAGTTTCATCGTAGTTTTGATCCAAATTCGTCTATTATCAATCACATGTACTCAATGTATTTATATATTTTTGATTGTTTTAACGGTATTGAATAAATTTTTTTAGCAAACACCTACAAAGTGCTTTACCGTACGTCCGAACCACATCAGCAATAATACTGATGAAAGATATCTTATGGAATGGAACCATCAGTGAATCTACTTCTACCGAGTGGTTATTAGCAATATCAATGTTCGACAGGTACTTACGAGCCATTTTGGTCGCAAACGAGTTATGTCCCAAATACAGAGTTGTGTTCGGTGGATTTGTTTGGGTTATACAAATTATGACCCAAAAAATAAAATATACAGCAACACCTACATAAGTTGTATACACAAAGTGATACATTTTCCAATTAAAATATTAGACATATATAACGTAGAAAATATTTTTCACAAAAATAAAAATTGTTCTGTTATATTATTATATTTTTATAATAATAACAATAGTTATATGGTATACATTGTTTATTTTTAATAACGTGCATTGTAAACATTTGATAAAAAATTTTACCCCTCTTTTTTCGTCGGGACACGACTCGTTAACTGCGGCAATTTTTGTGTTTTATTAATTTTATTTTACTATAAACCGTAGCACCAATCAGTGTATAGTATTTAAAATATTATACACTCATGTGTTGACGCGAACACGAGTGAACACATATTAATATGGTTTTATTATTACTTTTCAGACCGGACGATCAAGTGATTTCTGAAATCACTGATTTGCTGTACAAGGAAAACGTGTCATCGGATATCGTGTTGAGTATCAGCTCTCTGATTAACACGTATTGCAAACTGAACCCGAATTGCAAAGAGAACGAAAAACTTACCAAGGGCGTAATGCACATCGAAAAGAAAATCAAAATGAATATGCTGGTCAAAGAGAATCGCGACGAGGCAAGCGGGGACCGACCGTTCTGAAATGTCTGGTGCAAAATTATAATTTCTTCGTTTGCTTTCAGACATTGATGTGGCTAAAATCGTTGGGCAACACGGGGCTGAGTTCGTCCACTCTACTTGACACACTGAACGCACTTATTGCGAACGACGGCGTAACCGCTGACATTCGAGTGTCCGCCGTCCAGGCTTACCGGTACGTAATACACGGTATAGGGCGGAAACATTAAATCGACGAAAATCGTACGATGCTAAACCGAACGTTAATCATAACTAAAACACATATTATAATTATTGTAGTGAGCGTGATGTACGGCACGGTTGCGTGTTATACAAAATTTGCTGAATTAGATTTTCTAACCTATACAGCGTTATTATTATAATTAATGAAATAGTACTGTGCGCGCACATTGTTCCGCTCGACCATTTTCAAATCATCGACCGCTTTCAGTATTTATTACCGCGGTATAAAGTATTACTTATAGTTTACCGCTCGAACGGTATAATGTCGAATTTTTCCTCCCGATTATTATATCGATTACCTTTAAAAGCGTCTGAATAAATTTGTATATAATATGTTACACTTGGTATTTCTACACGAATTAACGGCTTGCGGACAAAATAAAATTATAATTTTTTTTTTCCGTCTATTATTCGAATACTATTCTGTATGACATAATATTTGTCATCCAATAGTATTTCAGGGTAACGCATTTTGAATAAATTAGTGTTTACATTCAGCTATTAGCTATTATTATTCAATGCATTATTGTTTTATACTTTGTATTATTATAAGAAATCTAATAATCATATATAAGTTATAATATTAAAAATACAATACTGAATGATGTACTATCTATGGCACTTTTAATAAAGACTCTTTTAATGTTAAAACCTAATTATTAAATGTATTAATTAAATCGAATTAAATTAATTCAAATAATTGATCTTTTATTTTAAATTGTAAAATATTTAAGGGATTGAATAGTAAACTATTTTGTATTTTTTTTTTTTTTTTAGTTTTATAAAAGTTATGAAAAAGTTTTATATTTACATTAGAACCTTACATTTTGTTTGGTCGAATAGTTTTTTATTTTTCCTTTCTCAAATATAATGTAAAATCATACTAGATAATTGCAAATTATTCAAATTATATCGATTTAATTACATTTCATAAATTATCCGAATACGTGGTTTGAATACAAAAAACAAAGTTTCTCTAGTAGTTTAAGGGATTAAATCCTATGAGTCACTGGAAAGTTTTAGAAAAAAAAGCGTTGTAGAAAAAATAATGCTAAAGACTCAATGAAAAGTCTGTTCATTATATCGATAACGAATATCGAAGTTTTTGAAGGCAATCGGAATATCGAATTCGGAACTAAATTTTAATAAGTAATAATCAGGTATATACGTATATCAAAATGTCTAAAGTTCGTCGCAGTTTTTTAGTAATATTTAAAATCGTAATTTCAATTCTCATACGGTTCGTCCCGAGTCCGACGTTGGCACAGAACCACGTGTTGAAATTTTCTGATGTAATGAAATGTTATGACGTGTTGTATAGTAAATATAAGATCGTATCGCATTTCAGACGATTCCCGTGTAATATCACCAGACCAGTTATGTTAGAGTTCTTTGTCAATCAGTCTTTGGACTCGGAAGTCCGCATTGCAGCGTACTTACAAATAATGAGATGTCCAGTGTACAGCGTGGTGAGACACATAGTGTCAGTACTGGATAAAGAAGAGGTCAATCAAGGTAAATAATAATCAGTCACGTGTTGCTATTGTATACACATTTTGATTCGGATTTTTTCAGTCGGATCGTTTGTTTGGACACATTTGCAAAATCTAAAAAAGACTTCCGTGCCATATTTCTTGGAGCTGCAGACCATGTTGTCTGGTGATATAAACAAAAAGTTCAACACTGACATACGAAAGTTTTCAAGAAATTACGAAACCTCATTCTTTTTAAACGAATACGGTGTCGGTAAGAAAATTTTATAAATCAATTTTACGAGATTGTATTGTATTGATTAAACGTAATGGCCTTATTGTTTTTAACAAGGTGGTTCTATTGACAGTAATGTGATATTTTCGCCGAAATCGTACATACCGCGATCCTTCACGTCGAATATTACGTTAACACTGTTTGGAGAGTACATAAATATACTCGAAGTAAGTGTTTCCTAAATTGTTTGATATTTATATCAGAACAACAAGCGTCTTTAACATGCACACGACACCTTTAAATTTATGAATTTGTATCTGAAAAATTAATCAAAATTATTATAATAAATAAAACCATAGATGCACCGTTAAGTTTGCTTTTATAAAAAACTTTATATTTACTTTAAAATATACAGTGTAACGTAAAGTCAGTGTTATACGAAATTCGTGGTAGATTAAAAAAAAAATGCTTTAAAAAAATAAATTTACGAAATATAGAATTTCTTCCATTAATCTACATATTTAATTTTGTTTTAAAAACAGTTCACGTATATTTTACGTACCAATCGATATTTTTTAATTTATTATTTCAATGGCAATGATTATTCATTTATACTATACTATTTCTATGATCGTCAAAATGTATAGGTGGAAGTTTATGGTGAGGGGTTCGAAAATTATTTAGAAGCATTATTCAAACCCGGTGGTGTATTTAGTCCTGATCGTGTTAGACAAGGATTGGAAGTTCTCCGTTTCGTCCGCAACATAATGCCGGAGGGCCTTAAAGACAGGATAAACGAATTGCCTAATGTTCTTTATGAAAATGTGCCTCCACCAAAGGTAACGATAACAAACCTCATTAAATTTATGTAAAATCTATTTGCATTTGGATATTTTTATGTGAGGGAATTTTTTTATTTTAAATAGCATTTAAACGGTGTGTATTCCGATATTTTTTTTCTTTCAGCTATCTTTAGCGATCAAAGTATTCGGTAACGAAATAAAATTTTTACGGTTAAACGGAGTTGACGAGATCAATGAAGTTATTCGTTCTTTTGACGTGTACAACATAATGAAAAGTTTTATGAATGGACGAGTAAGGATTTCATTATTAATTCGTTTTACTATTATTATACTCGCGGGTTGTTAAAGTAAAATTTACGTTATACAGGAGTTTAAATATGACAGGTCTACAATGTTTATGGATTTGAAATATGTTGTACCTACTGGTATTGGCATGCCTTTGATATTAGACGCCATCGGTACTTCAGCAATAAACTTTAACCTGTCAAGTTATATAAACGCAGAAGCATTTAAAAACTTTGGAGAGTTTAAGTTATTAACAAAACTATACCCAAGGTAAATGAAATATTTTAATTTACCCACATACATTCTTTGAGTTGAGTTCTTTTACTCTTAAAAATTGCATTCTCTCGAATGAAAAAATCTCATAATTGTTGTTTCGCACATTACTTGTGAGAATGTCAAATTTTTAATAATATTTTTGTTAAGTCACGAGAGGTAAATGACCATTTATTTAGAATTGGAATCAAAAATTAATTTATATGATAATTTTATATAATTTCGATAGTTGTTTACTTCAATTATTATGGGCATAATAATAGTAATAATCGATGAAAATTAGATACACGTAGATCAATAATTGATCTATTAATTAATCTATTAATAACTGAAATTTGTTTAGCTTATTAAATATTTATATTTAATAATTATTATAGCTTATTATTAATAATTTTCCATCCAAAGTAGTTATTATTTAAACTGATTGGATTTCATATCATTAATAGTGATTTGAATTTGATATTATTAAAAAATAAAAAAAAATAAAAATATTTTGCATTCAATTAAAATCCGTCCTTTTTTCTATCGTATAGTTTGGCTTTAAATTTGGAGGGAACCATGACTATGGATTTTCATTACGAGATGACTCAAGCTAAAGTAAAATCGAAATTGTATACTTCAACTGCTTTCGAAGGAACTACCGAGGTCAAAGGATACAAATTTGTGACATTGGTATTCGATTTGCCCAAAACAAAATCAGACATTATTAGTATTGAGTATGTATAACTTAAAAATATCTGAGTGCGAAGAATATTAATTAAATTTATATTATTTCTGACATTCGTACATTATTTCGATTTCGTTCGCATATAACGTATAGCGTTTTATTGACTGAAGTATTTAATCAATAGGTCGGAACTGTTTTTGGAAGACCATAAATTAGAAGTTGATACAGTTCAAACACCAAATTCCATTGTCCCTCCCACGCTATCTTATAGTTTGCCATTTCTTGAAGAGATGATGGGTCTCAAATTATACACTAATCATCGGCTACCGAATGCCACAGAAATAATCAAATCGCCCATGGTAATATTTAATGGTCCGTTAAGGTTGAACGTTTTCCTTCTCAAGTTGGACGAGAAAGTTAATAAATATGTAATCGAATATAAATGGATCAACAGCAAAGTAAGTGAATGCACGGTCATTTACACTTAATTTATATTAAAGTTAAACGGTTTTTTTTTTTTTTTTTTTTAGAAAAACTCTTCCGTTAGCTTTACCTACGAAACGCCTGGATCTCTAGTCAAACATTATATGAAAGCACTTCTGGAAATGGACGCTCAGACGCAGAATTTCACTTTACTGGTCCAAGGGAAAACCATTCAACTCACTGCTTTAGGTATGATTTTTGGCTTGATGTACACAACACTATTTAAATGGCTTATTCGAAAGTATCTTATCTCCCTAGGCCTGTACAGAAATTCGCCGTTGCACAAGCTAATGACGTTCACGCTAGACATTAATAGCGTAAAACACATCGATCTATTGATGGAGCTTAAGATCCAAAACGAAAAGTATGGCCGTTTGTATTTGCCGAACGCGTACCTCGAAATAAACGCTAAGAGAATCGCTGAGCTCGAAGGTAATTTTATTACATCGAAAACGTCTGCATGTTTAAGATAAATATCAGAGTTTGAGCAATATCTTTACTATAGGTAAAATGATTATGAGTCTTAATCATTTTATCATAAATCATAATTTATGACAATTATTATAAAATTACAATATACCGCGTTGTCGTGTACTATAGTGTACAAGAAAGTAATTTTAATTATATAATACATACTGAATAAATTAATACATCATAACATAATATACCTTGTATGTGTTTGACAAGTAATCGACACGAGTAGAAATTTTTTAACTTATTATAACCCTAAAGTTCTATGTGATTTAGGATAATTGCGTAGAATTTTAATCTATGATTTTCGTTCTGTTATTGTTATTAATTATTAATTTACAATACTAGGACAATATAAATGGGTAGAAAAAAAAGGAATTTCTCAATGTGACATTAATTTGACGTTCAAGACTACTAAGTTTGATTCGACAATTGTTGGCTATATTAAAATCAACGATGCTTCGACCGCTTTGAATTTAATATTTGAATATACGTTTGATAAAGCTATTACCTTGGATGTGATCAAGATCCAAGTGAAAGTTAGCGATCGATCAACAAAAGCTTTGTCTTCTTTGCAAGGAGTCTTGCAACTGGAATCATCAGCTTATCCACATATTAACCACGTGATTTCGGCCGTATATCAGGTATTATATTTTATAAATATTTACACGTTATATTAAGACAAACTTTGCAGTAGTTATAATATTTTAATAAAGTGCCCTTAAAGGCAGACTTAAGTAAGCCAGTCTGAAAATGCTTGACTGGAGATCGTGGTTTATCGCTATGCCAAGTCACGTCGTTCCATTAAATTTTTTAGTCATTTTAAGTATTTCATTTATATATTTTATGCCAAACGAAAGTGGTGGCTACGCCTTATGCGACGATTATGATCGAAAAAAATACATAGTTAAATTATTCAATTATATGTAATAAGTTATTTAATTTACTGACCGTTTTTATTTTTAAAACTAATCGCTATTACAGGTAAATGTTATGAATTGAATTTGCTCGAAGAAATATTATTTTAACTATATATTATGCAAATTATTATTTACTATTTCCCACAATCTATCACGGCTTCTAAAATTGTAGTTATTTTGTTTTTAGAAAGCGCAAGGTCACACAGAAATCCGCGTTGATTTTGTGAACTATCCTAATCTGAAGGACAACAGTAAAAAGTTACACGTCGAATTTGGGTTCACTCAAATCAAATACTATACGGGCAGCAATATAAACTTAAACTTGTATGTCACTAAAGCGGCGGACAATATAATGTTTAAGTTTATTACGAATCACCAGGGCACAGAAACCACGTTCAATACTGCTGTTCTTGTACAATACGCGTTAGGTACAGTTGGATGTTGTAATATGATTTTATTTTTTCAATTTATCGAAAACGGTTTGGTTACAAAAACCGTATCATATCTGATTACAAATGTATTTTCTGTAGATAAAAACATCACCGCCAAGCTCGACATTTTCATACCGCATGGCGATTTATTGAACGTAGATACGAGATTCCAACTGACCATGCCGTCTAGCACGAATCCGCTTGATATACGTTTGGTGATCAAAGAAAACATCATGGACGAATACGACGTAAATATCAATACGTATTAAAATTCGTAAATACGTATTTTATTTCAACTTAGTTAAGATATTTCAACTATAATTTAGGTTTGATTCGCAATGCAACAAAAAATAAAACTAATATTAATAATATTTATTATTGGTCAACGATTTTGTTTTAAAAACTTCAATATATGTTTAGCTCTGATATTATTTATTATGAGTCGATTGTATAATATTAATAATATTATCATCTGTCACTATTATAATATGATTGCAATTTTTCGTTGTTCTACGTGCACTACACGATGCAAATGATTTTTTTCCAGATTGATTTTTCGGGGTCTTGGTTTGGAGGACAAAGTTTAACGGCTAGAGGACTGTATCAGGACCGTTCCAAGTACTATCTGACGGACCACGCGCTTAAGCTTTTCATACAGTCTCCAATGTTTAACGACATTTTATTTGTGGGTAAAATTTACGTATCGGACGAGGAATACCGATTGGAATCTTGGGTATAAATCACTTGCACCTGACTTGATAAAAAAATAAAAAAATGTTCAATCATTATTGCATATGCAGGTAGACCACAATAATACTAAGCATGCTATACTTTTGAGACATATTGCTAATCTTGACATGACGTACGAGTCGTACGGTGAACTGAAATTAAACACAAGCACATACTCGGTTTCTAATCTAATCGATCTGAAACGTCACGAAATCACGCTGGATGTGCACATGGATCAGTAAGATATTCTACTGATTATTTAACGGATATAGGTGTATAATAAAATATATATATACATAAATATTGGTTTATAACAAAAAAATACGTATACAATTTGAAAAAATAAACTTATAATTTTAAAAGTTATATAATTATTTTTGTTGCAAACTATAATTTACATTGAAATGTATTATATGTGAACTTAAAAAAAACTTGATCGAATTTTATTTGGAAGGATCGAGAAAAATGTGTATCGCTTGGATTCGTAAACAATGGAAATATATTACATTTAGAAAAGCACTGTAGTTTTATAAAAATAAAAACAATTATCAACATCCCGGTCCCCGATTATAATGTTGAACCAACTCTAATAACTATTAAGATGTATATGAATACTAAATATAATTTTAATTACATTTGATTTAATTCCTAAAATTTAGGTATAGAGATGTGTTTATTTACGGTAAAGGATACGCCAAGGAGTGGAACTCGCACATGGTGTTCGAAATAAAATGGGACGCCAATCGAGACCCAGATCAAAAGTTTTTGGTGACTTTTAAAACGAATACAAGTGACATTTATGACGGAGAACAATTTCTGGGCCAACTTATTATTGAGTACCCTGATCGTATAGTCAACGTTGATTTAGAATTGAAGTACATAGGTATTGTTGTAGAATGCATTTGTTTAACGGCTCGCTTTATGTTACTATTTTGTTAATACACGATTACGTTGTTTCGACGTTTAATTTTCATTTGCTAACGGATGCAAAATTTTCACTATGCAGGACAACATTATTTCATCTCGAGTTCAGTTGAATGGAATCCAACATCAAGAATTGTCTTTTCATTTGTCTTGAAAAATGATTTACTGTCCAAAGGAAGTGGATTTATTGGTTGCAAGCTGCTTACGCCGTTTGAAAATTGGATAAAAACGTTATATGAACAAAGGTAATAGGTATTATGGTTGTATTGACGAGATAATAATGTTTATTCCATTGTTTGTTAAGTTTTGATGAAAATAAAAATTGAATAAATGTTAAAATAATTCACTGAATATTCAAAGACAAATTATATTCGAACTATCCAATCTTACATATAACGAACAAAATCTATGATTAAAAATAGTACACGGTTAATGTTTATTAAAAACAAACTTCTATTAATATTTGATAGTTAATTACTTATTTTGCAATAGAATTATGAGATAACCAAAGAAATTGAATATGATATTGTTTTACAGCGTTCTAATAGGACCGCAGAACCTGCAGACAAATGGAAACATAATGTGGCAAATAAGTCAATATTTGAATTTTGACGTGCAGTCTGGTTACCATACTCTAGATGAAGACTTTGGATTTTCATTTAACACAGCAGTGCGCAGTTCACTGCAAGATCTAAACGCCATTCGCATATACCTCAACCATAACTATGGTATTTCTAACTTCAACACAAGTGTTTTGCTCCAGGTAATCAAATATTCTATTGAATGTGGTACCAAAAAAAAAAAAAAAAATTCTTATTTAAAAATATGAATTTCATTTAGCATTATTTTTATAATAACACATTAACATTTTTAATAATCATTGCTTGTTGTGGCAATAATAAGTGATAGAATTAATAGACCTGATTAGCAGATTTTAGATTCGTCAAGTGAAGTGACTGATAAACACAGAAATCAATAGCTATTTTCTTGGTTCCGAAATTTACCGTCTGTAATTTGGTTAATTCACGGGGTTTGACAAATCATACTTGAATTCACACCAGAGAAAAACCTTATCCGAGCTAGGTATGATCGAAAAAATACTATATTGTGTGAATTCATACCACAAAAACCTTTTTTTGGGTGGTCAAAGAAACAGTTTAACAGTTGTAACTTGTATATTTTAGTGCAAATATAATTGGGGTTAATTTATTTTACATGAATGTGAATGATATAATTTTTGTTTAATCATTTCTTAAGTTGAAAATTTGTATTGAACTATCAATGGATGTTAAATAAAATGTATGGGTATTTTTACATTCTCGTTTTACTGTGAGTCGATTAAAAGACCAAAAGTACATCAACTTTAATTCATAATATCTAAATGTAATTAGATTATTTTTTAAATTTAACAAATAGTACAATTGAATTTCCCATTCAAAATAATATATTCGATCAGTGGCGCACACAGGATTTATTTCGGGGGGGGGGGGTCAAGGTAAAAATATAACACATTTTACAATTAACAAAATTATGCAAATCCTTAATATATTTTGACTTAAGTAATAGCGTTGATAATAGAATAGACTATTTTATAATCAATGATACTAGGTATTCAATACTAGCTTTTCATATTTCAAACTTGTAAAATTTGTAAATTTTAACTTAGACATCAGAGAAAATTTCAGGGGGTTACAACCCCTTAACCCCCCCCCACGCGTGCGTCACTGTATTCGATTAGTATGTAGAATGTGTTACATATAAAAACATCTGAAAATGTAATTGTTCATAAATAATTATTTATAAGTTAAATGGGGCAAAATCGAATTGGACTTTGGTTAAAAAAAAGCATTGGTTGAATGGCAGTAATAATTTTTACAAAATATTAGTATATAGAAAAAACGAATATAACAATAATAAACACCTTAATTTGATGGTTTTATTATAACTATAATTTTCTTGAAAAATACTAATTTTATTTTCTAAAACATTCTGATTCTAAAGTTTAGACATTATAAATACAATATCATTAATTCCATAAAAAAATAATAAAAATCATTTGACTATTTAAATTTAGCTAAGAAGTACGATTCGACTATTATTGTAAAATCTTCAAGCCTCTTCTTTATCGTTTCAGATATTTTAGACAAATTATTTCCGATCGGCCTTTTACCTTTACTTTCGTATTACATAATATGTATGATTTCTTATAATTTTATAATTATTAAAATATTTAAGTATTAAATTAATAATTAGCAATAATTAGTCATTTTTTTTATATATTTGTTTAGATAAATCCAAAATATGTCATATCTTTAGCGGTAACTGGTAAAATTAACAGCACAAAAACGGAAACAATTTACAGCGGTTCCATAACTACTCTTACGCCATTTTTCTATTACAAAGCGTTTAATTTTGAGATAGAAGTGGGTTTTCAAGAAAAAAAACTCAACGGATTCATTGGACTACAAATAGATTCCAGTAATTTTAAAGTCGAGTTCCATGGTAAGATTGTAATTATTTATTTAATACCATGGATTTTTTTGATGGTTAACACTATTTTTCTTTATCAGTTAAATAGATTTTGAATTAATTTTTTGCATGTATTCATTAAAACAAAATACTTTAACTGATTAGGTTTTCCACTTTTTTCATATTATATGAACATATGAACATTAAATTTTTTTTAAAAAGCAATACATATTATTAGTTTGTAACTCTAAAGCAGATTATTTTTCTGAATATAAAATATAATTTATTTGTTGACTGAGTGACTTACTTTTTGAAAACACTATTTTGAGTTGTAAATGTACGATACAATATTAATATGATACATAATTTTATTAGTTTCATTTAAAAATAACAAATATATTTATTTGGATTTATCTAAATACAAATGTGGTTATGAGAGCATAAATGACCTAACTTACTATTGTGTTACATGTTACATTGGAGTTACGTGGGCTTTTTTATTATTTGAATGTTCGATGATTTTTTTTCCACAAAATAATGCTATTTTTTAAAAGTATTATTGTCAGTTAACAGCAATATCTATTGGTTTCCTTGTATTAACATTGTCAACTAGGAAATTATTGAATCATTAAGACTTTACTTTATAGCTTCAAATGTAATTTTAAGATAGTTAAAAATTAATTTTATTATTATTTTTATTTAGATAATTTAATATTTTTGTTAATAAAATTATATCTATATTTATTTAAAGATATTATTTATATTAATAAAAAATAAATAAACAAAAACTGTTTCAATAAACATATCATTAAATCCATAAATAGATTATTAGATTATAAAAATATTAAGTATTGTTTGTCATTTAAAAATTTAATTACGTGTGTAATTATCTCATTGTCTGGAGATTTTCCATAAAATAATAAAATATTGAGCGTTGTTCATTAACATTTTAAATAATAATAATTACGTGAGTGGAATAAATATGAAAAACAAAAATTGAACCTTCTTATTTTATTTATTTTTTGTTGTAAGGTTTATTAACTTTTTTATTATATTTTCATATTATAATATGCATAAGTACATATTTGTATAAACGATAAAAGCAGAAACTTTCTTGGTTATTGTTATACAACGTGCATATAATATTATATTACATAACTCAATGTACTTCAATGATATCAATATTTTTATTTGTAAAAACCAGTAGTTTTAATAATTTTGCTACACGAGTTTATCTTTAAATTTCAATATTTTGACTATTTTTTCTCAATAATTTGAAGGTGTTTTAAATTTTATGGTAAGAAAATATGTTGATATTGATAATTCAAATTTTGTATTTTAATAACCTTTATTTCTTTGTTTAATAAAATTGCAATGTAAACTCTTAGAAAACTGTTATTGAAATAAAATTATTTTAATGAATTGCGGAAAAATATCATTTTTACTTAAATGATTACTGTTGCGTAACTTGTTCAACCGACCGTCTGTATATATATATGAGTTATCAAAAAATACATTTTTTCAAACATTTATTAACCAATAGAATCAATAGAAAAAAATTTAAATTTAAAAAGATTGCTATATACATATTAATACCTAGTTACCCTTATTTATTTCAGTATAATATTTTTTAAACATAAAAATATTAAAATATTAGCGAATGAAAAGTTAGATTTAATTTAACTAAATTTAATTTAATTATATTTAAATTAGAATTAATTTTTAATCAAAAATTACTATTTTGTTTTAAATAATATTAAAACTGTTTATATTGCACCTCAATTTATAATATTGTATATATATATATATATATATATATATTCATTCGTTGCATTAATGACTGCATTCGATATATTATCATAACTAATTTGACAGTTTCTAAGTAGTTAATATATAAGTACAAATTATAATATCCTTGAAACTAGTTTTAATAATGCCCTAAAAAAAATTACGAGTTTATATTCATGATTATTCTATTCATAAATATACATAATATATTTGCATCAAATAAATTCTGTGTTTGGTAACTTATAAGGGTTATCTAACAAGTATTACGTTTAATTTAAATAGTTAACTACCTATTCAAATATCTTCGATTGAGTTCGATAAAAATGTATTCAATCAAGATTTTTAAAAATATTTATTTAAGATTTTAATATTCTATTTAATATTCATTTTATTATAAAATATAATTTCCAATACTTATACATTTTGTTAACGTTCTTATTGAATAGGGTAAATATTACTAAGTTTTATAATTTCACCGGTACGTCGTAAAAGTAAGACATATATTTTGTTCAATTGAATAGTTACAAATTTATTAAATTTTTTATGGAAAATACATATAGTTACAATACAACTCTACGATCAGTATAAAACATAACTCATTTAACATAATAGATTAAATAGTGATTTAAATTGTAATATTTTATTGAATAAAATTACCAGTCACTATATTTCCGTGGAACCAATGGTATAGTTCAGGGACGGTCGAACTTTTTTCGGCCACGATCTACTAAAAATATACTTCACCTTTGAAGATCGACTTTCTTGGAAATTTTTTTTATAAACCAGAATAAAAGAAAAAAACTATACAGATAAAATTTATTGACAATTTTTTCATATCCACCATGATTAATTTTCGTGCACGTGGCCTAAAAATAAATTCTAACATGATCGACTTCGAAAAAACAAAACTAAATCGTTTGCGATCGACCGTTTGGCCGCGCTCCTGGTATAGTTCATTAATATGGTGCCTATTACGTGTATTCGTACAGTTAAAAACATCATCATAATCGAGAGTAAAAAATAAAATGCATAATGGTATTGATGTATCAAATACCATTGAAGTAAGATTAATTTTTATTTTCGATTACCATTTAAATATTAGTGTCACGGTGGCTCTTTGTTTTATTATGTTATGTTTGTTACACGATATGTTCATTGTAATATTCTTTGTAACAAATATTAATACAATTATTACATTTTGATTATAAAAAGCAGTTAAAAAATTAATTTAACGATATTAATAATTTTCGATCTGCTTTCCGATAAAAGACTATATATAAAATATTGTATATAAAATAAAGTTTGATATGTTTCCTTTTGTGACAAATTTCGCCTATACCTTTACGCACGAAAACTACAAGCTAAATTAAGTATAAATTGATTTCGTTCTCGGCTAAATTAGATTGCAGTAAATTCGATTTCCTATCCACTATAAAAGTAATGGATTTTTCTCGGCAGGTTGACTGTTCAGCGTTAAAAACTAATTATCTTAGTAAATGTGTTTATTTTTAAAAATAGCATATTTATATAATTTGATTTTTTTGAAGTCATGATATTTTTTAATGATAAGATTTTTTTCTCATATTTTTTAAATATTTTTGTGAAGGTTGTAGAATCAAATATTAAATGGCTTCATGAGTAGCATGAGTTACAAATATGAAAATTAAATTGGTATTTTAGTTTTAAAGTTTTGATAAGCTGGAACAGTGCAATAAAATTTCAAAGTGGATCACTTTAATGTTCTATTTCATTCATTTTAAAATGTATGAATAATTAATTAATGATAAGTTATTCGATTTTTTTATATTATAAATAATATAAATCATAAAAATAATATTTTATTTTACTTACATAATTTATAAAATCCATTGTCAATATTAACAATAATAACTGCTAATAAATTGCGTGAGAATCCGCAGGTTCTGTCAACGTCGGGTATAGAAACACGAACAGTTGTTCCAACTTCCAATTCTTGATTTATTTTATTTGATTGTATCATCATCTATTCGACTTGCTTTTGCAAATATTTTATTGAATTATTTCTTTCATTCGTAATACTTTCTTGACGTTCATTAACTAAAATAAAATGTAATATTTAAATCACTTCTGAAATGGGCGAAATACGAACAATATTATTCGAATTATAGCTAAATAACTCAAATCATAAATGAAAATGCAAATTTCTATAAATAGATTAGATAGTTCAGAATCGACATCAATAAGAGTACAGTATGAAATTAACAATCCAAGAGATTTCTCCTCAACTGGTCCACGCGAAGTCATCAAACTATCTTCACGGATTTTATTATCATAATTGTTCTCAGACTGTTGAATTACTTTTTAAATATCTTCTTCGTATCTTCTAAATTTAATTTACTAGAATGCCAATTGATTTGAAATATTATTTTAAATAGCAATAGCAGACTATATTGCCCCAATAAAATACTCACCGAACACGGTTGTAAGAAATACTACTCAACACCATTATGATAACAACATATTCCAACGTGTGTAGAAATTAAAAATAATCAAACCCTAAAAATCATAAATTACAATAATTAGTGGTTTGTTTGGTAACTATTATTATTTACTAGAAGATATCGTTATTCTTATGTATAAATTCATTTAATGTAATATATATATTATATTAATTTAACTGAATTAGTTATTTTGGTTCCACTTACGACTTGACACCAGAAATATGGTTTATGTTTGTATCCGGTTTTGATATGAAACTGCACCAACTCTTTAGGATTCGCGTTTTTTTAACTAATGAAACATGTAAAACACAATATTCAATGAGCAAATGAGTAATATTATTATATGTTTAAAAGATTATTAATTTTAGGGTTCTTGTTTCAGGCATTTATAGTCCACTGGACAATAGTAAAATACTATTGAAAATCACGACTCCTTACGAAAATTACAAGACTCTATACGGGAAAGTCGGTTATATGGCGAGGAAAAGACACGTATTTCTCGATATTTTCGGGGACAATTTCAAACTAGGCGCTGAAATGCTTTATCTGTACAAAAACCTATCGAATTATGATCTCAAATTACGCATAAACATACCTGTCAATCCGTTGAAACAGCTGATCATCGCCGGTAAACTTAACAGTGAATTGGTATGTATAATCAATAATGTGAAGCGTATGAAACTGTATTGCGTCTTCGAATAACGAAGTATTATTAAATATTAAATTATTTGAACTATTCGATTATAAATTACTCAAGTGTATCTTTAATGATACTTCGGTATAAATTATTCATATTGATACACCAGGTCTAACCACGACTTTAGGCAAATATTGTTAAGGATTTTTTTGCTCCGAATTTTCCGTCGACTATATTTTAATACCATCGGTAGTCGATGGGTAATTTCATAAGACCCAGGTTGTAATTTCCATAACACAATGTTGATTTTTAATGACCAATATCGGGCAGAATGTACCCCCTTGTGATGGTATAATCGCACGCCTTGATGACCATAATAGTTTTAATAACTTTACAGGTGGACTTTCGGCTCGGATGGAATCATTTCGTACTCGGTTTCACCGGTGTCTCGCACTACATCAGCTGGTCCGACCTCGAATACTCGTTACAGATATACACTCCTATAGAGAAGTTGACGTACAGCAGTGCTACCGTGAAAATCTATATCGTGGATGACATTGACTGCGAGATTCGAGCGGTTCTACCGGATTCTTCCATGGTAATTAAATGCGCTTATTTGTGTACAAGTTGGTTTCTTGTATTATAGCAAACCGGGTCATACGCCTGTCCTTAGGAACGTCGTTAGGGTTGATAGTTTGTGCAAATGTTTATTTTTTGTATTTTATTAATATTTCCGCCAAACACCGTTCTGCGCGTTACAATTAAAAATATCTCCTTCTGTGAATGTATAAAATGTTGACTGCCGTACAGAAAAAAACTGTAAAACGATCCCTTTTATTCAACCACAATAATCATATCACTTTTCTATCTTTTAGGAATTCGGGAATACAAGTATTTTGTATTTTTACATACGATTCTGTTTTAATTTAACTTATATTTTATGGATTAAAATTATGATCATGATTCATCATATTGACATATATGATCATAATTACTATTACGCTCGTTTTTTATAATATCATAATTTTGATTATTGTATAATTTAACCCTGTATGATTGAACCACACATTTTCATAGTGTTGTTCCATCATGTTTTGCATTTGGAAATAAAAATTTTTTATTTTCGAAAAAAAGTACACATTTACCGCGATGACTTCCAATAAATTCTGCCATGATGTATAGTAAAATTAAACAAACTTTAGTACACACGGCATTAATATGGTTATACGAACACGCCTCAAACCGCAGTATACAAACAAAACACTTATTCGTATGATCAATCGAGAAAAGAAAATCACTAATATAAAGTTCAATATTATACAGCGGAAATAACGATGAAAAATATTCAATACATCTAATTAGTAATCATTACTTTTATCGATCGTCATCGTATAAACGTTGGATTCCCCATATAATTAGTATTCACTCTTAAAACTTAGAGGAGATTACTAGTATGAAATTAAACACACGTGTTACTACTTTAAAAAATTTAATGTTCCTAAAATGTATTTTTATTTTGTTTAATTTGGTAAATAATGTTACTTTATATTTTAATATTTTTTCTTAACTTACTATGTGATTTTAAAATAAATTGTAAAAATTGTATGATAAATTAATAATTAAATATTATTATTATATAAACTTTGGTAATTTAACAGAAAATAAACATGAAGAATATTTTAAATTGGTAACCAAAATATTGTACTGGCCGAAAACGGATATTCGAGAATGGTCGAAAAAGAAAAGGCTCATTTTAGCTAAAAAGTGTCTCGGTTGATTACTTACGGAATTTTAAATGTAAATAACAACTATATCATAAGTTATAACGTTTGAAAATCTAAAGTTTATAACGCTTTGAGTGGCACAGTATAATATAATAATTTTAATCAAGAAAATCTCAAAAACGATATCCAAAAGAACTTTGGATAAAAAAAAACATGAACTATTAAAATTTATCTAAACATGTCATGGTTCAATTGAAAAAAGTTCATCTTGTATATAATTTGCGCACGTTAGGATTATCACAACTGAAGACGGAACCACAAACTATGTAGTTTTTTATTACCTGTTAACCATATTGCAGTGTGTGTGTGTGTGTGTGTGTGTGTATGAATAGCGGTGGTCGATCGGAGCAAGATGACATCCGCTAACCAGCTGTTGAGCGATAAAAATAGTATAATTGTTGTATTTCTTGAACGCTAACTATCCATTATCCATTAAATAACGAAGTTTCATATATTGTATTTTTTTATTTCTTACAACGTATCGAATTAGATATATAGTTCGATGAACGAGTTAGTTTTACGAGATTACTATTGAAGTTCTTCTCAAGTACTCGCCTTCAATTTTCCCACTCGGCGCTCTAAAGTAGAAAATATATCGTAGTTTTATTTTGTTTTATCATTTTGATTTTGCATTATCGCATGTGGGTATATTAAACACTAACTTTTCTTGTTCTGTTATGCTGCAACACTATTCGTATGATACAATAGCGTATTTTCAATATTTTTGTTGGGGGGGGGGGACTTAACAATTTTCTGAAAAGTAAGTGATTCAATAATATTATAAAGAATACATATAAGGTATTATAATATTGTTATAATAACAACTGTACTGTTATTTACAATTTAATTGTATAAATTAATTTTATCTTTCTTTGTAATTTCGTAACAAATCATTTAAGACTTGAACTTTTTTTTTGGAGGGGGGCAAGACTCGGGAAACCTCTCCTGAAAATATGCCACTGGTATGGTATGCTATTTATACTTGTACAATTTTGTACCATTCGAAATTTGACAGCACCATAATTTCATACTTCCACCCCGAATATATTATGTTATATATTATTATAAGCACTATATTATATTATATTAGCGATCACATTTAATTATCATGTTATATAATTTGATTTTAAGGTGAAAATGTACCTATACAGATTTTGAAAATCCGTAGAGTAAAATTACGAATGATAAAATTAATCAAATAAATATCACTTAATAATTTTAATTATAAGGGTTGTTATTTTAAAATCGAAAATCGGTTGTTAATCGAGGTTAATATAAATAAAATTATGAAAATCATTATACCGACTAGAATTATTTTAGAATTTTTTTTTATTTACATTTTTGCTGAAACCAAATATTAGTAAAATGTAATCGAGATTTGTGTATTTATGTTAATACAAGCAATTACCAAGCAAAGTATATAAGCTAATATTATTATGAAAATAATTAAAAATTTTGTTAAAAGTATTTAACGTATTGACACTTAGCGTTCGTTTTATCACATAATGCTTATTGTAATTACGAGTATGATTACAATATTAAAATTACAGAAAAAACCACTTAATTATCTCGTTTAACATTTTAGCTAGGAGTGAAGCTGTTATACGCGACTATACCGAAACCAGAAGAAGTAAACGAATATTATTATGACGAAGATGCCGAATTATCGATGATATTATACAACGGTCATTTTGAAATCGACATGGCCTTTTACCCTTCGGTAGTGGCCAACTTCAAAGTTTTACAAAAGGACGTCAAGTACACAACACAAGTCGGCCTGTCGGCGATCATAGTAAGAGTTGCGCTGACGGACGAATTGTTTTTGAAAGTACGATAGAACATCATAATTATATATATTGCTAGTTCAAATAAATTAAAATCACTCATCATATTATAATTTTGTAAACGACAGAATTTCCTGGACATAAAAAATACATTAAACGTGTCAACATCATACGATCGTTTTTCAAAAGTAGTTTCCGAGTTTGCAGTGTTCGCTGAAAACGAAAATCACATTGTGTCAAATTTAATCGTGTCCATAATCAATTTCAATAACACACTGAAGGTAATTTTTATTAGTAGAACAAAATCATATAATCATAAACGAATACTTTTAGTGCTTATTTTAATATCTAAAGAAAACCAAGTTTTTCTAAACTATAAAAGCAATTAATTTAGTGCAAGTTTGAATAATATAAACAAGTAAAAATATTGAGTTTGGAAAAACACTAATTTTGATTTTCAGCAAACCATTTTCACACAAACCAATCGGTAAGTATATTCTTGTGATTATTAATACTAAAATTTATTGAAATACGTTTCAACTTATTAAGAGGTACAAAATAAAATTATTTTCAGTAGATTTATGAAAATCAAATAAATAATCTATAAATGCTTTTTTAAAATATTAACTTTAGGTATTCTAATACGAACAATATTTTTCAATAACTATAAATGAATTTAAAATAAAATATTCTTTCTGTAATTAAAATTTAAAATGTTAGTTATATATTTTATTTATTAAAAATATAATATTTGTAGTTTTTATTAATTTAATTATACACACATGTTGTTTTTAGTATACCAATAACTTTTCAATGTCCTCCGTAAAACATCGAACTATCGTTAATGATTGAAGAATAATATAGTTTTTTTTGTTTAATATTTAAAGTGTATGGTTAGAATAGATTTTGTCGTACAGGTATTATACAAACTATAATTACAGACAATTCATAACAATATATCGTATATTAAATGTGTAATGTGATTTTAAAAACAGAAACATTATCAGCATGAAACGGCAAATGCTTTTGTTTACTGTGTTTGATTTTATCGATAGTAATAAATAATTAATTTATAATTTTAAAACTAATTAATAGTTGAGTAGTACATTTTATATAATTAAAACCAGATGCATTAATGTAACATTATTGAAAGTATTTTAGTCCCAACATGTTTTTAATTAAAACTTTTAAACCTCTTTAGAAACCAATATATTTATTATAAAATATTATGAAATTAATTTACAACTATAGTATTGTATATAAAAAATATGACGAATGAAATTAAAAAAATCAACAAACTATACTTACTAAAATATTATTATTTTCGATGTATTAATAATATTAAACGTATAGAAGCCAATATACATAAACATTTCAATTTATATCTTCGTAATGAATATATTATACGTCTATCAAACGTATCGTATGGAACTTTGAGGCCCAGGGGCATGAAAATTGGCATAAAATAATTTTAAAAATATTATTGTCACTTGTACTTGTATGACTTTTATAACTTTTCTGTATTTAGTGAGCATAAATAATGTACCAATATACATAATAATAATTTATTTGTAATAATGTACATATATTAATATCTATACATTTTACATAAGACAATGTATTATGCTCTACAAATAATTCGTTATTTTCGTTGAATAGTGAGTACTAGTACTATGACTTCCGTCTTATCGTATACAAATTAGTGAACGATTGGTTCGGTCCGATTCTGGTTTAAACTACATATAATCATTTCAGTTCGAACCAGTCTGTCCCGGCTCGTTTAAAATCTATTGAACAATGATTTTAAATATTAAAGACATTATTTATAGAATTAATAATTCGTATATTATCATGGGATCAATATTTTACTCCTGCGTAATTATTTTTTGTAAATTTCCTAATATATCTCATGGTACCTATTAATAATTATTATCAAAAATATTTTCAAGAAAAACGATTACAATTATTTTTGTTGTGGTGCGAGTGACATGAAAGGATTTGTATACAGCTGCTACGCCGCATTGTCCGATATAATTGTATATATATGTATACAATGTAGTACTTTCTATGTACTACATATTATCAGTTTTGTAAAAATTGTTAATATTCTACGAGCAGTTTAAATTTATACCAATTACCAATAAAGGTATCATTCAAAACTTTCATAATTTGAAATTTTTTTATTTTTAGTTATTTTTTCGTTCCATCAGATTATATTATATAAAAAATGGAATAAGTTTGATGCGGCCCATAAACTATCACAGTCTAAAATTCGTTTGTTCTCCGGTCTCGGTCCACCCTGACAAACTATTTTAAATTTTTATTCCGGCCCAGTCTAAAAAAAATGTAGCTATCAGTTCGGTCCGATTTCCTCTGTTAACATTTTCAGTCCGGTCTGGTTTTAAAATTACGGACCGTGCAGAACACTAGTGAGTAATTAAAAAATTAAATATTTTAAAAGTACATTAACTTATCGTTTTAATTTAATCTTACGTATTATGTCTAAAATGAGTGGTGAGGCATCTTAGGTCGCTCTTATAGACTTAGTAGTGCTCACAGAAGTCTGTGGTGTTTACTATTGCAAACCAAATCTCCTTCGACAATAACGTAAAACTTATTTTTTTTTCATCTCGATAGACTGCAATCGACGTTGACTTTCTGACGACGACCCTGGCAGATCCCGGCTCCGAAGACTTGGATGATGCGGATCTGTCTAACAAAGTGCCGAGCGGCATGTACGAAATAAAATTCTACTTGAAATCGCCTTTCAAGTTGCTCGAGTTCTGTAACTCAAGCGTGACTTTGAAAATTCTTAAACAATTGTACGAAACGAATATCACAGTGAGAACGAATTACACCAATCTAAACGTCGTGGGAAATATGGAGGTATCTACGACAAACGATAGTTTATAAAATACTTTTTATCACATAATACATCAGCAGATTTCAGATTCAGCCAAGCTATTGGCTAATGTCGTATGATAGTTGGAGTAAAAAATGAAATTTTGTCGAATTTTTCTTGCCTTACTACAACTAATATAACCACCGGCTTTTTTTTTTTCATAATTAAACTATAGATAAGCGTTTGAGCCTAATGTTGCACAATATACTGTAATAATTAATCTGTCGAAAGTATAGTGTTTCATAGGGGTTTTTTTTTCTCGCAGGTCTATGACGGGTACTTCGATACGGTTGTGGACGTGGACGTGACGTCCAAATTGTTCGAACTGCCCGTGTTCCGGGTGCAGGTGAAGAAAGATTACACAGAAATCGAGAAGAACGTACGGTTTGTGATCAGTAGACCGGTAGCATCGAGAGTAAGTGCTTCGTTACATCGTTGATTTTGCATTGTTATTGTTCGTAAATCACGGTACAACACTATATGCACGTGCATCGTCTAAGTCTTAGAACCCAGCACACAAAAACTAACACCGACGTTTTCATATGATGAGCAAACGTTGTGTGCTTAATTCTAAAATATAGAGTTGGATTGATTATTATAATTTCAATTAATTCGTTTGTAAACGTCTGTACATTTTATTTTTTGATTATATTTTCTAGCATAAAATAATCAAGAAAACGTGTAATCTATTCCCGTTACAGTTTTTTTTCTATATTTTATCAGAAATAAAGGTGTCTTCTGTTTACGACACAAATTATAAATTATCAAGAGTTTATTAGAATAGGGTTGATTCGGACACAGCAATTTTCTAAAAAGTAATTTACTATCATGTAATTTAACCAATAGGCGTCCTATAAATACAGAACCGCTATAATTACTAAAATCGCATTACTTCCATAATATGAATTGGACTTTTGTTTTCCCAATAATAATTTGTTGAACTTGCTTACATAAGACTCCTAGATGAAAAAAACATGTATACTTGTAATCGTTTGGTGTCTTACACAGTATTTACTGACCAACAGATCAACGAAGTAGTGTTGGATATCAAGAGCAATTGGCAAATAGACGGATATAACTTTATAAAGTTAAGCGGCGAAATTGTTACGCCATTCGTGGTGCTCAACCACGTCCAAGGAAGCCTACGATATTTTCATCAGATCAACACCAAGTCGTATTTCTTGGAGTCGTACCTCAACTATTCCGGAAAGGCCGAAATGAAAGCCAGAGCTCATCTGGAAGAAAAGTCGATCACTCTGAATTTGGAATCTTCGCTGGAGGGATTAAGGTCGGTGCAACAACTACAATGACAGTCGTATAATATCCATTTGAGGACAATATTTTAACGATAATTATCACTGTATATGTTTCTTATACAACCCACTAGTATAATATTTACATTAAAATTAATACATCAATTTGCAGTACCATATTTGAGATTTTTCCATTCATGGGTAACCACATTTCGCCACCCCGTTCCCCAATAATTTAGCTCATGTATACCCGTGAGAATTCAAAACAGTGATTATCAACTATACACGAAAAGAAAAAACACTTTCCCCAGCATCAAATTTTCCCGTTTCAGTATACTCTTAAAAAATACTAATTTTGTACAAAAATCAAAAATGTCACTTGTGACAGTACAAAATACGTCATAATATAGTTGTATAAGATATTTATTATTGCATACAATTCTTATCCTCACAATGAATTAATATGACCGTGCCTACATTTTGTTTCATTTATTCGTACTATGTTATAATTAAAACTACAATATGGAAAAATGCTGCCACTCTTTAAATAAGCTAGGGTTGATTATAGCTATCCTCCCTCTCAAAGCACCCTTTGAATCTAGTCGCAGATGTCAATCATCTAATGCTTCGTATAATATAGGAACGTACACTTTTTGGGTTCGTTGATTGTGAAGAACGGCCGTAAAGGAATCGACGCAATGATGATCGGTGACCAGTCGTACAGGATCAGTGGCTGGGCATCGGCGAACGTTTCGTTTCCATTAGCAGTATGTATTCAAGTTTAATTAATCGTTTTGGGTATAAATATTAAACATACATTTTCGGAGTGAAATATCATTTGTTAGCTTTAATTTCAACAAAATTCTCCTAACAGCTACTGAGGAATTCTCATCATGAACAATAAATGTATTATTATTATTATTATTATTATATAAATGTCAAAATAAATAAATATATTGTACGAGTTATAATTGAATGGCGTTATACAGAAAGCAACCATCCCACTAATGTTCTATATGGATATAATTGATGTTTTAGAAAAACATCTTTTTTAAATTTGTTTACAGCTCATATGATTTAAAACCAAAATATCTTATTAATTTAATGTATTTATTATTTTAAAGACTTACTAATATATTCCTAATACAATCAATACTCACTATTATTTTAATATTTGTGGTTGGTTGTCTTGTGATAAATTTAAAAATGTGGTATGGTTGCTTTATGTCGGTTGGTTGTTTTATGATTAATGTAAAAATGTGGTATGGTTGGTTGTTTTCAATGCATGCTATAACATATTTTTTAATCTTTAATAAAATACACTAATGTGACTAACTTTGGTAGTTAACAATTTTATTCATCAAACATAATTTCTTAAACTTAAATAGTAACGTTTATCTCAGTCTTTGAGTTATTTTATTAAAAAACAATATGTGTAACAACAAAATTAATAAAAAGTCTTAAAACAAAAACAAATACAACAACCTTTTTTAGAATAATAATAATAATAATTATAAACTTAACAGCATTTAATATATCTCAGTCTTTGAGTTATAACAATTAAATAGTTAAACAGTGTAATTCAAAATTTTAAAAAAAGTGTATTATTAATCAATATTATTAGTTTCTATGTCAAAATCTAAATTCTCATTGAAACCATTAACATCTTCTACAATGATACCATTTCCTGTAAAATGTGTATAAAATTCTTGAGCATCAGCAGGTATGAGATGCATTATTGACTTAATATCATCAAGCTTTGCTTGGTTGATCTCTTTCCCATTAGGCCATAGTTATTTGACACATTTAAAACAATCCATTGATAATAAAATAATGATTATCATTTTTTACAGAAAACGACCAAGCCACTTGGATTGATATTATCTTATTATTATTATCAGTCATACCTCCATTACAAAACCATGTGTCATGGATGTATTATGCATTAATTTTTATCGATATAATCATTCAGTTAGTTTTTGAAACATTGATAGATAGCGCTACACTTCAATGTTGGTTTGGTTGTATTTTGCAGAATACGTAAATTGAAATTCTCTATCTGGTTTTACTAAAACCTCGTTTTGCATTAGATTGTGGGATGGTTGCTTTCTGCATAACGCTATTCAATTGTAATAGCACATAATTTGCTAAAATATTTTAAATATAATAAATTAAAAAGAAAATTCCCACAAAGCAACAATAATGTTTAAATAAATAAAAACAGTTAAGTAAGTTCGTTAAACAAATAATGGTAGTTAACTTATCACCTCACCTTCGTGTGTATTCAACCTCGGAAATCGAAATAATTATATTTCTTATAATCACGAAAGTCTGAGACTACGGAACAATTTTCTTCTCGTAAATTATAATTATTAGATTATGACCTACTATCACTTAACAAATGAATAGTGTTTGGATAGAACATCGTTTGCGAATGCACGTTCGCGCATTCACGTTCATATTTTTTGAACGAAATAAGAACGTTACTCATTTTTATTCAATTAAAACTATTACTAATATATCTATTAATAAAACTATAGTAAATAATTCAATTAAAACGCGAACGACGTTTACATTTTTAATGAATTTGAACGATTTTAGTGGCGTTCAAATTAATTTACCATTTTAAAAATATATGTATAGATAATAAATATTTATTATAATATGTTTAAGTATAGGTTAAAGCAGGGGTCGGCAATTTATTTCTATAGCGGTCCAGTTAATTTTAAAAAAATATTTGGAGGGCCAGAAAAAACTTAAACGTAATTATATCAATAATGTATTTATTTTTGTAATAAAAACACATTAAAAGACAAATTATTTAATATTAATTGTTTATAAAGCAATTATAAATTCATACTAATAATAACAAAATTGTATTCATAAGTTTAATGAAAGAAATGACATTTCTTTTCTCGAGCTAATTTCTTAAAATCTGGTACTTTCGGAGAAAAAATGACGTGTAAAGTTAGATTAGTTATCTTGAATGGTATTTATTTTTTAAAAACGTAATTTTAGAGAACGAAGTTTCACATATTTATGTAGAGCCAAACATAATAGCTAATTTAATGGCCAGGGTTTTACAGTTCATGTATTTATCTTAGACATACTTTGTCCAAAAATCTTCAGTAGACAAACTATTGTTCATTTGCAATAAAATATTTTCTTACAATTTAATATTAGCAAAATATTTTTGGCAGTTCAGTTATTTTCCTTCCACGGGTCGGACATGACCCGCGAGCCGCCTATTGTCGACCCCTGGGTTAAAGTAAAATATACCAAATATATTTTGTAAATGTTCCATATACACAGAATAAAGGTAGGTGATTCATTAATATGAAATAAAATAAATTTTATGAACGGCCAAATGAAAGCGTTTGTTTCTTAATAGATCTTGAATGTGAACGTGTTAATTTTTAAAAAAATTAACATGAACGTGAAGGAGTTCCTTTGTTATGCACTATTTTTATTACAGTGACATAAATTAAAAATGAAAACAAAATTTTAACAAATTTCGCGATTAGCTCAATCTTTATACGATTGCGTGATAGTGGTTTTCATGGACTTTATTTTTCCCCGTAACATGTATTAGATATATTAGTATTACGAAATGCATAACTATGCATCATCCTCCTTATAATAATAATAATAATAGGAGAGTTTTTTTTTTATTAAAGTTGTTCAACCGTCCTCAATATTTTCTTCGTTATCGTAACAATATATTTACTATGACTATAACAAAAAATAAGTATACCGAATTGTTCTTATTGCTTACTATTTGCCTAGAGAAAGTGTACTATCGAAAATTGTGACGAGGTAAATTTAATATTATAACAGTCTGAATTAAATTAATTTTTTACGACTGAATGATAGTAAAAAAAAAAAAAAATACATAACTACGCAGATTGAATAGAGAACTTTGATGGTAAAATATAATATATTAGTATAATATTAATATATAATGTATAAAAAAAAAAAAAAAAAAACAATAGGTACGCACGTCTGCAGTGTGTGTTTATTACGAACGATGTTATTATAATATCATTCATGTTTTAGCTGGATGCTTATTTGACCAAAGAAGGTGCTCCCGTCGGCAGTATAGTGATGCAAGTGAAACACGATTCTCACGGCTACATGATTTTGGCTATGTTACAATCTTTGAAGAAAATTATCAGACTGAATACACTAATCGTGACTACCGACGGAGGAAGAATGACTTCAGTGGAGGTAAGTTTGATTTCAAAATGAACCATTTCATTTTAAACGGACATAAAGTCTTCGTAGACTGCGGTGTTGCTGATGCTATTGGGGTTGAGAAATATGACTCGCATAATAACAGTCGGTCTACGCGTTTTGTTAATTGTTTGTTAAGCTCGGTTCTCACAGTCATTACATCGACAATTATATTTAGTACTTAACCAAAAAAAAAAAAAAAGCGGTTCGTCTTGTCTAACTATATTTATTCACATTCATACAGTACTACGATCTTATATAAATACAATATAAAATTAATTTTGCTTGGATAACTTTTTCGTAATTTTTAAATTTTAAAGAGAAACCTTGTTTATTACGGTAACGTTTTTACATATAGTATATTTATTTTCCTTGGAATAAGAAAGTAATCTTGCGTTACAAAATGTCAAGTGTACGAAATAGTATATCATACACGTCTAACAGTATTTCGTCAGTCTAGTAGTGATTACTAGAATACGAAATAGTGATAAGATAAATTTAAGTGATCTGAAATTTGAATTATCGAGCGAGTGATTAAGTTATGTACTCGAATGGACTTCAAACGTTTTTTGAGTAACAAAGACTTTTGAGATTCGACTTGTGTGTTTACGACATTATACAGTGGTCAATCGTTGGCGGCGTTTACAACAACATAATAAAATTATTACCAAATTAGTTGATACGTAGCGTATGGTTTTGATTTTCAGATATCCTCCATGCAGGGAAACTCTGAAGCGGTTTTCGTAAAGAGCTCATTGGTATTTAGACGACCGGGAATATACTTAGTTAACGTCCAAGGTGAATCTATAATTGACGGTGTATCCACGCTGTTGTTGGGAGACGTCAAACTGTGGTAAGCACATAACGTCCACGGGTTTAGAAATTATACAATAATTACTAAATAGTAGATTCGCTTGGTTCCTCAATTTTAAAATTTACGAATAAAATTCAAAATGGCTGATATTACTTATATTCTAAGAATCTAATGCTATCGAAATTAATACAAGAACCAATAAGTAGATAAATTATTATACGGCATATGATCGTGTTTAAAATATACGAGTGTATAATAGTACCTACATAATAATTACAGTTATGCTTTTCATTAAGTTTTAATACTTTAACAATAAATCACTGATAAAAAATTACATCATCTTTCAGATTTCAAAAAAAAGCTAATTAAGTTTTTTGTACGATTTTCGTATTCTATTTTCCATTATTTCCAAGCTTTTTTTATTTTTTATTTCGATTACTCCTTCGTACCGGAAAAACTACTGATAAAACTGAAAAATCGCTTGCCCAATTCACCACACATATTGAATATTAATATTTAAACGTTTCCTGAACTGTTCCTTATCGATAGCATGGTAAGACGCAAGTATTCACCTCGTGACTAACGAATAACGGCCATTTTGATTGGAAACAATCTTCACTCCGTTGTCAGATGTCTTGGTTTTTTTTTTACCATAATACTGTAACAATAATGCTTTTGCCCTCGGTAATGACAGCCTAGATATAACCGTGATTCCGCGGCGTAACTGATCAAGGGATGTGTGCGTCCACAGGTTCATTGGCGACAAAGGTGTAATCAGAAGCTCGTTGGAATCCAGGTATCTGAACGGTCACATAAACATCGACTGGGTGCTGGCGCCTCCACGGCAGATCTGGGGCACTGTCGACATCCAGTACGCGCTAAACAAAATGCCGTACCAAAAGCTTTTTACCAAGGTGTACTTCATCGCCCCCGAGAACGGGATCAGTCAGATGAGCGTCGGGGCGCGCGTCAACGCCAACAACAAGTGGACGTAAGTCGTGAATTGCTCTTAGCACAGTATATCAGATATTTTTTCGAATCGCTTCCATTAAACTCTATAATATCTTAATTATCTCTTAATATCTACGAGGAATATATCTAAGGTGTTATACAGCCTATGTTCGTATTTTAAACACTTGTATTTGGAAAATCAGCACAACAACAAAATCCGTCTGATGTTATTGTTTTCTACCACATAAAGACATAATTCGAGTAAAAAGCAAATAGGCTAAGATACGAGTATTGTAATGGACTGTACTATAAGCGCTTCTTGTCAGGGCTTATGGGACCAATGGAATCTCTGAAAAATATATTCTTATAATGACAATTATAAAACTTGTGTGCGCGCGATTGTAATAACTTGCATTATCATATACCTACATAGAATATTCCGAGGGTAAAACACTTTTAAATCAATTAGCTCAATACGTCAGCATACTTATGACCTAATACATGATCTTAGGTACATCCTTTTAGCACTTCTGTAATACAAATTCAACCTTTCATCCTTTAAGGATCAAATTCAATACAATTACCCTTTCTGTATTTAAACATAAACGTCCGAAATCGAATTGTAACACTAAAGTTTAGATGAAAATAAAAACTTGATGATTATTTAGTGTAATGTATTTACAGATTTGAGGCTAATTCAACGGCGATGATACCATCTCTACGGAACATATCGTTTTCGACGCATTTGATATTGCCGCAAAACATTACCAACAATTACGCGATTGTCGGTAATTTTAAAATCGAGGACCGATTCGAATATATTACGCATTTGTTCCACTATCGGTCTCCGGATTTGAACTACGAGTTTGCTACGTTCAGTGAGGTCAGTAACGACGGTTTGATACTGTAAATCAATTCAATAGCTTTAATAATTAAGTGATTGAACTTAATTAAACTTCAAGCTGATATAATATTTTAATTCATTGTTTACTCAATGAGTTAAAATTTGATAAACTATTACAAATAATTACTGTTGTTCTCAGGTATGTACACAAAAAAATATTTGAGAAGTGGGGCTGTTTTAGGTTGTAAATTTTCATATTTATATAATCTATAAACTGTTTTTATTTTATAAAAAATTATTTAATAATTTTCCTAAATTAGGGGAAGAGGTTGAACCCCTAAACTCCCCCTTGCGTATACGCCTGGTCGTCGTGTGTGTAGTTATATACTACGTTTACATGGTGGCTTGAAATCAAATCGTTTTTAATATTATTTAAGACGGTTTAACTTAAACTAATTTCAAATGATTATATACGTACAGATATTAAATAAGTTTAGTCAGTATATTATAAACCATTTTAAAATTAATATTTTAACTCCATGACTTAAGCAATTTTTTTCTAAGAAAAAATCTGATAATGAACCTATATGACTCAAAAACAAATTGTCATATATAATAGTATGAATTATTTATATTTCATTTGTTGTGCATTTACAAATTACAATAATGTCAAAATTAAAATTAATTATTTTTATTCTTGCGGAAGTAAAACACAGTAAATCGACAGTTGAAATGCAAAGAAAAAAGTATTAAAAATTATAATTTGCAGATGAAAATTATTAAAACAAAAAATTGTATTATTATCTGGTACTACTATGCCCAATTAACCAGTAATGTATTGGAGGGTATACGGCGTATACTCAATACGCTATTTTTATCCATGGCGTATAGCTTATGAGAAATTGATAATACGCGAATATACGGTCGTATCTATAGTATAGCTTTAAATTTGATAAATATAAATAATAAAACTTGTAGTTATATGTATGATGTGATTCGGTATCGGATATATTATTGTTATTTTTCTTTTTTTAATGAAAAATTCAAATTTGTTATCAATTAATATCAAGTTTTTGCTATTAAACAGTCAAAATTAAGGATGTGTAGTTCACGAATGAATTTTTTTGATTCCTACTATATGATAGTTACTACATGAAATAAAGCGTATACCCATGATTTATTTTAGTAAAACATCACTGCGATTAACTGATATAACTGAAGCACGAGTTTAAACATATGTTTATTTGCATATTTGATAAATCTTTTTAAGCATATAAAACGGTTTTAAATTTATAAATTACATAACTCAAGAGCTTTAACTTTTAAAATGGTTTAAAAAAGTTAAACCATTTTAAAGTGTTTACATAACATTAATGCGTTTAATTTTAAAACGGCTTAGTTTCAAACTGTTTTAACGCCATCATGTAAACGTAGTAACATATATGTATGTAAAATAAGATCAAAGAGATAGTGATAGAGCATAAAAGAAGAATATTTTTAAGCAATTTATTTATATGTAATGTTTTTACGAGTTTCTATAACAGTGGTTCTATATTCATTTTTGACTTTTAAATAGTTCGTTTAGCTATACTCGATAAAATTTCTATTGGTGAGTTAATAATAATATTAATAATTTATGCAATAATATTATATACTGATAATAATATATACGAAACCAAAAATTATAAAATTAAATATGTAGTTTTCATAAATAGTTATACCAGCATAATCAATAGACTTGTAAATTATTAATTACCCATGGAAACCTAGAATAATTTTTACAAAAAAACTCTAGGTTTTCGTGAAGTATAGTTTAAGAACTAATGATCCAGGGTTTTTTCATCTTGATATAAGTAGATAAAAAGAAATATATTAGGTACAATCTGCAATAAAACGAATTAAAAATATTTTAATGTAAATGTTGATTTAAGTTTTGACAAAAAGTTAATTATTTCTACGATTGACTAATATTTACTCATTTTGTATAATTGTTTTCGTCACTCGTCCAAGTTATTGAAGTACGTTATTGTTACTTAATTAGATAATGAAATAAAGTAACTTAGCCAACTCTAAAAATGTAAACACTTTTACGGCTTATAAACGTTTCATTTGACCGAAATTTTTTTACATAGGTTTATTGGGATAACAAAATTGATGGTGTCGTGTCGTGGGCGTACAGAACCGAAAATCGTGTGTTTCTCGTGGACGCATTTACAGGAGTGACCATGGAACATTTTTATGACATAAAAAATGTGTTCGATGCGAGTTTCCTCAAGCACAGACACGAATCCCATTTGGTATACGAGAAACCTGATAAGCAGCACAAAATCAAGTAGGAAAATGTTATGATTTATATAAACACAAGAGATTTGATCATTTTAAATGTAACGAATACAGTTTAGCTTCCAAACTATTTTGACCATTTTTTTTCAAATTGTGTATTTTTACATGTTAAATCAGAATGTACTTTAAAAAAAAGTCGGTAACATAAATATATGTTTATGGGTATAACACATTACGCGTGTTCAAATGTAAGTTTATATTTATAAATTTTATATATAATTAAAACTAATATAAAAATCTACTTGCTGTGTAACGGGGAGATATTTTAGTTTGATATTCGTTAATTGTACATCCATTCACTAAGCAAACACCCTTTACTCGTTTTGGGGAAGTCTCACTGCATGAGTCCAACTAAATCTATAAAAATTCTCGATTTGCTTTGAAAAACAATCTTGGGTGTAGTAAGATAAGTTCATAACATAAAAAGCAAATACGATGGGGAATTTTCGATTTTACCTAAATGTCAAGCATAAAAAATTCATGTTTAAAAAGAAAATGCTTCATTTTTGACCATAACTTCTAAAGAAGGTTTGATCGATTTTTTTTTTAAATAATATCTTGATATATATTCAAAAACACACAAAAGGTTGAAAAAAGGTTGCTAAAAATAGCTTGGAGTTAAACTGCAGTTATTCCTTAAACATTTTCAACATTTATTTTTAAATATAAGTCGATTACACTCAGTATACTATTAACCAAAAAACGTACACAGAAAAATTCGGAGTAATTAAATATTCATAACGATATAATATAATGATATTCTATCATTGTAAACATATGAAATGTCCTATACATTTTTATTTATTTTTTGTTTCACATTCATATATTCTTCTATTCACATTTTTTTCACATAAATTTTATTTTGAACGTTTTTAAATATTTTATTATTTACCAAGTGCATAAAGGTTTTATTTAACTGAATATTTTTTTTAGCCATTATAAAATAAAAATAAACTTCCTTTTATATTATTATCACTCACTATTAATTTATAAATTAACTTTCTAACGTTAAACTAACATAACTAATTCAAATTAATTATTATTAATAATAATAATATAAAATATATATATAAAAAAATAAATATATATTTACATTAACTTACCTATCCTTGCTTGTAGATAAATTATTTTATTAAAATTATAAGTTTCCAACATTTAAAAATAATTGAAAATCATTATTACACACACTTGTGCTGCTTCATGAATGCCAAATTAATTATAAAAGGTGGTTAAATTTGTATCATATATTTATTAAACGAGCAGGTAATTTGTTGAAAAATAATGTAAGGTATCATTGAGCTCAAATAATTTTATTTTTTTTATAAATATTTATTAAATTATAACGAAAAAAAAATGCAAAAAAATATATTTATAAAAATGAAAAGAAAATAATTAAGTATTTTAATATTATACTTAGATAATACACAAATATTGCCGAAGCAAAACTAAAATGTATAAAATCTTTAATGTTAAATATAAAATGTATTATAAAGAGTAAAAAAGGCAAATGAAAAGTTATATCAGTAGTACGACTTAAATAAGATTAATAAAGGTTCTATTTATACTCGTGTGCATAATACCACGTGAAATATATAATATTACGTAGATACACATAATAAAACCTTAATTATGAACAATCTACATATATATATAACTGTGTTTACACAGTGGTGGTTCATTCCAAATATGGGCCCATGTACAATAGTAAAAAAAGGTAAATAGTAAAAATAGTAAAAAATTGTAATTAAAAATATTATAATTATAGTTATATAAGTTCAAGTTTAAAGTAAGTATTTTTATTCTAAAATTATAAAATCTTATAAAAATCTAGGTACTACCCTTTTTTATTGAAATTTAAATTATGTAAAAAATAAAATGAAATTACATATAATATTAATAATAATAGTTCGATCGAAATTTCGTTTGCATTCTTTTCAAAATTATTAATTATTTTTTTTAAATTTAATTAATGCGCTCGATCGTTTTCAAAAGATAGAATTCCAAGTCCACTTAATTTTCTTTATACATTGTGCTCTGTAAATAGTTTTTTATTAATTTTAATTTTAAAAATGAACGTTCCGCTGTAGCAACTGTTACGCGGAGTGTTAAAAATATCATGCGCTCATGGGCGTAGCTAGGATTTGAATCAGGGAAGGGGGCAAAATAAAACACATTTTTATTTTTACAAGTATTTATGTTTATTGTAATTTTACACTATAACAATGTCAATAGTCTTGGATTTTCGCAAAATCTGCTTAAAATTTTCTGTAGCAACTCTTCTTTTTTTTCATCAAGCAGTTTTCTATCCGCGCTTAGTATGCAGAGACCTAAAATAATTTACATTGTATACAATTAATATAATTTGTATTGATAAAAAAAAACTGTTTTAATTTACCATTCAGACGATTTTCCGTCATCGTTGAACGCAACCAAGTCTTTACCTTTCTTAAGGTACTGAATGACCTCTCAATAGTACTGGTTGTACATGACTGAGCTAACGAAATGTGCAAGGCTTGCCTTATTTTAGGGGAAAAAAAATATCTGTTTCTTGGCCGGGGGGGAATTGCCCCCTGCCCCACCCTCACTACACCAATGCATACGTCGCAGCGCGCTGTACGTATATCAGAAAATATTATTGTTAATGTGGGGTTCTTTATAAACAGTAATTCAGTAACTGGTAAAACGTTTTTTAATGGTATTATTGGATTATCCAATATTAAATAAAATATATTGATTTTAAATTGTTCTTCTGCTGAAGTAAGAAAATCTCTGTAAACCGAAGAACTTTTAATACATTAAATGTATTGCATATAATAATATCGGATTATGGAATTACTAACAGCATTAATTTTATTTGACAAAATACCTGTTTCATCAATAGCTTACTTTTTTTTTATTTTTTCATGGTATTGTTTGAAAAATGTACTAATTTTCGTTATCCGTTTAATAGATCCTTCTCTTTGTTTTTTTTTTTATTTTGGGTTTTGCAGCACTATTTGTAAATTGTAAAGCCATTATAATAATAATTTATAAAATAAAATATTTAATTTAGTTTGTCATGTATTATTTTGTATTGACCCTGAACAATGACATTTGAGACTACAAGGGTCATAAAATAATACATCTTACTAAGTAAATACGTAGCGATATTTTAGTCGTGTAAATTCGTACAGGTTTATATCATATGTATACTTTATAGGTAATAATATAGCCATCCGGTGTGAAAAATGGCCGATAAGCGACAAAGCGATAACGAAAAACCATTGAAAATAGATTTTTATAAAAAAATGTTGGTCTCCCTAAATTGTTATTTATTTTGCAGAAGTAAAGATAATCAAATTTGATACAATATATATAACAATTATACATTGATATCAAATTGAGAACCATGTAAACAATCTTGTTACTTTTTCATAATTATATTTATTTAATTTTTTTTCTACAATTTTGAGCAATAATGCCTCCTTAGCTAAGGGCCCGTGGCATTTGCACACATCACACACACGTATGACACGCCACTGTGTATACATGATATGTATGGTGTATATATATATATGAAGTCTGTAAATACGTTACTCAACCAAAACATTACCGAAATAAAATATTACGTAGGTAGCTATAATAATTCGAATATTTTAATTCCATTAATGATTTTTAATACACCATTTCGTTGCATTGTGGATGAGAACATTAAAACGTCAACGTGAATATTTTCCAGGCTGAACATATTTTATCCGCCGGAAACCAAAATCACCTCGGCAATTGTTGATTTTGAATCGTTCGACAAATTCATATCGTTCATCAACACGACTACACCGTTCGTTACGATTTCTTACTTCGCGTTACGTGTTCTGGCCGAAACGACACCGTAAGTACATATACACATACACACATACACTTGTAAATATTATTTGTTTTTATATAAATGAGAATGCTGTCTGAAAAATACAGTCGCCTTATTTTTGGGTTTATTATTAGGAATCAAAAGTAGTGTAGACGGTTCATTAGAAATATTCGTTAACATACAGTTTTACCGTTATTACTATTATTTATTACTAGGTGTTTATTATTAAACTGTATTACGTCATTCAATGTTTCCAATAAACATTATTTTACAAAATTTAACATTTTACGTTTTGAGAATACTAAGGAAATAAGGAAGTAAGGAATGTATTAGTTTTACGATAATATATATATACTTGTATATTAATCTTATTTTATCGTAAAAACTTTTTTGAATAGTAAATCTGCACAAGTTTTACGCAACAATGTTTTAGATCGCATATGCAACACATCAGTGTGACTAAAGTAAATAACACTAAAAAAATTATTATTCAATTTTTTCAGTAATTTTTGGAAAAATTAAATCGAAAATACTTAAAAATAATGTAAAATTTGTCAGGAAAGTGTTTTTATTCCTATTCATAATTGGCTTAATTATTTTTATGTTTGATTAACATTTTAGTAATTTTTAAAATATCAGTCATTTTTATTTTTTCAATAATTTGATAACGTTAAACAAGACAGTTGGAATGCTAAGACTTCATTCTTATCATCTTTGTTCTTTGTGAAAATTAACTACGGTATTATTTTCGTAAATTTCTCTCGGTATCGTCTTTTGAATGTAACTTTCCTCACAATTCACGTCTTTTGTTTTTCTATAATTGTAATTATTACCATTACCATAAGGACTATTTTATGACATATAAAACGTTAAATTATGACAAGAACATAAAAAAAAACACACACACACACACACACACGCATACGATCATAAGCGAAATTAGTATTACATAAAATCCATCTACGGTTAGTATCTGCTTATAAGAGGGAAAGCGACTTTCAACGGATTGCGTTGCTTTAAAGTGCCCGTTGTGTGTATTTTAATTTTAATTTTAATTTTTCTTTCGAAAAACGTATGGCGGATTCATTTTTTTGGCAGGTTGAACTACCATCGTCACATCGAAGTGTTTTGGCCACACACCAGCGCTTTGTTGAACGCGACCAAAGTGAAAACATTTAAGGAAATAAGTGTCTTAAACGTGGGCGAAATATTATTACACTTTCCTATCGACAAAAAGTACCACGTCGGCAAGTTCGAATTCAAATACGAAGTAAGTCTATTCGGCGAACCGCTCGTGTACGCTACATAAACAAATTTCATTTCATACGTCCCTTCGCGCATTGAAAATATTGTATAAGTTCACATCGCATTCAATGCCGTAACTCTCGCAGTACAATACAGACCGGGAGTTTTACTTTTGGAATTTTACCTTCGGAAAACAGTACCCTTCAAAAGCGCGTAACTCGTAAGTGTATATGTATATAATATATAACCGTCGCGTGTTTAATTGATTTTCCTTACGGACTTCAACGTTTCTTACGTAATTATCGAACAATAAATACACGTACAACATTTTTTTTTTCGGACCACTATAAAAGCTGCACTTCGCCAAATGGCCTAATTCGACATTGTACAACTAACGTGGTAAACACGATGAGCGTAAATACATAGTACACATTGCGACTCCGAAGTATCGAATATCGGACTACCGCGGTTATTGTTACATAAGAGCACTTAGAGTGTAGACACGAGGAAAATGAAAAGTGCCGTAATGTTTGCTAATAACAGACATTGATCTTCGGATTACTCATCTGCTATTGTTTTGCAACCAAAACCGTAGACAAACTCATGGTACAATATTCAATTACGTTACGATGGAGTTTTTGAAAAATGTTCTCTTTGAGGATTTTAAATGAAAATCACTGTTTCCTCTCAGAGAATGGAATGTCATCAAGCATTTATTATAATTCGAACGCTAAATAAAGTACATGTGCAGAGCGAATCCGAGCGAATGGTACCGATATAAAAAAAAAGATTGGTGTGTACACACAAACGGTTAATGGAATAATAATAAAAATCGAAAATTCCCAAATAATTTTAAAACAAATATTTATTTTCGTGTCGATTTATGATGATATAATGTATAGTGTATCGTATTAATTATTTTGTATTTAGTTTCTATACTATATTTCTCACTCAGATTTGAATTGTACTCGAATTTGACGATTTTTTTTCTACGTTACAGGACTTGACGAATAAAATTGTTGGTGATTCAAGAGTGATTTACGACGACAAAAAAATTATTGAAGGAAACTTTACTAGAAGATTCTCGAGACACGAGGACAATTTCATGGACGATAACATCGATTTGACGGTGCAGAATAAAATGTTACCGTTGGGCGTGAGGTACCTGTGCAGGACGAACAACGAAAGCCACGTAGCTACCGAAAACTCGCCCAAATTAGTACGCAACGACAACGAATGTTTTTTTTTTTTTTTTGCTTTGTCATTGCCATTTCTTCAATGAAACTTTCAGCACATCACCGTTCAGACAATACGCAGACGCTAGTAAGCACTAATTATGATTTTATGTTGTGTTTTAGGATTTCAAGCGTATCGAATTGTTTAAAATGAACAACGTGTCCGAATTCAACGTGACGTTTGAAATGCTGCAGTACAAATACGAAGTGGCCTACCAAAACATTTTCAAAGGTTCGGAGCATTATTATATTTTCATTAATTATTACTATTATTGTTATTGTCACAATTATTACGATAATATTGCATAACACAATGGGGGTTTCGGTTAGAATAAAGTGTACGCGTATAAAAGAAAAAAATGCTATTAAGTATGCAGCAAGTACCTATTACTTTTCTTTTGGACTGTTAGCACTTTTAAAGCTTTTATTAAATAAATGCGCCGCGTTTCTTTTCAAAGATATATATTTCCGACGGTCTCGAAACAGCGTTCTGTTTAATTGGAAAAAAAAAAAATTTAATTTCAATGAGTTTGGAATCCTCAACGAACAACCTACCTACGCGTTGATCAAATAGACATGTTACTGAAAACCGTTCGAGTGTCCTACTTCAAGTACCTTTAAGTAAACAGTAAACGTGTAACTTTTAAAGTATACAGAATGGATTTATTTCGGCTGAATTTATTTTCGGTACCACTTTGTTTTTTTTTTCGTCGGATTTATAAACATCCGTTCTGCTATATAACCGAAACAACGGTGATATATATTATTAAGTAGTCTTACTAATCCATATTGGCTAATCGTGTTTTTATCGCCTCCGTTTGTTTTGACCTTATATTTTCTCTAATTTAATCGGCACTGATATCTCGGATTTTATTCGTTATTCGACAACGGTTACCCACAGAAAAATCACTATGTGTATGCGTCAAATGGTTTTTTTTCTCTTTATTTCCAATACGTCCATTGTAGTGGAGTAGGTATGTGATTCCTTTTCTCCATATGTTTAGTTTGCTCATATTCAATATTGAAACACGACCAAACTTCATAACAACATGTGAAGTATCTAAAGCATACTTGGCCGGTAAATTCTCCCGACAGTTTCATCTTATTTCTCAATATTATTTCCATGTAATACGTTTCTATTTAATACGAGATTAATTCACATATTATAATATAAAATTTAAGATGTCTGGAAGTGTACTTCGACCGTATGTTTTTGATAAAATATTATACTGCGAAATTACAATAATTTCGGTGGAAATCGTTCTTGTATACATAATATTTTATGTCATATTTTTACGAGTTGTGTTTGTTTTCTCTCGGAAGTTGTACACTCAATCGAGCTTTTTCCGAGACAAACTTTAAATAATTTTTCCTTTATAATAACCATATATTCTTGTGCAATTTTACACAACACTAGTTTAATTTTTTTATTTATTTCATATTCGATGCGTTCTTACTAATACCTTAGCACAAGTGTAAGAAAAAAATATGCCGTGTGCTCGGATTATTGTATTTTGGTAATTTGATTGGCGACATTCTTGCCCCGCGTCTTTCACACAGCGCTCCATGTATCATAAATAAATTCATCGTAAATTAAATACTTATAAATAGAAATACGTGGCATCATTACGTTCTACTCGCGGTATGTCTTTGAGGTCGAAAACAAATTACGTAACCGAAAGCGACTGTTGTTGATGTAAAATTAGACTGACAGATCAATGGACTTTTGTAATCATTGAATGTGCATAATTTCATGAAAATATATCAATGTCACACGATCATGTTTTTAACTATAGTTTTATTTATGCGATACAAATACGAATTTATTCAATTAACATAGAATAATATAGCTTTGTGGCATTTGTTAGGCGTGCCAATGATAGCTGTAAAATAAGATGTGAAACTATGTGACGAAGTGTTGTAAGAATGCATGAAATTATGGCAATATTCAAGTTATAACTGTTAGTAAACCATACAGTAAACATAAATATTGTTTGAATTGGTTTTTATTGAAATTAGTATCATTTTTCGCGCATAAAAATAATAATTCTTAGTGGTATGTTTCAAAAAATAATTAATAAAGTCTGAAATAAGACTTAATAAGTATAATAACAGTTGAAAATAAAAATAATTTCAAATTATGATTGAATATTCATAATTAAAAAAAAAAAAAAATCGATAAGTTTTCTTCAAAAAATAATGGAAAAATATTTAATACTTGTTTGATTTTGATTCAAATAAGCATACAAATAGAAATACCCCAATCAAAATCAAAATTAAAATCATAGCTATATGAGTAATGTTCAAAATATCTTAATGTTCTATTTAATAACAATTCATTTTTGACGTATGAATAATATTCAAAACCCATCATTAAATTCTATTAAGAAGGTACATGTAAAATTTAAAACAATTGTTCAAAAATGTATTTTTTTATGAATTGTAAACTTAGTATGAATATTATTACCATTCATGCAACTTTGACGTATTTATTCAACAAATTATACATATAGGTAATATTTATTTGAACTTTAGCTTTTTTTCATTAAATATACTCGTGTGAAAATTACTAAATGTAGCTACCACGTTTAATTTTCTACAAAATAATTAATTCAAGTATAACAAACTAGGAATATTTCGTGTAATATTATTATTTTGTAATGTGAAAGTAATTCAGAAAAGTTGTTTTTCTTTTCTAACCTCAGGTGTTAAAAAAAAAAAAAAAGTCTTCAAGTAGTTAAGACAATGGTGATCCAACTAAATTTTTGCGAAAAAATAAATAAAACAATAGAATAATTAAAATGCCTAAAAGATCAATAACTACTTATTAAATTTAATTCCATAAGAACTTATTATAGCTGAGCATTTAAATAGCTACGTATAATATTATATTGTCAGCTGACTGTAAACATACGAGTGTTGAACTATCAAGTTAAAATATTAATAAATTAGTTGTTTCCGATTAATCTTAGATAAAAATTTTATTTTCTTCCTTCCCCCCTACCATGATATTATAAAATGTTTTACTTGTAATAATTATTAATATTAAAATGTACATTTTAATCAAACTTTCAGTGATAAATTTCAACAGAAGTATCATGATCAATTCACATTACGCCGGTGAAAACGACGATTCGTATTCAAGGAACGTCAAAATTATTCTAAATCCCCTAGCCTGGTTGGACTCGGCAATCAAAGTGACTTACCATAACTCGGTATATATAACATAATATTAACATAGTAGAGCCCCTTGTGCGGTTCGGATCACTTGCTTACAATCGTATTTCGGATTTCTCAAGACTCCCAGCGAGTACGGAAAAATCATCGACTTGAACGTTGCGTATCCCAGAAGGAATTTCTCCGTAGTCAGTGACGTGGAAACGGACACCAAATACTTAATGTCCCAGATGACGTTAATACAGCACAGGGCCACGCCGGCCGATGACTACGTCTTCGGATATCGATTTGATTGGAGAAAACTCGAGTCCACGGTGAACAGACATCGCATCGCAATGCTATTATTCCATCCCTCATTTCAAAAAGTAAGTTGGTCTTTAGGTACTGCACTATGCCCGATCCTTAGAGGAAAATGATCACGCGTTACATTGGAGGATTATAACTTAACAAACTAAGGAATTTAATAATAAGAATAATAAACCTGTAATAATTTATCTATTTATAAATATAGTTATATAAAAATGAATCCCTATTACCCTTGGTTACGCCATTACGCGTGAACGGATGAATAATTATACTTTTGTTGTGTTTGTTATTATCAGGAAAAGGTTCTTATGAAAGAAAAAATTAAGAAAATTGCACGGAAAATTAAAAAATTTAAGAATACTTAAACACCATATAAAATTATATCTAATCTAATCTTAACGCTTTGGACACTTTTTTAGTATAACCTTTCGACGTTTGACATAGAATTGACAGTGTTACAAATATCGTTAAAGAGGATGTAAAAAAACAAAATATCGTTTAAAACAAGATCGGAGTTATTTTATTGATAAAAATACATGTAAAATAATTAATACATCAAATTAATATTAATTAAATATTAATATATCTATGTAAAATAACTGAAATTCTTAGTGCAAATAGTGCGATTAGTTCAAAGCCATTAAGCTTAACATTAAAAGTTCAATTTAATATTGAATTTTGGTAAGTTTGAATAGATAAGCTTATTTTAGTAACATAACATAACGTAACATAACGTTACATAACGTTACGTTACTAACATAAAAAGTGATATACTTTATTTTAAAGAAGAATACAATAGTTTTCTTTAATTTACAGTTTTTAATTTACCGTCGCAGAAATTAAAACGATAATCCGTTCGCAGTTAAGACGAGTATTCGGCATTCTCCGTCGGTATACCGCTGCAGTTCTACACAAATCGTTGGCTTGTCGTTGGAGACTTCTTCCCGGTTTTATGATTAGAATCTATTAGACTGCGTATAGTGTATGACAAGAAAGTAATTTCGCACGTGCTATCGGAAATATTATTTTTACGTTCGGCATTACATTTGTTAAACGGGAGAATCAATGTCGATAATATCTCGTTTTTTTAATAAACGCGTTTCCCGCAATCCATTTTACCGTCAAGACTTATCCACTGAATCCGACCTGCCGGTTCTAGATAGTAACTTGATGTGTCGAACAATTTTTTATTTATTTATTTTTTTTATTGTTCGTTTTGCCGCTCCAGTATGTGTTAAATTCATGGTGAAAATACTTATATAGTTTTGACCTAGTAGTAAATAATTTTATCGTCCAATCGGTTTCGGATCTAGGGTTTTTTGAAGGAAAGTATTAATAATTATTATTATATGTATGACCAACCGGCCAGTGAACTGTTTTTATTATAAAACCATACCAGCTGTATTGTTTAACACTGAAAATCGAGAAACTCGGGTTAGTTGGATAAAATCGAATAAAACGTTAATATTTAACAAAAGTAAAACTATGTTTTTTTTTTTTTGATCATGCACAGTTATACGTTGAAAATTAACCATATTATAAAAAATATTAGAAAGCAAGGTATATTAGTACAACTTATGTTCTGTTCTGATTGATAATATAAGAGTCCGGAACAAAATTTATTTACTGAAATGAAATTAATTTTTACAGCTGTAATGCTTTACATTAATTAACATTTTGAAAATATTTTAAAACTATTGATAGGTGGTTGCCCATTTAAGATAAAATAAAAACAATCGACTTTTCCGTTTTTTCTATAGAAAATAAAATGTATTGATTGATATGGGTTCCTACTTTTAATTTAAATTGATAACGTTAGTAGAATTATATAATTATTTGTTATTTTCAGTACTGTACAATATATTTAATCTTATAAAATTAAAAAAAAAAAAAATTAAAAGTGTAATAAAAACATAATATACACAATATTTTAACTTTTATTTGTATTATAAGGTAATATAGTTCCAAAGAGTTTTTTTCCATATGAATGTAATTTCAAAAGGGGTTTAATATTTTTATTTATTTGTACTCTTAAATATATTTAATACACGATATGTTTTTAATTTTTTTTAATACGTTATTATAGTAGCTACACCTATATGAATATGGCAAATTACTAACAGTTTCATAAAATTAAATTATATCATAAAACTACATTTATCGTTAAATCTATACTTGACTTAACTTCTACATGAAATAAGTGTTTTCGTTAAAACTTTTGATTTGTGTTACAGTTCATAGCTGTTCGTGAGCATTGTTGTTTTCATTCGTTTGTTGTGTTCCGCTGAAATATACCATTTATTTTATTTTTATTAACGCAATATCATTAAAATGACTATTTTGTATATATTATGTGATCATTTTAATATTTTCGATTAAGAATTATTTATATTAAATATTTAGCTACAAATAGGAATACGTAATTTTCTGTCACATCTAATATTCTAAATTTTAATATCAAAAATTTCAATCATGAAATGTGATTGGTTTGATTTGTTTAGAATGTTACGATTAGAGGAAATTATTCGCGTGGTAACACGATACTATTTGACTTGAATGCCGAATACGATTATGCGACGGATTCAAGAAGGAAGTTTACAATTGGTTGCTTGATTGAAAACAATTCGGCAAAATCAAAACGAAATTACTTTTTGTCTCTCAAAGGAAGACACTTGAAAACAAGGTAATATATCATTAATTACTCGGATGATTGCGTTTGGGATAAATGAAAATGTTGTAACATTTATATTAGAAATTTTCTGATTTGAGTATTAATAAATAAGAACATCTTAATACTACTAGAAAAAAAAAAATGGTGAAAATTAATAGTACCGTTAAAATTGTGAAAGAAAATAATTTCGAAACAATTTTTTTAGATTTAAATTGGACGCTTCTGGAACTTTTAAGTCACAAGAATACTTGCATTTCTTTCATAACAATGTGACTTATAAGCGCGCCTATCTTGACGATCAGTATTGGGACGGAAAAGGTTTGTTGGACTTTTTCAACAAGACCGTACAGATAGAGGTGAATATTTCCGACGAATACTTTTATCGAAAAGGTAAAAAAAAAAAGGTGTTAATTTTCGTTAAATTTGCTTGTGTAGAAACATTCCATTCACGATACTACTATTATCCACGGTAACTACAGTAATCTCGATGGCACGCATTACGTCAATGGTCTGGTACGAAACGGTGACGATCAGAATATTGTCGGAAAATTCTACATAAATATCCCGCGAAAAGATACGAACATGGTTATTAATTTCACTCCAGGTAAGTAAGTCACCCGAACGTTTGTGTTTCGGATACACTAAATCGGTTGAAAACCGTTTGATACATAATTTTCTATTCCGTCGTGCAGGGTGTGTCCGACGGGTTCAGTATTATGTCTTCGCATCGTTGTGTTCGTCGTTTCGATACTGCTCACACCCGGTAGCGTCTTGCGATAACCCAAGACTGTATAGTACTCAACCTGTCACACAAACAACTGATAATTAATTGTACTATTACTTTTTTAGATCGTTAAATGCATTATGAACACGCTAACACTAATAAATATTGTTAAAGTTATAATCATATTTAATAATAAAAAAAAAAAAAAAACTAAAAATATCATGGGTATTAATATTCATTAATTAATTCTGTCGTTCATAATGAAAGTTTATCGTTTTGAACCCGTTACTAATTAAACCAACTCAATATTGTAGGTGTAAAACGCAATTAAGGGTTTTGATTGAAAGTTACGTAAACACATAAATAACGTAACTAAAACATTTATCAACAATAGACGGCAACAAGCTACAGTAGGAATTTAATGTTCGTTTATTATTGGTCGCTTGATAATTGTTGCGCTTAAAATACATTAATTTACAGACTGATTTATAGCGAACGCCGCGATATACCATCAAAATATCGTAAATTAGAAGTGTTTACATAGCCTGTCTATCTAGAATATAAATTTATTATTTCATTTAATATACACTTGGTTTATTTTCCTTTTTTTTTTTCTGAAAAGTTTATTTTGAAAATAAAACTTTGCATTTTTTTAAAACAAGTCATAACTTCCAAGTAAATACAATAACATGAAAAAAAATAACACGATCAGTGGCGGATCCACGAGAGGAGTTTTGGGGGTTAAACCCCCCCCCCAACATCACGAAAAATATATATTAAAAATCAATAATTTTATGAATGAAGAAAAAGATTTTTTTTTTTAAAGTATAAGGAAAAGTATATAAATTTTTTTTTTATTCGTACAAGAAGTAAGTTGTCTTAGATTTAAATAAATGTATTATACTGCTGACTATTAACTTAATTAAATTATTTCATACACTTAAATAAAATTTTACAATAAAATTAAAAGTTCTGAATTAAATTTTTCTTGTTTTTTTGAAAAATTCTTCAAAAACCTCATCAACTGATACATTAATATCATTATGAATATTCATAGAAGCTAGACCATTGAGCCTTTCTTGACCTGTTGTATTTCGCAGATAGGTTTTGATTCTTTTTAAACATGAGAAACTTCGTTCAGGCGTAGCTATTGAAACGGGCAAGATTGCCATTATACGTACAATTTTGAAAACATTGCCAAAAGACGAATGTGCACTACTGCATTAAAAAGTAAAAACCCTTGATCAGTCACTGACCGCAATATTATAAATAATATCCCAAGTGCCAAAGAAAACAATTTTCAAAACCCCCCCTCCCCCATAAAAAAATCCTGGATCCGCCTCTGAACACGATGTAGAATGACTCTTCCTAATGGAGCTATTTACTAATGATTTTAAAGAGAAGTTTTACTAAGCGGAAGTATCAACACAATTTTTGTTTTAATCTTCAAGTCGAGTTGTCTGGGATTGTACGAAGCAATCTGACTTATTTTAAGACTTATGTGGGAGCTACATTTGTTAAGTGGTTTTTGGTAAGAAATGTTTGTAATCTAACTTACATATTTTATTTTTAGGTCAAATTGTAAGGTTTTGTTGCTAATATACCTGCAATATTTTTTTATTATGTGGAACCATATGGATATTAAATTGTTTGTATATTATTGTGCGAAGCATTACTTCAATTTTTGATACTGTATACCATAAAAAATAAAGTAATGCGTTGTAGATTGGAATTTTGAGTTTGAATTTGGATTTTATAGGAGAGGTCGAAGTAAATGTAATCTGGTATTTGATTGTTTTTTTCTTCAACATTTTTTTTAAGTTCAACGATATATTTAATTTAGTTAGTTTGAAGCAGTAATTGATTGTACAATTCGGCTGGTGGATAGTTCTAAGAACGAAGGGTTTTTTGTTTTTCATTAAATTGTTGTGCCTTCAAAAACCTATTCTTAATGAATAATTTTAAAAAATATATAATATTCGTCTATCTAAGGTATTTAAATAAATATTTTTTTTTTTTCAAAAAATAAACTTTGCAAAATAGCCATGTGGTAATTATACAAACTACTGTCAATATATTCAGTACGAAAGCATTATCAAATGTATTAATAATAACATGTTTAATTATTTTATCCGAATGTAACACCGTTATATTTTTAGATGCTACAAAACAAATGTTTATGTCCGGAAATGTGCTGGAAAGTAAAAAAGCTAAATTTAATATATGGAGAACCGAAAACAATGTTATCATTCCGGAAGTTGGGTTCTCTTTGAGTCTTAACCATTCTAGACTTTTGTCTTCTTCTTTGGAATGGAGAACTGATCTAAAAGACAACATAGTGGTAAACAATATTATTATATGTATTATGTATTATTATTATAATTTAAGACTGATCCTCCAGTATTGTTAGTTATAATCCGAACGTTTTTTTTTTTTTTTGTAATGGATATAATAATAATAATAAGAATAAGAATAATAATTACATTAATAATTATAATTGTATTATGCGTTTTACGTATTTGTGTGTATTCTCATTCATATGTAGAACGCTTTACGAACGTCTATTAACCATACTTGGAGCTACATTCAAGAAACGACGGAGTTTTGGACGCAGTACATAAAATCACAAACGATGGAAACGGCAAACGGCATTTGGGCGGACACGAAACCGGAAATACAGGAATTCATCAACGACATAAGGTGTTGTGATTTTTATTCGATATTTAAACTTTCATAGCGGACCGACGAAATGACGAAAAAATCCCTCGCCGCGTTATAATTTTATTTTCTCTACTCATAACGTACACTTACCCAACAGGAATACACTTTATTATTTAATAGCGGACGCCGTTGGTTTATTGATTTGTAGAAACGATAATAATACTACTGCTACGGTCTTACTCAAAACCTTAGAGTGAACTTTACACTTTAAGCACGTGGTAAAATTTATACTGCACAGGAATATTGGGTAAATTTCATAATAATTTTCTAAAGGAATGGAATGCAACTCTAACGAGCTACTGTAGCGTAAATTATTCGAATAATAATATTATAATCATCTCGTTCAAAATTAAATATATAAGAAAAAAAAATGGTATCGACAACAATCCGCTATAAGTGTTTATTGAGTATTTCTCGTGTACTTTTTTTTTATGCAATATAGTATTTTTTATGTATTATTAAAGTAGGTATTTTTCTCATGATTAAAACTCTATAAAATATTTTCTTGTTGCTAATTTTAATAATAAAATAATTCTAATATTACCTACTGAGCTTAATTTTTAACTAATTTTGGGTTCCATCAAATTCTTTATTAAATAACTACAAATTTTAAAGTCAGAATGTGTTTCTTATGAAACTTAAATATGTACTATTACAATGCTGTATTATTAATTTCCCAATTAAAATACAAAATATTATCACTTCTCACATAATATTTTAAGAATGTTATTATAAGTGCTTGAAATACGTAATCAGTAAATGTCTCTAACGATTTTCATTGTCATTGCATGTATTTGAAATTAAACATTTATTTCTTAACCGATTTTTTAACCGATAAACACGTTTTTTCTATTTTACATTTCAACAGCAATTTCCACGTACTAGAAGAAGACATTGCGTACTTCAGAAAGGTGTTTAACAACTCTTACAATGCTAACGAGTTCTACTTGAAAGACATCCACGGGCTATACATCGCACTGATGGAAGATATGACATTTGTGTAGGTGTTTATTGTAATAACTATATACTCGGTGTCATACGGTGATAATTAAATTTCGTTTTTCTGATGCGATTCTCATGATTGAGTACTACATATATTTGTATTTTAATTAAATGTTTGTGTTTTGGTAAAGCAATTAAAAAAGAAAAATATTGTTTTAAAAAATTTTAAGATATTACGTACAGTTCTCTGATATGCCAGTAGATATATTTTTTAAACTAAAATGTACAGTCCCTTTCATACATACGAGTCGGTAAGATAATCTTCAGTATTTCAGGAAATATCATTATAAATATTTTTTTCGTTTGACACCCTGTATATGTATGACAAATTAATTAATCCAAATGGCTATTCCTCAAATAAAAAAATTATAAACTTTTCATGTTTTAGAGAAAAAATGGGTTCGCTGCCGCAGATTGTAAACGAAATATGGACTGCACTAGGTGACACAGGACAGACGATCAGAAAATCTATAGTTTGGTTCATCGACAGTGTGAGTTGTTATGCGCGTATAAATACATCGGTGTATATAATAATGTTATTTAAATAGATTATCTTGACTGAATTTCGAAATCCTAAAATCCCTTTGTAATCACAAAATAACAATATATTGTTTGTAGTTACTATCGAAATTGAATATGGAAAACTATTTCGATTCGGTAGTTGATTACGATTTATACTTTTCACGTCGAGTACACGCAAGTAAATTGAAATGGCATAGATCATGATATTGGTTAATAAAACTTAACAACTATATAATACTTTCAACTAATATAGTTTTCTAAAATTTGACAACTTTTATGAATACAACATAATATTTGAAAACTTAAAATTAAATTCAATAAATTAATTTTTTATATTGAATTTTTAGTGTAACAATAATTTCGTACGGAGCTCCGTAAGGTGGGTTTAAATTATTTTTTCTGTATTTTTTCTATTTGTTAACTATTTAGATTTAGTCTTTAAATATGTAAAGTTTTCTGCGTTTTTTGATCACCGTATTTTGTTATTTGATTCACAAACGAAAGCTTTAAATTGCAAAAATATCTTGATGGATTTTTAGAAAAGTGTAATTGCAATGACTTGAAAGACCGTTAAAAACGAACGTTGATAGTAAAATATTAATAAAATATTAACTTGAAAATTTAATTTCATCTTGCTGTAATAAGTATACATTTGTTTTCGATTATAATAAGCGAGATAATTATTATGTTATCTGGTAAGTTATCTTTTGTTTACCGATCATATTCAAACAGAGTACCTATTCATAGTAACTTTGCGGACCCATGGATTTCTTATTAGAATTAATATTCAAGAGTGATTCAAAAATATTAAAACACTAATGGTTCTATATTATTACTCACGATCCTGATCTATATTTGAGTATTATAATTATCTTTTAAGTTTGATAACAGACCTCTATGGAAGACGAAGCAATTAATAAACATTTCAAATATTCTTAATCTACAGCATTATTGTAATCTACCTAAGAAGAAATTTTTTTTTCAATACTATCATGATGAGTACACGGCTTAATCTTGATTACAAATTTAATAATGCGCATAATAGTTATCGAACGATTGAAAACACTTAAAATTAACAAAGAACTTACCGCTGACCCCCCAAAAAAAAACCCCCAAAAACGATACGATTGAGAACAAATTTATATGCAACGTTGCCATAGTTTGCCATATAATTTATTTGGCTTTTGAAAAATTCAGTATACATACAATAAATATTCTTGAAAAAAGTCATAAATTAATAATTATAATCGAATACAAATAAGCGCATAATAATATGTAATATATAATATAAATAAAAAATTAAAAATATGTAGGACTTATAAAAATATCTAATACGAACAGACGAAAAGTTTGTACGATGACTGCAAAGCCTCGTATCTGGTATCTAAGTTACTATTCAAATCCAGCTAATTCGATAAAAGTCCGATAAATATAAACAGATTATTGTGCTCATATTATCGATCGTTTATATTTGGCAACGTTGGAAAAAAAAACTCCAGCGTTCTCAATCGTATTTTACCGCGCATAATGCTTGTAGTAATAATAATTTCAAATAATTTCAACATATATCTTATACTTAAACATACTAATTTCTAATATATTATGTATTATATATCTTATTTTAATAATTTAGTAATTCTTTAAATGCACTACTTCATTGATGTAATAAATGTTATTTATTATTATTTTATTATTAAATTTGGTTGTACTTGGATATCCGAATTCACTTGACCTAACGATATTGATTCGAAACATTTGAACACTTTTTTGGGAAAAACTACGCATTACATATTTATAGTGGAATATTATGTTATTATGTACACAACGATAGTGCTTCGCAAATATTTACCATATTTTAAATCATGCCGTGTAATATAATATTGTATGTTTGGTTGTTGTAGATAAAAATGGCTTATAACGAATTTGGAAAGCTGTTGAAACAACTGATGGAAGGCGAAGCTATTGTTTACGTATCGGACTTTATTAGTAGTTCCATGGTGAAATATGACAAAGTAAGTGTACACTCTGCACGCGAATTTTCTATATGAATCATCCTAGGCAGAAACTATCGAACGTCTTTATAAAACGTCAAAATACATCATTATTGTGAAGAAACAAAGATGAGAGTGATAATGCCATTGTCATGGTTAATGCCGTATCCAGAAATAACTTTCGGGGAGGGGGAGGGTGCAAAGTATGTTTATTGTAATTTTACAGAATTAAGGTCTTAAAATTTGGTTAAAAATAATACCAAAAAAGTTTTAATTTTCTTTTAATAGAATATATAATTAAATAAACAAAATAACATTAAAATGACATACACAAATTCAATATATTTTAAACTAATAAAATGCTTCTATCTTTTTGAAGAGCAAACTGGGTTAATACTTCTTCGAGATTAACTTTATTTTCTTTTATTAATTCTTTTTTAATAGTTCAGTTCATTTAGGCGATATTTTAATAAAATTTCCACAGACTTTATTGTTCCTATACAATTACGAATATGGTGAATATTTGACGAAACAATTCATTTAATTGGAGTTTGAACCATTTATAACTGAAAATATTTATGTTAGTATTAAAAATAAATAGTTATTTTAAATATTTGTAAGATACTGAAGACATTTCGGGGAGGGGGGAGTTTGGACCCTTTGGACCCTTCCATAGATACAACCTTGGTCATGGTGCAGCATTTAGGCTTCAAGTTTTTCAAGCCTTTAAATTATGTATTCAATGATTTTACAAATTCGTGCTGATCGAGATATAAATATAATTAATTTTTTTACATTTTTTAAGATAAACATCGAAATAAAATGTGACTTGATATTATCATATTCATATAATTAATAACAATAAAGACCATATATGTATATTATGTATATTACATAAACATAATTTATTGATTTGATAAAAACAGTTTGCTGCATAATATTAAAGCCGATTATTATTTATACTATCGTCAATTCAGTTTAAATTAAACAAACCGGTCGTCTGAAGATGAGGGTAACTTTGCTTTTCAAAAATTTATAAAACTTAATTTATCGATTCGATTTGTAAACAATTTTCGCTGGCTGTAAAAATAATGATACTTTCCCACGAATAGTTTCACTCGATAAATATGAACATTAAAGAAGTTATCTATCCGAAAATAAATTGCATTTCAATATTTAATTAACTAATGTGACGCCTCTGGTATACATGTTTTATTTGTTCAATCTAAACGTTTCAAATACGAGTGTACATTGTGAGACATAATATATGATTTGTATTATGAATTTGTTCTGCCTCCAAACCGTTTCGAAAATCTGCACCCAATGGTTGATCGTTAACCGACATCGTTTATTATTTCTTTCGACCAGTTGATAAGAGACGTTCATATCTCGTTCATAAGATACGTGGAAAGCATGTTGGAAGAATCGTCGAACACGGTGGCCGCGTACTGGAGTAACGTGCTGAAAACAATCGAGCCGACGGTGGTGCAGATTTTCCATCACATCGAAGCCGTTTTCGTGACGGCTACGAAACAAGTCATCCGTAAGTTTTTGTCTCGGCTTAATGTCGAAACGCGTTATTATTATTTTTCCTTTCGAATAATTTTCATCCATTTGCACCACATCCCGCTCAGAGTTTTTGTACGCGAGACAGCAAGAGCTTATGCTTTCACCGTATTACACGCAGACTCAAAACATGACCCAAGACTTGGACAAATTCTACAAAGACCTCATGCACAACGACGTGCTGACGAACCTGAAGAAATACACCACGATGTTGTACGACGTCATCAAAACGAGATATTACCCACTCATACCGTTTGGTAAGTATATCGGCACTGATCGTAAACGAATAGCACCATCATTTTTTTTTTTTTTTTTTGTAATAAAATTTATCGGATCGCCGTTCCATTATGTTCGTGTGTCACGTTGACGTCACTAGGTCGATATGGTTAACTTGATAGACTTGTCGACATAAAGACCCTCTCTGCGTGTGTGTGTGTGTGTGTTAAATAATGTTAGCGTAAGTTATTTCCAATAACGTAAGCCAGACCTCAGAACTTTTATGTTTCTTCTTGTTACTGTTTAAAATGCTTAATTATGTTGTCGTTCACTATAAAACACGGATCACATCAATGATTGTTGAAAAGTAATAACACTACCGAAAGTTCGATATTTTTATTATTCCCGTTCATATAGCGTTCTTCACTTGTATGCAACACATGCAAAGATAAACGATGTTCGCTTTACGTAGAAAATCGCTTGAAATATATGGATATTTCGGTGTAATCGACTCGTGTTTCGAATTCTATCACGTACTACGTTAACGCAAATTTACAGAATCTTTGAACCCGATGGCCGCAGACGGGTTAATTAGTTATCGTATTAATATTATTGTTTTAATGTCCCTCGCCTGTCGGACGCGCGTGATCTAGACATATAGCGATGTTGTACGTGCACAAAGCCTGGTCCTCACTGAACGCAACGTAGGCGCAACATTCCGTCGTCAGCCCAGGCATCCGTACAGGCGTGTAACACGATCAAATGTTTTCCAATGTTCATCGGTGCGTTTGTTGTTATTCGAAATGCTGCTGTCTGCTATAATTTTTTCCTCGTTTTATATTATTATTCGTCTATCACTCGAATGATTTCCGGTCAAATCACTGGTGCTGTATTTATTGTTATGCGTAGCCTACTCGAAAAAAAAAAAAACCGAAAGTAAAAACCGTAAGCGTATGGGACGCTCCTGTGTTACGAAGCAAAAATATTTTTCATCGGCGCACACTTACTAACTGATTAAACACTTCGGAGATATTTGGCTACTGGAGATTATTATACAAGTTCAGTTTTCGTTCGAACCGGATGAGCGAAATGCACCGAACACCACGTGTTTCCGGTAATAGCCCCTTCTCCCCAAACAATCGCGCAATATGCACAAACTTGCAGATTCGTGCGCAGAACAGGTCCGCATCGAACGCGCCGAACATAACAGCAACGTTGCAAGACTTTTTGTGCGTTTGGTGTGGGCCCTGTTTAAGAAATAATTATTACCATTCTTGTTTGTTAACCCGTCCGATGACAATGAAGCAACCGCTCCCTTCAACTCATTCTCCCTTCTGTCAACCCCCACGCACACATACATTAATAGTTGGACTGTGATTACGAGCCAATAATGCGGAAACGACTTATGAGCTTAATCTAATGTAAAATTAGCATTCTGTTTACTCGTCTACGAAGTTATTTCCGAGGTAACGACGTATATTGACATCATATAGGGTAGCCGTTTAATGGGACCGAATAGCCATTATACTATAAAACAAACGCGATAAAGTTGGCAAATTTTACAATGTCATATGTAACAGTAGAAGAAAATTTTACAATTATAATAATATTATTGAACGATGTGTACGAATGAGATTATTATCTCACTTAACAGTATGAAATCGACATAGCATTGGGAATTCGCTAACATCACGTGCACTTGCGTCATGTAGCCATATCATTGTTATACCTATTTTTATTTTCTTACTATTATTCCAATTAAATTGTTTCTGACTAATTGTATACTCACGTGTACTATGTATTAAATATTACAGTAAACTTTTGAAAAAATTGAAAACTGCGTTTATTTTTTATAAATAACAATGCTATAATACGTGAGACTAAATCGTTGTGCTTAAGTATTGTGATAATAATTTTAAATCAGACTTCTTTTCGGTGTTGAATAAATATGCAGCGACAGATTTGAGTGTTGTTATTAAACACGCATTTAAATTTATAAATAAAATAAAAATTATCTCGAAAATGTAATAGTTAAATATATTTTTTAGCCATCGAATTATGTGTGGTTTAATGAAATAATACCGTACGTTACCGAAAATACTTCAAAATTGAATAAAATATAAAATAAAAATACTTTTTTGTTTTATTAATTTGATCGACAAATATTATTATATTTTTTGTTATGATTGAAAAATAAAGTTAAATAAAGCACATTGTGTTTAATAATTCCGATCAAAACAAAAACCTCACAAATTATAATGATTTGAGTGAGGTAGTTGTTTAGTACGGAAACAGTGTTCGCGGAAAAACCTTGAAACATAATCATTCAATAATTACAAATTCATCAATTTGTACACTTTATATAACTGAATAGTTTTGTTTAATATTATTTTTAATTTTCATTATATTTATTAAAGTTTTACCTTTTCTATCAGATCCAAATGTGGTTTAATTACATTTCGGTTAAGTTTAATATTAGGAAAGCACCATAGGTATGATACATAATACACAATGTATAAACCAATTGCGACCTAAAATAAATCTTTACTAAAATTGAGTTTACTTTGCTTTATAGCTAATACAACAATCAAATCAATGACTTGAGAAAACTAATAATATTCAATCGATCAATCTTATCAAAGTATTATCAAATTATACGAAAAGAACCACATTATTGTAACCTATATAATGTACAATCCATGGTCATAATTTCTTCTCCGATAAAACCATCTATTTGAAAATTGAAGTAACTTTAAATTCATATGAACACTAGAAATTATTTTTAATTTTTAGATTATCTTTAAACATTGTTAAATTTTAATTTTAAATTAAGTCAAATAAAAATAATTTTATAGCCATTTTAAAATCAGCATAAAAAAATTGTTTTACTATATAAAAAAACTTTGTAAAAATAACATTTAAATAATTGAAAAAATTTAAAAAAATCTGATTTTAAACTTCTGTATGGTCAGCAAATTCTATAAAAGGTCATAGAGCCGAGGTTGAGCAATGTCTTTTTAACAGGTTTAAAATAAATTTTTTGGCAAATTCAAACCTAGGTGGTATGGTTAATTTTGTATTATTCCGGCAATTATTCGGTTAACATTAATAATTAATAGTTATTAACATTATAAGTGCACTGCTAACATAATGTACCGGTATGTGAAATATTCAAGTCGACATTTTATTGTAAAATGTTTTTTATGAGAATGAAATGAGTTCAAATGAAATTAGCTGGTGAGAGGAGATCGATTTAAACCGAAAATTCTGGAATGGCCTTGTCACGTACACTTCATGATTTTTTTGCCACGGTGAATTTTAATTATTTTCACACGTTTCAGGAAAGCCGTGCAGTACACAAATTTAACCTGTGGATACATGTCCGACCTCGAATATTTAATACTATTGTCCAATGCGCGAGTTACCCAATTATAATATTAATTCGATAGCGAATTCGTATGGTATTATAGTGTATGATATGTTGCATTAGATAGCTTCGAATGATTTAAGAGCCACTCGTTAAATAACGAAAACGCTGAGTTTAGAATGATGAACAACGAAATGGTAGCACTGAAAACCAAAACATTTCGATTGAAAAATATGTCTTGAAATATTTGAAAAATATCACCGTGTTGGAAGAACGAAACTCGAAACCTGACCAAATATTTTATCGGGATGTACTGTAAACTCTCGATAGTTTGAACCTCAACAATTCTAAAAACTCTATAAATCGAATTTAACGTTTGGTTCATTGAAAAAATCTTTATAACTCGAATAAAACACAAATATTTCTGTTCCCTCGATTGATCAAAAATAATATGGTGTTAGATACTGGGAAGCACTCTAGAATGTAAATATTTTTAGTGAAAATCGCTATACGAGTACAGGTAGTTCAAATTAATTGTACATAAGCCCAAATAAATCTAATTACAACTGTGATTTACACTACCTACTCGTATCCATTAAGAACATATATGTAATGTTAGCATCGAAAAATAACAAAGGCGATTACATATTATCAATTATCATAGTTCTCTGTTCCTGAATTTCAAATATTAAAATTTATATTTATTGAATATTTTTTCAATTTAATATATTTATTCAATATATAACTGCGATAAATAATTAATATTCAATCAATTAAATAAATATGGATTTCAACTATTTTCAATTCGAATATATTTCCTCGATAATTCAAACTCTTGTTAAATCAAAAACCTTCTTCATAAATCAAATTTAACCTCGACTTTCTGAATTTTGAATGATCAAAGGATTTTTGTGATGCGTAATTTTTGCCGATAGAATTTTTTTTCGGAAAACGCTTACGCGTGTAGTTATCAATCAATATTATAATATGGGTACGCATGTAGTTTGGTGACGTGCGTTGTATCGTAATATTTAAATAAATAATGTGCCCGGCTTTTTGCGTCAGACTGTGTCAATATATTAAATGCAAATCAAACTTATTGTAATGCACAATCTACGAGATATTGTGTCGAACATTGTTAAGCAAACAAACGCAGAAAAAAATTGTTTTACGTCAGAGTAATGTGTCCATGCTTTATTACGTTCTATCTGGTATTGTTATAATTATTTTTACTTCTGTAATTATTAAATCGTTTGAGCATACATTGTTACATAAGTATAGTAGTGCACTGAACAAATACTAAAATAATGTAACATTAAACGCGTGTGCGCTACTAGCTTATATACGCAAGGAGATAGCGAATTTTATTTTTAATAATCAAGTTCGTGCTTGGAAATAAAATTGGTCGAGTTAATTGTTTTCGTGCTTAACTCGCTCGAAGAAAAATATTTATATGATAAATTAATTCAAAATTGAATATTGACGTCAATTTTTTTGGTTAGCAAGGATTTAGATATTTCGATTTTGTTATACCCCGGTGACGGATACATCATGTTCCCTGAATATTCTTTTTGGGAATTATTCATCTATATTCGTCAATATTCGAAAATAGTATTTACGGTTTAGACGTTTTTCTAAAACATGCATAACTATGTAAAACGAGAGCACTGCGTACCCACTCGGTAGTCCGGCGCCGTACCGGGACGAGGAACCTAACCATAATTGGATTACCGAAAGTTTAGGGTTTACGGAAAATGTAAAAAATTGAGTTTACATAATAAAAAAAAAAACGATAAACTGATTTATTTCGAAAATACAATACACGTGATAAAACACGGTGGTCAGCTGAACAAAAACATAACGATTACGGCGTCAAAATTATTCATTTTGGTGCACGTATTTTTATTGCCGGCAATGAAATTCTATCACATATACTAAGATTATAATATTGTTATTGACCGCGTAGGCCACATAAACACGGCACATTGCCCCTATCAATAACGTATTGAAATCTAACCCGACTACTGACCGGATTGCCGAGATCGCACTAATCGGTTTATGATGATTCGAATTTCGGTCAACGTTTGACGTAATTTAACGTTACAGAACGAACAACTTGAAACATGCATTACGTAGGTACACAACAAAAAGTTACGCGTTCGATTCAAAATCCATGAAATTAACTAAACATTTCGAGACCGGGTTATAAATTTGCAACTCTTTTACGTTCAACCATGCAGATAGTGACGATTTTTGCAATAAGTGCACGATTTATAACTACCTAGGTATCCGTATAACCATTCTGAAACATTCGCGGATTAATTATTACATATACCGACAACGTCCTATATTCGCCGTGTTGTGTAATAATACGAATAATTTGATATTGTTAACATAATACTACTACTGCAGCGTTGGTCCCATAACCTTTTAACCGCGGTTTAACAACGCGTTTCGCCTAACACTGACTTTACGCGCGACGAAACGAACGCGAGTGCTTGCGTCAACGGAACAAACGACGGTCACCAAAGACCGGGAGAAGGGGACGACGACATAAACACTTATGTAATGCGCAAAATTTATAATACAAGATGATGACGTACGACGACGGTTGCACGGTTTGAATGCGCGACGACGTTAAAACGGTTATTGTAAAAATCGTATTATGTACACTGTTTTCCCCTGGTAAAACTAGATTTAAAAACTTGATTGACTGTGTGTTCGGCGCTAGAGATTTCAACGCGTAACCGACCGCCTCCGCGCACAACCTATTTAATACGTTTTGTTATGCAAGGAATTAATACGCTTTATGCACGTATAACGCCTTGTGTACACGTACGAACCGTTTCACGTCACGTGTCTGTTATTTTAAGAAAAACGTAATCTTCCTTAAGTTTTCTACTCAAAAGCGTACGTCAGTCTTACATAATAATATTATAAGTACGTTGAAAGACTACGATATCGCATGCATAGATTTGTCATTCGTTTTTCGTTTCTACGGAAGAATTACGAAGTGTGGGTTTACATTTTTTTGCCGAACATTTTTTCCGCACCGCGAACTTGTATTGTGTATGATGTAACCATCAAGAATAAATGTTCGTGAGGCGCAATGCAGTACTTAAACGTACAGTGTGGCTCGTATAGCTCTTTCCCTTTTCGTGAAAACTTTGAATTCTCTGGATACCTGTTGATATTTATCAGATGATAATGAAATGCATTGTATTCGGATCACCGTACCCAAAAGGTGTAAGAGAAAGATTTTATTTATTTGCTACCTTTTATCGAACGGCACCCCTAGGTACTTGTATTTTAATGCACATACCCATGTACCGCGCGAATAAATGCTCGTAGGAACCGTGATAACGATCGTGAATTGTTCATCTGCGAAATGATTGACGTTTGCAACTCGAACGTACACTAACAATAATAATTCATAACAATATATAAACGATATGGGCTCCTCGTTGTAGTAAAATATACGTACAATCCGCCGCTGAAATAGATGGTATAGTCGTCGCGCACGTGTTACAAAAATATAAAAAACGCATTTTTTCTGACCTGTACGTACAAATGTTCGTTTCATTGAACAACTTTGGCATCAATCCATTTTTATACCATTAAGCAAACAAGTTTTTACATGTGCACATACATAATATATGCCATATATATTATGGAACTCGTGCTAATGTATACTAACTTGGTGTTTTGAATGTTTACAATTTAATTGTAAATTTTATTTATACTTATTACATGGTATTGAAATGATAAAACGCAACGTAAATATTCATTTCATGAGTTATGTCGCAAGATCGAAACGCCGTTCGGCTTAATTTGCTCATAGAAAAATAATATAACGATTAATAATATGTAAACGAAACAAGTTCTTCGGCCATTTTTATCCGAAAATTGTCCATAGTTTACGAATAATATCGAGTTTTCACAAACTAGATTCTAGGATCTGTAAACTATTAGAATGTGACCGTGATAATATTGTTTTTAATTAGTGACTAATTCGATAGCACAAATATATGCCACGGTTTACCTGTATCATACTATTCTCCTCAAACATCCTCAAATGTTTCGAAAATATTTGTCAGTAATATGTTAACGTGCTAAATGTTTTTTGTTCGTGGGAAAGGATTGTCGCGAAATTCAAAACAATTTTCAAGGCCGACTTTTAAAAATGTTTAATGAATACTATATAAACTAGTTTTATTTGCAAGTATTTCATATTATCTTTACCTTTTGAAGTTTTTTCGACATTTCAGGCATGATAAAATTATAATAAAAGTTCTAAAATTAATTGATTATAATTTTAAATTGATTTAAACATTATATTTAAACCATGCTCTTGTAGTTAATTTAAATACTAGAACGTTAATTCCATATAAACTCGGAGTATTTAACGATTATGGCCAGAAGTGCAATTTTTCAATAAACAGAGTAGGCAGCTACTTAGGGTGGCAATATTTTGGGGTCAGAAAATGTTGTAATGCTTTAATAAAATGTATTATTCGTATAAAAATAAATATAAAATTCATTATTATATTATATTTAGAAAAAATTATGAAATATTTACTTAATTATCATAAAAATGATCTATAGTATGTTTTGATTAAAATTTGGTGGACATCCATTGCAATTTTTTTTTCAAAGTAGACTAATAACTAAGAGTGAGAAAAAAATGTCCAACAATTGAAATGAATGAATGGAGGTACTGTAATATTTAATAATTAGGGTGGCAAATTTTTAGTGCCTATAGCCATAAAAAAATTAAATCAACTTCTGACAATGGAAATAAAACATGTTATATATTGTGTTGAAGATGTTTAACTAAATAGTAAAAATCTTAAAAAAAAAACATTAAATATCATGAGTTTTATGTAACTAAGGTACTCAATACCATCTTTAAAAAAAAAGTTTACTAACGACATCTATAAATTATGTTGGTTTATATACCCACGCACATAAACACACACATACATGCAAATATATTATGAATTATTAGATCTTTGGTTCACGCGTTATTATATTATAGAAGATTGCTTTTGAATAAATAATGTGTTCACTGTTCGTCGTAGTATTTACTTACCTATACCGAACGTCAATCTTTCGTAAGACAAATGTCAAACGAATACGTTTATATAATATGCATTTAATGATGTATACAGTTGTCAACTTATATAATATGCACTCGAAATATATGCGGTATTTTTAAGGACAGAAAAGAAAGAGAGAAAATAAAAAGAGAAACAGAAATAATAATGTTAGTGTAACTTTTTAGTCATGTTTCGAACATAAATTTTACTTTAGATATGATGATATCTGTACGTTTATGTATTAATATAAATATTGTATATAATAATGTAAAAATAATATTATAATCATACTTGTGTTATAATATATAGATATACACATTATTGTGTATTTGTAATTATATAGTTATATATTATATGAATACAACTTGAACGTGTGTGTGTGTGTGTGTTTGAAATGATTTCAGCGACTGAAATAAACGCCCTAAGACTGGAAATAACAGACGGTTTATATCAGTTACTCAAGTTGCCGTTAATCTCTTACGTGATCGACAACATCAAAACAATGATCAACCAAGTAATTATACAATTTCAACATGTGCCAATTATTATTCGATTTCTACAACAATGAGAGGTGTTAACTGTTTCTTAATTTTTTTTTCCTCTCGTACTAGATCGTTTGGTTTTGCGAGTACATCGACTTGTCCAAAAAAATACAAAACTTTATTCCTAAACTAATCGATCGAGTCTATGACCTAACGTACACAGCAGTTGATAACGAGATGAAGTAAGACTATACAATTTATATTAGTGATGGGTCGAACTGTTCGAATCTCGAACCCTTGATCTTCGGTTCGGTTTGAAATTCGAATTCGGCATGAAAAAAAATCAAACCGAACTACCAAGTACCTTTTACTGTTCGAAAATCGAACTTGAAAATATTTGTCGAACCAGACATACTGGCCACGATAGTTTGAAAACCAAATATTTGTACAATTCTTCAAAAGTTCTTTATGAAAAATAAAAATTGATAATGATTATTTAGAAATAATTAGACTATTGGCGATAGAAAGTGATAATCTGTAAAGGGCACGTTATGCATTATTTATAATAATAATGTTATTTTTCCAGTCGCATATTACACATCTACCTTCCATCGACCAAAACATTAATAAGTTGTTTATCGCCAATAGAGGCAGTGTATCTACATTCATAAATTACCATTTTTTGTTTTTATCATATTTGTTGTATAGGTTAAAATCTATTTTGTAACTTACGTCTTACATTATAAATTCTACTAATCATTCTATATTTATGAATTATAGTTATTATTACTATTTTTTTTATATATATTATTAAAATGCACTGGTTGTATTGTCATATGACACTCAATACTCAATACTCAATACTTAATGAATATTTTATAAGCTACAAGACAACACAAGAGAGCACAATACTGGTTTTGAAAAATAATAATAATAATAAGAAATTATCTAAAATTTAAATGTATTGTAAATAATACAATTACTTAAAAGACTTAAAATTTAAAATGTAGAATAGATAATACGAAAACTTAAAATACAATAGTAATTAATAATTATGGTTGATTTAATTTGTAGGTAGGTACAATGTACATGATAAAAAGTATTGAGTACAAGTTCGAGTTCGACTTAAAATCATAATAGGTTCGGTTCAGTTCAAGTTCGAAAAAATAATTTAAAGTTCGGTTCAATTTAAAAAATCGACCCATCACTAATTTATATACATATATATATTACGAATAGAATTAGTAATCTAAAAATCATGTTTTGTTAGTTTTCAACATTACAAACTGTAATGATTAATAACGATTGATTATGTACATTACAGGTATCATAAGGCAAAAACGAAGTTTTTATGTAACCCGGAAAAAGGAATTTTAGAACTGGAACAAAAGCTACCATTCTCCTGGCATGCTTTTAATGAGACGCCAAAATACGAAGTAAGCGATCATTTTCGCGATCACCGTACACGTTTGTACTCCATATACGTGTTATTATGTGTTCGTGCCAACACGGCCTTTTTTAATGTGTGCGTGTTATCAAAGTTTGCTTATCGACTCTTATCGCGCGTATTGCAGCGTGGTCGACGGTAGCAATAGCTTTCGTGGGCTGACCGCCCAGTGCGCGGCATAGAGTAATATGGAGAGAACATTACATATCTCAGCTATAAAAAAACACAAGAAAGTGAAGATCAAAAGGTGTATGATTGCCATTTGAAAAAGTACGAAAAAAATGATTGTACAATGTATGGTAAAACGATACACCTGTAATACTGTTATCTTCGATACTTTTTTTATCTCGTGTGTTGTTACCATAATCATATATCTATGACTGTTGGTTAAGTCACCAAAATCTTGGAAGTATAAAGTCTTGGGCATTCTCTAGTTCTTTACCCAAAGATGTTCCTTATGAAGGAGTTATACCTGAATAAGTGCCCTATTAATTTTGCTTTCCTCTTCAATATGAGCCTCATTATATCCCTTTTCTCTCCTACGTCTTTTAATACTCTCTCATTTAATTAAGTTTCAACTCATAATGTTCTGCTCATTTTACTTCAGATCCAAAAATGATTAACTCATTTTATCGTGCATTTTGTGGTTACATAAATTTGTTCCACTAGATAAGCAATACCGGCAATCATATAACTTCTCCGGTTCACTATTTTTTCGAATGGCATCTCTATATTATTCTATGGTGCGCGCGTAAGATCGTCACTTTCAGTGGTTTTTGTTAATGAACGTTACCATTTTCGTGCGATGCATAGCGGTACGTTGCGTATCCGCAGCCATCGTATGCGGCGGTGATAAGCCTCCGTGTGCGACCGGCCGGGTACGTAATCGCATGGTTATCATCGCGCGTAAATGTATCCGTGATCCTGTGTTTTCATTATTTATCGGTTTTGTTTCAAAAAAATTGAAAGTTATGTTCGCGGTGCCACAGGTTCCTTTGATTTCCATTTCAGTGTGGTGACACTGAGACATTTTATTGTTAATGTGGCGACCGGCGGCTGGAGCCTTCGTGGTAACGGTCGTCGGCCAATATTATTACATACTTATCTTTCTATTCTTGTCGTGTAAACACCTTCATCCGTTTTTTGTTCCTGCTGCAACTGTCAAACTAGGTTTTTACTGGTGTTGTTCGTTTTACGTGAATTCTTCTGTCTGGTAAATATCGTTCGCGTATTTATTGTCGATCATTTAATAGTTTTCCCCTAGTCCAGGTCATTGATTGCCAGCAAATGATTGTGAGTTTCGTGGATTTTCGAGTTGTGTGTACGCAGCCATTGTATTATTGTGAATTAATCACATCGTGTTGAGGTTAGCGACACTCTCGAGTGTGTGCGGGAGCAAACCTATACTTTTTATCGTATCAATTTGATTATTATACAGATCCCGACACCTCAAGACGTCATAACCTCAGAAGGTATGTGGTGCACCATCTTTATAATTATATTGGACCGACGGGTCATATATTAGTATTTTTTATAATTATTACGCCTATTGGCATCCGTCTAGGGGCGGATATAAGGGGGGAGGGGTTCAAGGGGTTAACTGACCCACAGTTAATATTTGTTGACAAAATTTGCCCCTTGGAAATTTTTTTCTCTTTTTAGACCTTGATTTGGACTCTTGGGCAATTGGTCTATCGGAATTACTTTAAAATGAATGCCATTTATATTCAAAATTTAAAATTTTTCAATTCATAATTTATATTTTAAATTATATCGTTTTAGTAGGAAGTTAAGTAAATCATATTTTATTCTTTACGTTTGTTGCGCTGATAAAATACGATTATATTTATTAATCGTAAATAAGTGGTATCACTAATTCTAAAATTAAATATTAATATACTTATACACTTTTATGATCATATTGTTTTTTTTTTTTTGCAAGGTATTAATTTCTAATTCAGTTTCATCCATAATAAATGGCCTCTTGAAATGGCTTGACCCACAGATCCCCGACTCTGGATCCGCCCCTGCGTCCGTCTTATTATTTGTATTATTATTACGTGTATTGACGCCTATTTATTGATATATTTATTTAATTATTATGATTATATTAGACCAAGCGGTCGCTTATTATTCTATTTATAAACGTTTATATATTTATAACCAAAAACAATTGTCTGTTATTATTACTATTATTATTATACTAGGGATGGTAGCTTAATAATCCTATCCTCTCGGCCGTTAAGGCTCATTAATTTATTATTTATTAAAGTCGAATGCGAGCCAAACATCATTATGTATTAACATTACAATTGTACCGATTGACGATATTATAATTACAAAGCTATAAGCCATTGTTCTTAATATTATAATTAGTTAGCTGTAATATCGCAAGATAATAACAAAATAAAAACAAAAGTAATCGATTAATTTTTATCATTTTTTTATAATTATTATTTTGTTTAGGAAATTCCTGAATACAGAAGAGTCACTAAGCTGTTGAACATGTTTGCACCTCATAACGTTACGTTTTGGTTTTTGTACTACAATCTGATGCCACTTATGGATTACACAAATTGGCTTCCACCGTACCGAGGTAAAAATATTCTAAAGAAACGCTTTCGCTACCTTATTAATTAGGTGTGAAACTTGTTTGATAATGTTTGGTTAACTGCGGTTATTGTTATTACATGTTGTCTACATGGTTACTTATACCACATCATTGTAACCGAATGGTTCAAAAATGATATGTTGTTCTAAAAAATTAAAATATTTTCTTATACGGACAGGGTAGACATTACATTCTATACCTGGTCGATTTACATGCTAATCCACTGAAGTAGTGTTTTCGGTTGGTCTAAAACATGTCAATGTACACTGTCATGTTTTTGACGTAGTTTTTTACTCATCAAGTAAATACGATACATTGAGATTGGACAGTGGCTGGATTATATCGCGCTGAGACGTGGACCTGATTTGTTACATTGTCCCGCTTGATGGCTGTAAATCTTTGGTCCATATAGCGTAACATTCAAACCGTAACAATCTCAAGTCTTCATTTTTTTATTTAAAATAATTGTGAACATTCAATTTTTTGTTCCAAACGACCTTAAGAAAAATTACTTATACCAACATTCGTACGCCTGGCTGATATCGATTGACACGTTTATTTATATTATGGTAAAAGGATAAAAAAAAAAAGTAAAAAAACAATAGAATAAATTAGAACTATTTTGCTGTTTACACTCGATGGTTAACCTCGATTACCGATTTCGGAACTATTGATAGCGTTGTTGATTCAAGGAAGTGTTTCGGTTTTTTCTCAAACATGTGTTGAAGTGCTTTTAGCACGTTCGAACGATTAAGTTTCGATGAATTACGTTTTAATCGTTTTGATTGATATAAGAAATATAAAACAGCGACTATTGTTATTGGACAATAGAACTATTTCCTTATAAGTTCGACGGCTGAACAGATATTTCCTGTACGATATTCGTTCCATTGTTTGCGATAAAAGCCCAACGACGTACATATAATGTAAATGTAAACCACCTATATGGGACATCAGTAACGCGTAGTATAACGATTTCGAAATTACTCATAATACGACTTCGACGTGAACGACACAGACGGGTGTGTGGAAGGAGATTCGATAAAAATAAATCACAGTAGAAAAAGTGCCTATCACGACCTGGTATACATAGCCTGGTCGTATTTCGAACGATAATATATTATTATTATGTGTTTATGAAACAATCATATATAACAGAGCATCGCGTAATGATATGCACAATTAGTCAAGCTCTGAGACTTGTTCTCCTTTCTGTTAGGCGTGATAATTTTGGTATCACTTTTATTCAGCGCCTGATCGAAGGACAAGTTGATGCCCCAAGGCTTCTTGGAGAACTTAGTTTTTGTATTCCTTGTAATACTAGGCTTCAATATACTTTTTATATACCCACCAATAAATCTAACTTCTCCAGGAATGTCCCGCTTTAAAGGATGATGCATATTGCAAATAATCATATAGACTATTAAACCATATTTAGTACGAAGGCTCACATCCTATTTCATATAATTTACACCACGTTTGTTTATTTATTTACTTACTATTTTCTTTTTCCTCTCTCTCATATTAAAGAAAGTATAAGGTATGCATCCTATACGAGGATGTTGTTATATGTTTTTATCTATAATCTATGTACTTTCTGTCTGTTAATTTCGTAAAAGCCGTTTGGCGTTGATTATAATATAATATAATAATTACGTGCATATTATTTTTGTTTTTACATATTATTATTGTTACTCGTCATACGTTGCAACAATCATATATATGCATATAATACGACCTATAAATGTTAAACGCGCATATAATATCGAAGACTTCGTATTTCATACTCACACCTATAAGCTCTCAGACACACATGTGATGCTATTAAAAATCCGTTTTATTATTTGTAAAAGACTAAATTTTTTTATTACTAAACAGCCTAAAAGTAGCTTTTAGTTCTGATACTTAAAACCGTAAGAAATATTATTCTTCTCACAAATGAGCAACACTTTTTCTGTAAAACAATCGTATCGAAAAATTAAAACTGAAACAATAGTTTTCATTATTTCAAAAACAACAGTCGTTACGAAAAATAATGGAAAGTGAGATATTATCTCAATATTCAAAAAAAATTTTACTAGTAAAAATGCCAAATGTAATTCGTAAAACATAATAATTACTCATGAAAATCTAGATTTATAGAATATAGAGTTCAAAAAAAAAAAAAAAAAAATATCAACGTTTTATAGTCATAAAATGTTTAATATTTTTTTCATACTATACTTATTCTACCCTTGGCGTTGCAGCACACGCGATGGTTGTCGGCTCGCAGCACTTTGTAACTTTCGACCAGAGACATTACGACTTCAAAGGCCGCTGTTCGTATCTTCTAGCCAACGATTTCGTCGGACAAGAGTTTTCACTGGTACTCAGTTACGAATCGGAAATCAAAGGCCAATATACTCTGTTGCTATTGCTGGGACACGATACGATTTCGATAAATCTTCAGCGCAAGGTACATTTTCGCCATGATAAATTACATTAAAATGGCAAACGGTATAATGTTTTATCGTACAGAACAGACGTTTGGATAATCTCTAATCTCTATGTGATTAAATCATGCTAACAGCTACGGCTTCGACGAGCAAAGGTGTACACGTATATGCGTACTGGATACCATACGGATATAATATATTTTAAAAATGCGAATTTTTTAATACATAGTGCGCTACTTGACGTGAAAAGTGACGTAACTGTTGAACGGACAATGATTAGGTCATGACAAAAATGCAAGTTACGTACTATTTCTTATACGTTTGCAATGGGGCAGTTTGGGTTTTCGAATAAAAAAAATTTTGAATTAGTCAATTGTTTCCGATCATAAGATAGTAAAATGTATGATATTTGAATTGATTTGAAGGGCTTTGTGTCTTTGTGTATATAGATATTGACTATGAAGTTGTGGCATTTAAAATATTCAACCGAGCTCTTACATAGTAAACTAAAATTATATATCATAAGATCTATACATTTTAAGTACAGTCTATATGTATTATTCATGCTTTTAAGTACGTGTTCATAAAAAAATGTTACTAAGGACTTTTAAGAAATTTTAAATGTAGCTTAACATAAAAATAAAAAAAAAAAAAATTAATAACTTAACACTTAAACTGCACCAAAGATATTTTGTACTTATTTTATACTTGACGAATAATATTATGTAATTATTTAAAAAATCTATAGCAATTATTTCATAATAATATGATAAAATATTTTTGAAAGTATTAAAATTAAATCTAATCAGCCTTGAATATTCTCATAAGTTAAAAATCAAAATAACTCATTGTATTCCATAACTTTTACAACCGGATGAAATTCACTTCAAATAAGTAAAAAAAAAAAAAAAATTAAAATAAATAAATTGAGTGTAGGCATAAATAACTCAATTACAGATCAGAATATTCATCAAAATAAATTTCAATTATACATATTAAAAACTAAAATTTCATTTAGCAAAATTTTATTAAATTTAATTGAATAGATATAATTATGAAAAATTAATATTTTTTCTAAATTAAAAAAAAAAAAAAAATAATGATATCGACTTGATAAGAGAAAACGATGCTTTGCGCTTTCACACTTAATTTTTCAACAGTCTATCAAGTTTTCGACGTTGAAAGGATAAAATAAAAATTCAGTTCAAATAATGAAATTTTTAGAACATTTTATTGCCAACGAACCGTTTTAACGTATAAGAAATGCATATGGTGCAGAACACCAATAATATCTCAGTTTCGTGCCTGAAACTTTGTTAACATTTATATTTTTCGGGATCACATATTTACGAACGAGTCAAAAACCAGGACCGTTAGCTTGGGTGAGGTGAGGGGGTGGATAAGGATGCGCTGCTGCTACGATTTTTTCCTCCTCGTGAGGTGTACCGTCGTCGTTTAAATACCACACATGCTTTCGTTTCAGGACGTGAAGGTTTTGCCCGACAGCGTCAAACAGCTGCCGTTGCAACTGAATGACACGATAATCTACTATGAGAACGAAATGCTCATTGTGGAAAGCATGAGGGGCATATCTTTGATATGCAACATGCGTTTCCAGTACTGCACTTTCCACATATCAGGTAATATTGCAAATAAATTTAATATTTCTTGCAGGTCACTTTTTTTTTCTGTTCCCGATGCAAATGTAATATGTCGTAAGAACTATACGTACCTCTTACGAAACACAAAACTAAATGTATTGATTTAATACAGATAAGATTCATTTGGAACTATTAACTGCACTAAAAAAAAAAACTCACCGACCTCCTTTAAATTTGTTTGAAAAAAAAAATTACACATCATTCATTAACATATTATTGTTATTCCAAATGGTTTTAAATAATTCGATATGTAAATATTTTCAATTACCATTCTGTACTTGTATTGTGATTTTATTAGGATATTGTTACAATATTTGATAAAACACCTAGATCAATTTCGTGTAGAAATATTCATTTGCACCCGAGAAGTATATTCAGTTGTTCTAGTAAAAACCAAAATAATAATTATACAACAACAATAATTAATCACGGCGCAATAAATAATAATAACAATGCGAAAATGCAATTTACGGAAACGCCACTAATGTAATACGTACACGCATACCAGTACTGGATATAGCGAGCGAACAATAAAATATTAAAATTAATGTGAGCACTTCGAGTTATACGGAATTTAAATTTAAATCTATGTTCTTCGTATCGTTTCGTAAAATTCAAGTTTGTGTTTTCGCCCGAGTACATAATGAACTCCAAGTGCGCTCATGAAACGTATTCGTTATTCTAACCGACGAACCGCCAAAAACAGGATGGTATTTCGGGAAAACCGCAGGACTGCTGGGCACTCTGGACAACGAGCCCAGTGACGATATGCTGTCGTCGAACGGCTACGTGGAATCGGACATTTTCAAGTTCACGGAGAGCTGGTCGTTGAACGAGAACAGTTGCAATTCGTACACGTCGTTGAGGAAATTGTCGCCTACCAGTCAAACCGTGGAAGTCTGCGACAGCTATTTCAAACACAAGACTTCGCCGTTGTTCACGTGCTTCTCCGTGGTAAATATAACGCTGTTTGTTTTTCCGTATCACCGGTAGACGTGATTATTTATGGTATTGCTGTAAATTTTTTTAAAATAATTTTACCGGGTTCGATTCTTCTTTAACTCTATTTTACATTGATTCTGTTTCCAATAATAACCGATAACATTATTTGGCTACCGGTGGCAGTCTTCGTATTTTCCGAATTGTAAAACACGAACAGACGAACAGATAACGTTCGATTTAAGCTTACCCGAAATATACCATATTATTAGCACTTGAGTTCCTAATATTATTAAATAACCATCACTGTTACGACATCAAATATTTTATCGTTGATTTCGGTATCAAACGCGTAACTACGTTTATGAGATTGTTTATCACCTAAAGTTATTTTTTCACGGACCGTTGAAAATTTTGATATATTAATTTTACCTTGAGAATCGACCAAACGTTTTTTTTGTTTTTTTTTTTCTTCTGTATTTCTATATTTGTCATGGATTTCGTTACATTATACTCGTATAAGCGTGTTGTAACCGTTGATCGTTTTTTGTTGTGATTTTCTCAAAGTTATTCATTATCTACCGTTAAATCTGTTAAATATCTTCATTAAATTATGTGATTGTTGTATTAACGTTTTAATTATAATATAATTTCAAAAAGATTCGAAAAAAATGTTTAATTTTTTAATTAGTTAATTTAATTTTTCATCATGGCAATTCCGAGGAATTCGCCTTTTCACTAATGGGCAGTAAAATATTTATAAGATCTTTCTTTTTCATACGGAGCCGAGAAGAGCTGTATCAGAACGGAAAAACGCTGTTTTCATTGTATACCGTTAAAAATGTAGACTCTCGTGGATTTGTTGTGTTTTTTCGTTTTGTTTTCTTGCATCTTGACGGTCTTATATTTAAACGTATCCAGCTATCCTGTGCGGAAACACCTTATTCGACCGACTGTATCAATACTTTCGAACACATCGGATCCATATTAAATATTCAGTGTTAAATTATAATTATATATAGAACTGTTATTAACTGCAAAATAATATTTGACTTATAGATTGCGTGTACGCAATATTAATAATAAATCGAGTAAAATTATAAAAATGTTCATTGCCAATTAGCACTGCCGAATATTAGAGCTCAATTCGACTATTATTATTTTTTATTTATTTTTCCATATAACCGAATAACGGAATTATTCACATATTTTATATTCCTGTGGATATTTTTTAAACGTTAGACGAACAGACAAAAAATAATCTTCGTGCGCTCCAGATATTATGAACGTTATTTTGACGATTACGTGTTTGATCCGTGCAGATAAATCCCAGCCCGTACTACGAGCTGTGCCTGAGGTCCGCCAACAAGAACGAAACGTGCACGTCGGCTACGGCGTACAGCGAGATGTGCTCCATAGAGAATCTGCCGGTCCGGATACCGACGAGCTGCGTCAAGTTAGTGGACTCATCGATACCGTGTACGGTGGTGGTTTTCAAACCGGCATTGTCTGTGCGATGATAAAAATAACTTATAATCTCTCTATAACACCCTGCAAGTTAAACCCGACGGAGAAAGCAAAAGAAGTATTTAAAAAGTTCGTTACGGCACGTGCGCTGTGAACATTATGCGGGAAGCACAGCCGTGTTCGGAAAAAAAAAAAAAAAATGTTTGAAAATCACTGCCGTGTCGGGCGTAGGCGGGCATAGATCGATTGGCTCCGTAATGGTAATGTTTTTTTTTTTTTTTCTATAACACCGCGTCCGTGTTTCGCAGATGTCACGGGGCCAACGGCACGGAGATCACCGAAGGCGAGTTTTTGCATTTCAACGGCAGCCACGTGCCGTCGTCCGCCGACATTGTGTTCATCGTCGAGGCCAAGGAGTGCAACAGAAACCTGACGGAAAAGCGGAACGTGCACACCCTGCTCACGATAATGGTCAAAGAGTTGCACGACGTGGGCATGACGGGAAACAGGTACCACTACACCGTGTTCTGCACGGGGATAGGTCTCGCAATCGGTGGCGGAGGTGACGACCGATAAGCGTGAGAGGGGAGGGGGTGGAGATGGAAGAATGTTTACCTGCACTTTTCGTATAAATAAACAATATCCCTTTGCTGTACAAAAAATAAGCACAATTGTTTTCGTCAGTGTAATAATGAGCGTGCAAACAGTTAGGCGAAATATCCGAATAAAATACTTTTGATGTTTAGAAAACTCGTCGTTCACGAATAATTCTTCAATTTGTAAATATTATTGGATACAGGTGTATATGCGTTTAGGATTTCCTAAAGTGATGCGTTTTTTTTACGGATGTTTAAATATGGATGCCCAACTAATAATTTTGATTTCATCGCCTTTAATATCAGGTACGATTAAGTATGGATAACACGCCATTGGTGACAAATACGATTACGTATTGTGTAACACTGGCATGGTGGCTGACTGTTATATATAATAAATATAATAAATATATATATATAAAGACTCGTTCCAACATCATGTTAGTGTCTTAGTCGATTGGCAAGTATTCATGGTTGTTGTATAAATATAGATAATTTTGTTTAATTTTCATCATTCAACTTCACGCCATTGATACGAAAAATAGAAATTATAAATAGCCAACTAAATGAATATAGACGTATTTATTTGAAAATTTACCAATTAATGTTTATGTCTGGACACGTTTATAACCTTTAGTAAATCACCAAATTATAAAATAAGTTATCGTAGTCTAATTAAGAGAAATTTAAGTTAATATTTTCTTGGGCGTATATGATTTTTAGTTACTTCGTACGGAAATTGTGAAGAAATCTTTTAAAAATAATTAAAAATACATTTTTTTTTTAAACAATAAGTATTAATTATCATATTATCTTAGAACGAAACGCCTATTTTTGTTATTATAAACAACTTAACTACACATCGGTTGAAAATGAAATTTGACAGATTGATAGTTTATTATAACCGTGCCCGAGTGACTTTAAAGTTGATACATTTACAACGCAAATTATAAAAGGTAGTAAAATATTCTCAATAGAACGCTTGTTTTTTATTATTTTTATTATCATAAAATCATCATCATTATCATAATTATCATCATTATTAAATATTTACAATGAAATTAAATTTTATCCAGTGATGGCCAGTAAATGATCCCAGTTGTGTCCCATTCTGCTATAATTTTATGGTTTATGATTTCAATGATAGGGTAGTAAGATAAGGTCGATACGAAGTGCCGACTATGATTAAGTAATTAAAAAATAAAATAAGAATGTAAATGCGTAGAATCGAATAGGAAAATAAAATTTATGTTCCAGTTGTTGTTGAGACAAAAAATAACTATAACAAATCTTGATTAAACGACTTCTACCTGTTAATTATTTATTTTTTATTATTTTATTATTCAGTTATTATTATCAACAATGATTAAATAAAACATGATATCGTTTTTTGCGATCTCTATAACCATGAATATATATTATTAATGATAAGTAATATTCGGTTAACAAAACACCTTTGCTTTTTTAGATTTTCGGCAGTTTTCTTCGGAGGAGACGGCATCTTTGATGAACCTCACAGCATTGTCGTCAACAACCAAGTTTTTACTAGTCAAACATTGTTCTTGCAGTATTTGAACAACATACAAATCGGTGCGCTCACGTGAAAAAAAAAACATTAGTAAATTTTTCCTATAAAGTTAAATATATTTTTTTTCAGGCGACGGCAATTCCGACGTGTTCAATGCGATTAAGTTCGCGTCAAAATTGCAATTCAGAATGGGACACTCCATAATATTTATACTGATTCCATGCAGTAGCTGTGATCCCTTGAATATGATGGTAACCATGATTACCAGCGTTATATTTATCACCTTTGAACCGCAAGCATAGATAATATATTAACACGGGTGTATGTAATTATTGAATGTACAGTGCATCCCTGAGTCATATATTACACAATTATAGCGCGACACTCTGATTTTTCAACGTATTTAAATTTTATTTTCAAATCAATGAAGCAGTTAGCAATTGGTCACCGGTAGCACTGTTATTCTTTATTAGCTTTCAGTTAGCCGACTTCAAAGAAGAAAAAAAGACTCGTGCACGTTATTACAATATTAAATTAAATGTATGCTGTTTAGTGCACTTTTAAACATTTGTATTTTTAATTAAATTAATATATCGATTTGCAACACAATCTGAATGAACATAAACATAGGGTCTGCGTATTTCATTTCCATTGTTCAAAAAATAATTTTCTTTTCCACTCGAATTTGATGTACTCGTACCTTTTTCAAATATTTTTTTTTTTTTCATAATCCATTTGAAAAACGTTGCGCGTGTGAGATCAACATCCATCGCGCGTTTGTGCACACCAGCAAATAACTATAATAACAATATTATTATTATTATTATATAATAACATTCGTGTTTTTCTAGTTGGACTATTCTGTTATCAACCACATAATCACGGAGAAAAGTATCAAGTTACACGTTTTAATGGACAAGCCGTTCGTCATGGATAAGTCACGATCGGGCAGCTCGTTATTCGGTCAGTGTGTTAATACGATTTTATTTCACGTCTTACATTTAGACCAGTGGTATAGGTAAGGTAAGGGGAGTTGGGACTTTACATTGACGAAATCTCATATAGTAAATCAATGAGTAATATTCGAAATAATTATTATCTAAATGTATCAAACCTTCTTCATAAATAATCTTTACCAACGCCTTCGGTTTAGACGTATTCGTAAGTAGATGGTTATATGGTGATGATAATGTACAAACGTGGCGTTCCACGTACTAAAATCCCCTTGACCTCTCCTAATGGCAATATTGCGAACAAGTCGCGTGATCGCAAGTCGATCGTCGTTCAATACAATTAAAAATGAAAGTTTTTCCCAAGACAACTTTTGTGTATTAAAATGTTCGACCCTATATAGTGTCAGGTAAAATTTGGGGCAGAAATTTTATTAATTTTCGAATAGTAGAGATGTAAAATTTACTTTTTAGAAAAATAATTATGTTTTAAAGTATGTTAATATACCTTAATAGGTGTGTCAATTATTTTCGTTTTTATTATTTGCAAATAATTTAAAATAAACAAAACAATTATTTTTATCCTAAATTTTGTATCCTTATTTTTATACTAAAACTAGTTAAGAAAACTTTTTATCAACTTACACATGTTCAACACAGATTTAAGATTATAATGCATATTTAAGTGTGTGTAATTATAAAACGATTAATTTATTGACGAAAATTGATTTTTGCTTAAAAATATTTATGAAATATTCTACACCCAAATCACATCAGATACTGATAATGAAATACTTCAATGCTTAAAAAATTAACACAAACATTTTGTTACATACTTTATGTTATACTTTTAAGTATCTTTACCGAAGACGTTGGATTATATAAATCCAAAAAGTTTTTTTAAATGATCTATTATCGCCAAATACCATGTGATTTTTTTCTTTTTATAACACTATTATTCGTTTCGCAGACCCTGCGAAATAGTAGTCATTACACCATTATCATGCGACCGATCTGTCGGCCGATTAATGACAAATGTTATCTCGGCAATATGTCGAAGACGTAGCGTAACGATTTCCAATCGACCGTGTTCCGTTAGTGGGAGCTTAAAGGTTGAAGATGTGCCACGATCTGCCTGCACAATATAACATTATATTTATAGCTATGCTACAACAATATGCAGACACGTAACGGGGCATAACGTTAAACTATCGCCTTCGTAGTTTAAAAATAACAAAAATAAATAATAATAGTTACAAATACAATATTATATTTTAAAATCGGCGAATCGTATTATAATATTCACATAAGAGCGTACTGCAGTAAACAGTAGTGGTAGCAGCAGAGGTATTGCGATATAATGCAAAAATTCGTATCGCGATGTATGTAAACATCGCGAGGCATTACGCTTGTTACCAATGCGGCACAAATTTGAATAAAACTTCGAGTTTTTGTCACGGGTATTGATTAATCTCAAGAATTAGAGCGCTTCAATTTTCAGTTATCGCAATATACTGAGGTTTTAATATGTGCGCGTAATAGTCGTGTGAGTCGATCAGTCGAATATAAAATATTTTTTTAATTGTCTATTTCTTTTTAAGATTAATATCGAATATCCATAAATCGTTTGTATGATAAACGGAATTTTTCGAACGATCATCGTATATACAGATATATGCCGTAGGGAATACATAATTTAACGACTGTAAAAGCTAAAAAGTTCATCATTTAAAATTTCATGCCGATCTTTCACTTAATAAATTAAGTAATTTTATATTTTTTTTTTAATTCTTGTAAATTAATATAACCGAAAGTGTTCGATAATATGAATTTGTTTTTAAGTTATATTCAAAATATCAACTTAACGTATGGTACATTTTTTCAATTTATATTTATTCTGAATTTTGAAGTTAAAATTCCGAAAAATAAGAATAATTTTCTACTCGAAAAAATCACATTTTTACAAAAAAATTGAATTTCGTACGAATCGGCGATCGAGCTTGAATCGTAGTACCACATTAATGTACGATTTCATAACTTTACATTTTTTTATTTATCTCTTATATTTTTTAACTTGAAACACAAATATTCAAATTGTTACCGACTTTAAAATTTTCAAAATAGATACGTACCATCAAGGTTTTTTCGGGCAGAATGAAAAAGTTGAATTAGTTAAAGTCATGTGAAGGCATTTGTTTCAGTTTTCTTATTAGAGTAAACATCAAAAACTAGGAGGCAGATTCCCTCACTTTCCTCAAGTTAATCGTAAATCAAGCAAAATCCGTTGCACTGTTGAAAACTATAACATTTTAATCTCTTAAAAATACAATTATATTTGTGAATTTTGAAAAACAATGTGGTCGCAAAAACAATTTCAATGGAAAAAAATGAACTCTTAAGCCTAAAGTCCAAATTATCGATTAACATTCAGGCCAATAATGGACGAAATTTGCATAGGGTCACGCGTATATAAATCCCTTGCTGACCGATGCGTAGGAGAGCTGATAAGTAAGTACAATAAATGCGTACGAATTATACGTGCCTATTCTCCGGGGGTGTGGGGCTTAAGTATCCCTAAGAAATAAGTGAATTTATAAATTTATAAAAATACATATATTTTGAATATATAATTATACTATTATATTATTATAAATACAAATTAAATTATTCACAAGCACATGATATAAATTACTGTTTTCATTCTCTGTACATTTGCAGCAAGTATCTTATGATTTTTTTTTCTTTTTTTTCTTCTATTGGGGGATCGAGACCTAGAACCCCATACTTTCTCCCCCAAAAATACGCTACCGCGTGCAAGTAAATCACTAAGGCTCGCTCGTGAGAGGGTTATCGTGATGTACATTAAGTAACGCAGTGAAAGAGTGCAAAGACCTCGAGCGTGCGCGGGCCTGCGCAATACACGCTGTATGCACAGAAGGACGGTGAATGTACGTAATATGGTAATAGTATGATATATGTATACATTTCAATCGTACGGAACTGCCGCTAACCGTGGTTATACGCAGTGCTCAAGTAAGCGTATAGAGAACAGTGGTCCATCTTGACGGTATGACATCACTTAGATACGCATAAAATATACGACACAAACGCGCGTACAAAGTTGGTTTGTTAAATATTAATCGTCTTTATGTTATAACTGTACATAGGGTGATTTTTGAGCAGGCATAATAATTATGTTTGACAAACGCATCTCGTCGAATACGGATTTGTTGAAATATTGTACGTGTACAATGTAAGCCTATATTTTCCAACAAATACATGGATAATGACAGCTCTTAGGGTGTATCCCGTGGCGATTTTGAATTTTGTGTTTGAAATGAAAACATTTATGCTTTAAATATATTTACTATACACTATATTATTCATTTTATTATATATTTACAAAATTATTTGTACGATCAGTTAACTTTTCTAAAGTTGTTTTTGTAAGGTGATCAATATTTGTACCAGCACTTTCGGAATTATTCAAATCTATTTATAAAGGACCTATTGTAATTTCTTTGAACGGTACAACAGAATAAATATTTATTTTCAATGATATAATGTAATTTTTCATTTTATCAAGTCGTTATTTGCTACTATTTCGAAACACATGTATTTTATTTAAAGAAAAGTTAGTTTACAAAATACTTTGCACTTTTCAAACGCAACTTTAAATTTGAATAATTTCAAAAGTTATTATCAATAATTACAGAAAAATTATTTGTTTAAAAAAAAATCGGTATTCCCATTTGAGAAAATAAAATTTAATATTTCTACAAAAAAACTAACCTAAAGAGTTAAAGAGTTATTAAAAAAAATCTAAGTATTATAAAATATTATAATTTCGTAATACGCATATATTTTGAATAAATTAAAAAAGTCAGAAAAAATCATAGTATCAAAAAAAAAGATGAGCAAGTTTAAAAAATTACTCTGTATATTAACACATCGAATAATTTAATTGCGGCGTTTTTTAAACATTGTTGAGTCCTATAAAAAAAAAGGATACAAAAGGAAAATATATATATGTATATATATAGAGAGAGAGAAAGAGAGAGAGAGAGAGAGACTGAGAGAAAGTATATTCTATTTCGCTCGTGCGGCGATTTCAACAGTGTGACGGTGATTATATTTTAATACAGTACAAGTTTGTGCCTTTATAAACGTGCAGATAATACCGTGCGTCGGAAAGAAGAACATAATTATTATATCACCGACCGATAGTCTAATAATATAATATTACGATGTATTTATATTACACATAACATCGTCGGGTCGTCGATTGTCGATGATCGACACGCTAAATGATTTATGTGTACGATGTGGCTGTTCAACAATATTATTGACTTAATATTATTGCGTAGTGCATGCGTGTGCGACTATATTTCGATTTGAAGTGCCGTCAGTTTTCAGTTTTTTCTAGACTATGGCAGTCTATGTTAATGGTTTTATAAAATACATATTTAAATTTTGATGATGCGCCGAATTTAGAATAGCTAAACTCTAGATTGTGACTAATGAATGAGTTACCCCCCTCACCCCAAATGATGACACTGTCGGCTAGTAAGAACGTATAATTATATTACAACCGTGTTTGACCTTCGTATTTTGTTTTTTTTTCTTCAGGTATCGACGCCGAAACCGCGTACACGAGAAACGACTACAAGGCACTTAAGGGAGACATGGGCCTCAGAAAACAGGTGAAACTGAAAAACACGCTGGGACTCTGTACGCCGCTCGTTTTGGAGTCGAACGGTTTGTTGTTTAAATATTGGTATTAAATCGAATACGCGAACTCGTACCACTCGTCGTATCGTATATATATATATATCATATAGGTTGCGTGGAGTGAAAAGAAATTGTAATTTCGTCGCTGCGATAGGGACAAAATGATTGAACATAAAAACTCAAATATTTGGTTTTTAATAATTTGAAAACCTTCTACAATTAAGCATTCTAAAACTCTGTAAGCTCTAATACACGTTAAAGTTAAAATTCATGGATCCTAGTCCCTGTCTTAAAAAATATGAATGCTCCAAATTAATATTCGATTTACGAGTTTTTAGTTTTGCGATAAAAATAAATTAGTTAAAAAATATGTTTTCGCTGTAATTTTTTTGAAAACGTGTTTTTCTCTAAGTTCAAAAGTAATAATTTACGGTTTTTATGATTGTTAATGCTTAAAATGAAAAATGAAAACAAGAGGTTAACTCTTTGAATAATTTAAATAACAATTGTAATTGCTCTAACGTAATAATTAATGTGTTTGAATACAATTTCAATTATAATTCTGACATAAATATTTATGCCACATTAGAGTACATAAATATGTTTTAATGTCGAGAGAATATTAATTTAATTTTGTTTTTGAAATAAAAAAATATAAAATTCTTTTAATGTTACGAAATTTATTTTCGTAATACATTTTCTTGTGTTAAACTACATTTGTCGATAACAATTTTTAAAAAAAAATGTAGTTTCTAATTATTTCCATTTGTTTTGATTTTTATACTCTAATATATTCATTTGTAGTACTTTACCGGATTTTTTAAACACTTTTCAAGTCAGGAATAATCATTCGACCCTGAATAATACTGAAATACAAGCATGTCAAAGCAAAGTAAAAATAAAATATAGATAAATAGTTGACCTATAAACATAATCGAAAAAGTATTGTAGATAGTAAGTATAGTACCTATTATCATATAGACGATGAAAAAAATAGTTGCACCCAAAATAAATACATAAAATCTTTTCCACTAATGACCTTAATGATTATTTCTAGAAGAAATTATTATTAACTAGGTACATATTGTCTACAGTTATATATTCGTTTAAAAGTTTTTCTTTCCAACTTAATCCCATATTACGTTCACGTTAATTAAATATACTCTTATTATATTTGCAGCACCATCAAAATAAATCAAAAATCAACAACATAGCAATATTCACTTTAAAAATCTTCCTTTTGAAATACTTTAACAGTAATATTATTAAATTAAAAAGTTTTTTTTATCAAATTAATTCTGTTAAGTAAACAAGTGTTGTAATTTTGATTCTTTATTATTTTAAATAAATACTCTAAAATACATATTTTATCACTACACTAAATAACGGTAAAATACCAAAGTAGTCTATTTTTTAAATCGTTAAGTTTACTCTTATCATGTTATCTATATTTTCAAAATAAAAGTCAAAATAAATCAGGATTTCTAGTCCGATGACGATAACATTACATAATATTTTACTCTATAAAATCATTTACCGTTATATTATTCATGCTAAATATTTCAAATTATATATTTTCTATACGGCTGTATATTCCTATGAAATATTCATATTAAGAAAATAACTAAAGCCAGATCGATCCGATGTTTATTGTATTTAAAAGATAGCTGGTTACTTTTTACATCAAAACCCGTATCTATACATTATTTATTCTACTTTTTCCATAATTTTTGTTTTTATCCATGTTAATTCTTATATACAATTTGAAAAATATATTAAGAGTACCTATACTGCATTTGAGTATAACTTATTATTAATTTGCGCTGCACACCTACCTACGACATCAGGTGTGAGTTTTTTATGACGATAAAAATTAAAATTTTGTGTATCAGGTTCTCTATTCACCTCGAAGAAAATGGAAACCGACAATTTAAATTTGGTAAAAAAATTCTTACAAGTTTTCGCTAAAAGGATAGCGAAGACGGCGTCGGCACCGAAATGTCAATCGTGCGAGTGCAACTCGAACGATGACGGAATCAGTTACATGGACTGCTATCCTTGTTCGTACCCTACGCCCATTAACATTGAATACGTAAGTATTAACAACAGTATAGTTAGTATGTTAGATAGTATTATTTACCATAACATATTAGATTTATAATAATAGTATAATTTATAATGCGTATACTGTATGAATGCTTATTATATTATATTTTATGTAATATTATTATGCGAGTTAACGAACAAAACAAATCCTTGATACTACTTACGACAGCTGCGACACATTTCATGAATTCAATATCTATAAATGTATATGTATTATAAGAAATAACGTATTCCCGTTCTGAAACGAGTTCAGATCTACCGTATACGGACGTCGTAGGATTGTTTCTTTAGACCGAATGAAAAAAAAAATGACTGTACAGTAGAGGTTTCTCGGGCGTGCGTCTTATTCAGCGAACCCAAAGTCCGAAAATGTGTTGTCTCCTCTCGACGACCCAACCGATAATCGAATTTGCGTTAAACGCAAGGCTATGAGTTAACAACTCAATGAACCAAGTTAATTTGAACTTATCAATTTTAAGCGCTAATTTCAGTGTTTATCAACTTAATATTAACTTCCCTTGTTCACTCTCGCGTTAACTCTCTATTTAAAACGAAGTTCCTAATATTCATAGAGCCATCCCGATTTAATTGGTTCTAAATTTCTAACGAAACATGTTTGTTTATTTTTTTTTCCTGTGGTGAAATCATGTAAAATTTGTTCTAAAGAGTCATAATTGTATGTTATTACGGGATAAAAATTGATTAAAAAATAAATAAAATCGAGTATTTAGGAACTAAATCTATCGAAATTGAGACAAAGTTAACGCTTACCTAATCAACTCGAATTCGATATTGTTGGGACATTTATTTTGATTTAAACTCGTTATCGCTTAAATCGATACGAAAATTAACTTTACCCTGTTTAAAAATAACTTTAACACGCCCTGTGTAGTCCAAATTTGTATATAGGTCGTCAATTCGCATTAGAACGATCGGTTATCTATTTGAACGGTTTAAAAACCACTGGCGTGTAAATGGAATAAATTACTGTCGCCGTACTTTCTTAGGCATGCGCAGGCTAACGGCGTTTTCCTGCGACGATACCATCGTCGATCTCGAAGCGGTTGGATATGTCGTCATTATAACCGTTTTGGAGAACACTGCCGCAACATCGGCACATAGGGTCCACAGTTTACTATTATTATTAATATAGTCGTTCTGTATAAACGTATAATATACATTGCAACAAGCACAAATTTTGCGGCGTAAACACATACGGTATTTGTACAATGCTGTCTGTATACAGAAGGCTTGGAGCACGGTTGCATTACTCGAAATACATGACTGATAAACTTTTATTAAATATTTAATATATTTCTACTTGAAAAAATTTTAATTTTTCAATAATAGAAGTGTACAACTAAAAATGGGCGGTATTTGCGTATTTAATTTAAAAAAACTATTTGTCGAAAGAAAACGGCCATTACTGGGTGAATCCCTTCTCTAACGCAATGTTTTCAGAGAATTTTTTTCAACGACAAATAAAGATTTAAGAAATAACCTAGATTTTACGGTAATTTTTTATTTCTGAGCTCAAATGTTTGATGTCTATAATTTCGCATAATGATGACGGAGCGTTAAAATAACTACGACAAAATCACGGATGTTCCATTCAATAAATGGCTATGTGATGAGACGTCGTATTACCTAACCTTTATTTTTTAGTAAAAATAATAACATTCACTAGTTTGGATTAACTTTAATTTATTTGTCGAATAGTCTACTGTAGATAGTTGGTATGATAGTTATTTATTTATTCCAACTTCAGTTTTCATTAAACATATGCTCGGACGTTAATAAAGAAAAAATGGATAGATGTAAGACGACAACTAACAATATGTTGTAAATTACTTATAGTTTCAGCTTTGTAAATACTTAAGTGTTTCGTACGTCAAAACATAAATCGCATCGCCAGAATCTGGAATATTTAGTAAATTTTTAAAATCTCAACTTATGTATTAGCCATTGTTAAAAACCAAAGCACCAATACGGGTTTTAATTTTGTTACACGTTTCAAATTCAAAATCGTTTGAAATTATATACATTTGATTGATATGTTTTATCTTTAAAAAGTGTAATAGACAACGTACTCCCTCGAAATAATGGCTAACAAAACAGGAAGAGGATGCGCGTTTTGACAGTATATTATCATCCTCTGGTTATTATCACAATTTTTGTACGATGCAAAACTACTAAACGCGTAGAATACTATAAAAAAAAAGTCTAAAAATCCTACAGAAAATGTAAATACGAGGTAAAATTGAATGTAAATGAATAGGTGTTGTTTTATTTAACGCAACAATTACGCTACAGCAATGTCGATGCGTCAAAAGCAAGAGAAAAAATTAATTAATTAATTAATTAATACAATAACACAGAATATTACACATGATTGTACCTTTAGGCTTTAATATGCACATCTATTAGGTATTCATCGCCTGTAGCTATGCGAGTTGTGTGTACACAAATCGTTTAATCACCGAAAACGAACGGAAATTAAATATGTTATGTACCCCGATGTTCTCACACCGGGTCTGCACCGTTTCACGTATTATATTCAGACAGTGGATAATATTGGAAATTATTTGCGCAAGACCAATCGCCGTGTTTGACAACCCCGATATGGCTTGTACACTTCAAGCGCGCACGAAACCCTGCTGAAATGATTTGTTACTGGTAACGATCATTTAAAAATAAACCTTGTGAAAATATTATAATTGAATATAAACGCGATTGTACTAAAATCGGCATCGATCAAATACGAACTATCAACACTAATACGCGTAATGCATTAACACATTCTTTTGCGGGAAAAGAAAAAAAAATGAAATGAGTTCGCATATTATATTTAAATTTGAGACAGTATGTGGAAGTTTTTATTTAGAACTGTATACTTTGTGACTACTGCGAATAAAACTTATCATTTTTATTACTTCTGTTTATGTAAATACTTTATTTATCCCACGCTCGAAACGTTTTATTTCTTCAATTTGGAATAAAACTTTGATTATTTTTTTCCTTCTAAAATGGGTTTACACCGAAAAGGCTTCATGCCTAAACAATTCAAGCCTCAGGGACCATTATAGAGATTGTGTCGTTCATTTTATTTTTTTTATAATTCAAGCTATAAAAAGTAGATAATTTATGCCGAAAATAATATCGATATCGGGATACCTTATTATGCGCATAACAATGACGATGACTAGGTATATTTAGTAACAATGTTTATTACGACGACTCCAAAAACTGTACATTTTATAATGATATATAATTTATTATTTATTATTTTTACTACATATTTATTCAAAAACAATTTATTGAGGTACAATGTATATAGACATTGAAAAATTTAAAAAAATAAAAATTGCACCCTTATTACTATCTTCTTCTTCTTCTTTTTCTTAGGGTTTATTGGGCCTTCTAGACCATCCCGTCTCACAAATTTTATTACTATCAATAGTTTTAAAATTCATTTATAAAAACACTTTTTTTTATATAATATTTATATATATATATATATATATATATAAACTTTACGTTATACCACGCGTTTCGGTCGACAAATGTACTAGTTATTTTTCGAGCACATCAACGTGCAATAAGATAAGCTTTTGAATGTAACAATTAACTTTAAAATTATATAGGTATACAACATTCGTTTATACAAAATACATTATTATTAGTACATTATATAGTGAGGTTTTTACCCACTATAAGTGTGTGGTATTTGACTGTACGATATACTTACCTGGTAATCCATTAAGTGCGCGGTTTTTGTATACCAACATTTTTGGGATTAAAATCAAATGTGTGCGATTTTTGGATGCAACCATTTAGAAAAAATATTGGATAACTTATTCAGTTTCATTGGCATAAATCAACCGATAAGGTTGTCTTACCGATGAATTGAACAAACTATGTAATTTATAAATTTAATCTTTTTCTTTTAATGTATACTACATATACAATAGAATTATATATTTACTTTTAACTTAAACATGTTTACATCGTCATTATTTTTTTTTTATAAAATTGATCTTTGCTGGTTTTTCGTTTCGGACAATCTTACATCCGTATCTACCATATTTCCATAAAATATTTAATTAAATAAAACTATATGGATTTAAAACAATAAGAAAAAACATTCAAGGGCAATCATACTCGTATCAATTTCCATTTTAGATATGTTAATATAATGAAAAAACATAAATTTCATAATCTTTATCACTTAACGCAGCGGTTCCCAAAGTTTGGGAAGCACTGACTTAACGTATTAAAAAAACAACTAGGTAATAAATTCGGAACACCATAAAGCACCTTATGTTATTTACTCAAATTACCTTTAACTTTATACTTGCAAAACAATTACTTGAATTAAATGGTACCGATAAAAAATATGGATTTTTATCAACATTTACCCTCATAGCATGTAGTTAAATGTTATATATAAATTGACTCCAATAAGTTACATTCTTTATAACTGTTAAAAATAAAATTGTATTAAAATCTCCACTTCATATGGTTCAGTGCAATTACAATTGCATATTCTAAATTATTCTGAAAGTTTATCATATTTGTTCAAATTTTATCAAATCAAAACTAGGTGAAGGGTAATATATTGCATATACTCGGTTATATATACTATGTATATATAGCTATATTATGTATACATAGTTTTGATTATATTATTTTACTTTCAAGCCATAGCATTTTATTTTTTATATGTGATTTCATTATTTTTATTTTAAATTTAATATTATTTCATTAACATTTGCGTTACTAATAATTCAATTTTAATTATTTCAACCTATATTCGATAAATTCAAATCGTGGGCTTTCTTTTAAAATCATATGTTTAATCATGCTTTTAAAATTTGAAAAATTGAAATGTTTTCAACTAACCACATTGTAGCTTTAAAAAAATACGCGTAATTAAAGAATTAAAACAAAAACCAGAAATTTCAATAGATGAGTGAGTACATTTTGATGCAACTCGATGTGTTGAAAAATAATTCACTGAAATAAACCAGCGACACAGCTTAAAGTTGATTTACTTGTTTAGCCTGTTCGTGTGAGCAACTCATTCACTCAACTGTTGTGCTAGAAAACGACCAGGAAAATCGACACTTTATCGTGCCATACGAGAATATTCATAACGATGAAAACCCATGCTCGTGTTATGTGTTTGCTAACCTTTTAACGGGTCACATGAAAATTTTCATTAGATGAAAATCGTTTTTGCGCGCATACATGCGTGTGTGTGTGTGTGTGTGTGTGTGTGTGTGTGTGTGTGTGAAAACATTTTGGCCTAATATGCATAATAGTATGTCTTTAGCTCACCGTATATATAGTAATTCGCACCGCACAAAGTCCTACTACGCATGTGATGTTTGTTCAAAGAAAATTTCCATCGATAGTAGATCAACAGAGCACCAATGCTTCCCAACCGTTATGCTCATCACATTTCTCGGTAACATACAAATATTATAACTTTGCATCCTAAAAATCGAAAATACATATATCATATTTCAACGGACTTGATATTTTCGAATAGGTTATTAGATAATAATTTTTGCTTACAAATTGTACATTGATATAATAATTATTAACATCAGTAACACACTACATCTAATGGCGTAGACAGATATTCTAATTTCCCTCTCGTACCGAGATAATAGTGAGACGTTTTAAACGAGATATTATGACAGCTGGTATTGAACATGACAAACCGATAAACCAGGCTCACAAAATCACCCGAACCACCTAAATTATTTATTATGATCAATTTTAATAATTTACAATTCGAAGGTTATAATAATATTGTGATGGTATTTTATTTAGAACACAATTTAGAAACGTATCGCGTGCCATTTCAGAAATAATACTTTTCGGATTTTGGTATTCTAAACTATGTGTTTAATCGTACTTGAGCTGTTCAAAATATTAAATAATGGATTTAACTTTGCAGCTACTCATATTCTAATATGTCTCATTTTATTAAGACACATGAACCTAAACTAATTACTAAAATACAAACAAATAAATTATTTTATCTTAATTGGAACGTTTGATTTTAATTACAAATTAAACAAAACCACTAAAAACGTAGATTAATTTCCTACATTCTTAGAACTTCTAACAAAAGCATTATAATAATAAACGTTCTGTTTGATTTTCATACCTCTGAGGTACTTTGAAATGTTTCAACTTGTTCCATAATTGAAGTTATACAACATTAGTAACTCACTGTTGTTATATTACATATTAAAAAATAATTAATTAAAGTTCACGAGAAATTGAAAAATGTCAAATATCGGTAGTGTTACCTAAAGGTAATAATATTAAATATTTGTTAAAAATCTATATTGAACATTTTGACATTTATTTATTTAAAAATCATAAGAAAAAATTCGTAAACATATATTAGTTTAATATACCACGGTTGTTGTCCAATAAATTCTAAAAATTAGCCAATACTGATATTGTTTATACCAACAGCCTTATTAAATCGATTGGCTACTGTGATTATTACGAATTAATTAATTTGACGTACAAATTGTGTACAAATAATGTATTAGACGTCTGTGGAAAATTTTCACCGTAAAAAAATTTAGTTCAATGAACCGATTGTAATAGGATATCATGGTCCATAACGATGCACAATGTAAACGAAATATTAGCTGATATTCAATCATTGAGTACAATTATGTAATCTCTACTTTGATCTAGCTCACCGACTTGAACGATTCGTTGTAGCCATAATTTATTATTGGTTAAGATATTGTAATTAACCATCGATACTTTAGTAATATTTGTAGTTTTACTCGCAACGTTTATGTCTATGACGATCAACAAGATACTGTAATACGTGATATTACAAATTTAAGTTAATACACGACAAACTGGATTGTTAGTAGCTAAAAGAATGAACTGAATAAATTAGTTATTATATAGATTTTTCAATCAAGCTTGTTTTATCATGTTCAGCAATCAATAATTATTAATAAACTCCTATTTGATTTTAAAATACGAGTGTAAATATTTTCAAAAATCAAAATATTGGGATTTCTCACTTCAAGCTGATCGTTTTTCCAGTTTATATTGTGCAACACACCAACACATATTCTAAGCGCACAAGTATTCCCAAACCTTTTGCAACGCGATACATCTATTTATTAGTTATTATGGGTTTCAGCACATTTTGAACAAATGCAGTACTCAATTATTTTCAAAAATAAGCAATTTAGGATTAGAGAAATGCATGCATTCATCGTAAAATATTACCTGTGGAACCGAAAAAATGTAAAAAATGTGTTTTTATCAAACCGTTTAGGAACACTAATAAAATAAGGTAGATAAAATGTTAAAACCGTTGTGATATGCTACTACGATATAAGGAAATACCGAAGTTGTTCGCGTGTTTAGTCTGCTGGGAATAAGCAATATTTTTGTTCGTGCAGCCGCATTCTCTATAATGGGCGTTTAAACCTTTCCCGCCCGGAACAAACTGCTGTACGTGTGCACGGAAATCGTATTTAGATGGGAGGGGGAGGGATCAGGGAAGTGTCCTTAAGACTTGGAATTCACCGGAAAGTTCACCGAAAGTTGCGTCCGACGAATATCAACCTGTACTAGTATAGAGACGGTACAGTGTAGCGGTCGAGGAAAACGGACCGCGCACCGGAGAAATTACGCGATAATAAAGGGCGACGAACGGAATGAAACGATAACCCGGTAACCGGTCGGTCCCGGGTACCGGAGTCGGGACGAAGCAACACGTGCCGGCCGCCGCCCGTGCCACGAGCTCGTCGGTGGCAGTTGTGCCTTAGCGGTGCTCGCGGTCGAGCCGAGTAGGAGGAGAACACGACGAGTCCGTTCAAGGCGAAACATAAGATTTCCTGGTAGTAGTGCAACAGTCGTCAGAGAAGTCGTGTACTTTTTTCTTGTATGTTTTTACGACGTGCGCGCGCCACTCGAAACGACAGGCACGACCGGTTGCGCAACGATCGTTATAATAATATCATCACCGCAATTAGATTTACGAGTGTGGTGGATGTGCGTGGAAACGTCAACGCTACCGCGCGAGGAATCGGGAACGGTTTAAGATGTGACATTTTTCGAACACACTGACTTACAGTTACCGATGAAAATCGATTTAAATTCACCTTAGACATCACTTGTATGACTTTTCCCCGCGTTCGGTATAAACGGTATTCGTTGACATAAACAAATGTTTTCGTGACACCAAACGAATAAGATTTTAATACACGCTTTCATATTCCGTATTACTCGCTCGTTGTACTTCACAGTGACAGCACGTCGCAGTGCACACAATAATTGTGTACAGTTATTGTTAAGCCCTGGTCGCGCGCGTTACACTGTCTTCAGCAGAATCGGATTTCAAAACGAAAATAAGTTAATTTAAATACATTTTAAGATCTAAAGAGAAACACCAATGGAATATGCGATTCGCGTCGTTTAGGAATCGTATAAAACGGTGTATTTATCGTATAACTTTGTAGACCGTGCGGTAGAATCAGAAAAACTCTCGTTATGACAATAAATATCAGAATTCGATAACGGCAATACCTTAAAAATTTTGAAGGGCCATTTTTTCGGGAGCCAAACGATGTCGTATTTAATTTTGGACGCATGCCACTGCTCAGCAACGGCTTGTCCAAAATCTTTTTAAATTACTATAAGATATGTTGGTATAATATGTTATCGTATTGAGGCGTACGGACGTGATAAACAACCGAGGAATTTATAATAAACAAACGATGAGTTTTTTTTTATCAAGGAAAATTTAGGTTAACTTTGGCTGCGAGCTATCAAGTTTGTAATTTTTACGCCATAACGGCTGTTAAACATCGTTAAATAGTGGTATTTTTGACAGAATTCAACCGCGCTAGCATAAGCTTAAAGTTCATAAATCAATTCCACATAATATGTCTTTAAACATACGTAATTATATCATTTTAATGTATTTGTTTTTTTTTCAGCCTTTTGACGACGATTTCACTGGACCGCTTGTCTTTTCGTACGATTCTCGTAACGGGTTCTACGACGACAACATTAATTAAATAACCATTACACGTATGCTGCTACAATAGTTAGACGCGGAGGATACTCTCTAATTCTTTAATCATTACATTTTCGTTATATTATTATTATATATTATGTACATTTTTATTTTATTGTCCTTTCACATTTTAATTCGTAAATAAATTATTGATTCATTCGTTTACATTAAGAACGCTCATACACTGCAAAAAAAAAAAACCCGTATAGTCGGTAAATAAGACGGAATTTGGATCTTCTCCTCTGCAGCAGGATCAAAGGCCAGATCAACCGAAACTTCGAAATTTGAATATTTATTATACAGTTACATAGGTACATTGCATTAGATATTGATATTAAATTATCGAAAAAAAGTATTAAACGAGCGAAAACAACTAAATAAAAATGTCTCATTACCGCACAATGACCGAGGACGCTCCTTCCTCAATTTTACCGTCGGCTGCCACAATGTTAATCAAAATAACCTAACAAGCGTCTGTCCTACTATCGATAAACGGCTCAACTGGTAAAAATCGTGAAAAACTGTTTGCTCTCAATAACAGTCTTTTCACGTCTAAGGATGTACAGTTTATGTCACTATTATACAATTAAAGAAGTACCTAATAATATCGTAATTAGTTTGGTTGAACATATTATTAATAAAAATAAAATAAAAATAAAAAACATATAAATATAATCAACACACTTTGATTTAATTAATTTAATTATTAAAATTAAAATGTTTATTGCAATATTTATAATCAATGCTATGCTATATTGTGAAACAACTCGAAATTGAAAATGTTTGAGTCACTAGTTCACGAACCAGCATTTACACGTAGTCATTTATAGAATGGTATCACTTATACGGGTTGATATGATACTATAATGTGTTACGGTGCTTGTACAAGTTATACACAAGGTTTAAAGTGGCAAAAAATATCAGTGGGAACTCTAATTCATGTACCATTCTCAGCGTTCCATATAATTCCATTCAATTCCTTGGTAGGTAATTAATTATAAATTGATATGTATATTAGGAGATGTTGCTAATGAATAATTTCCTGCACAAACCTTTCATGTGCTGTAAAAATGTATATACGTATAAATTACTTACTTATTGTTTTAAATAACAAATTGTAAATTTCTTTTAATAAAATGAAAAAAAATTAATAAACGTATATATAAGTAAATATTACTATACTCGTATAATTAATAATTTATATTTAATATTAGTTTTGTTTGTAGTATAATATGCAATACCTAGTGACTAAAATTAAAATGCAACTAAAATGCATAGCCAATTTTTCTTCCGTTTTATTGTGTAAATTATTTTTAACCAACTGTTGAACATTTCAATAAAATTCTTGGAGAAATGTTTAAGGTGACGCTTTATAAGCGCTGTGAGTGGTTGGGGACTTAATCCCCCCCCCTTTAAGCATTATAGATTATTCATAATGTACGTTTTTACAAGTACTTAGATTACAATACTTCGACTTATGATAGAAACAACTATAGAAAACGCGGAATGGTTAAAAATCATCAAAAAATTTTTAATGATCACAGAATATGGACCACAATAGCAAATAAATTATTTTATGTGATATTGATATCTTAAAAATGTATATTTACATTAGAATATTTTTTCGTAAAAATTTGTATAACTGTCTGCGAAATGATTAGAAACCTATAATCAGTGGCGTATTTTTGGGAGCAGGGGGTTTCCAGGTCTCCACTCCTTTTCCAGAGGAAAAGAGAAAAAATTCGAAAGTCATAAATAACTTGCTATGAAAGTACAGAAAAAAAGAACATTAATTTTTATCATGTGATTGTAATAATTGTATAAAAATAAATTACTTGTATATGTATTATAGGTATTATATTTATTTTTTATAATATTATGAAATTACTTATATTTTAGAAAAATTTTAACTCTTCCATCCAAAAAAAGAAAAATTGAAAACACACCACAAACTACACTGATACAGTAACATCAATCATCTTAAAACGTAGTTTCGTATTCAACAACAGGTGAATCAAGTGGCATTTATAGAGGGGGGTGCCTAGTGGGCTACATCCCCCCCTCCGAAATGTTTTAAAAAACTAATAAATGATTTTAAACGTATGTTATATTTTAATGGTGCTTTATGTTTATTTAGAATTTACGTCCAACGTCAAATCGTTTTGGGACATTCTGTAAATGAAATGTAGATAAGTACCACTGTGTCTTGTTAGTAATTCTTAGATAGCAGTGGTAATTTATTTCTGTCCATAGTAGCCCCTCCCGAAAATATTTTCTATATACACCACTAGGTGGACCCTTACTTATTCCTTTTGAAGCATTTTATGCAATAAGTTTGTAAAATATCTTTTTATCTAACGAAAGTAACCATTATAAATTGATACGAGATATTTTCGTTTTTGAATGGCGACTCAACATCTATCTTTCATTCTGCCTTGTAATTTTTATGTTTACGATTTATAACGAAAAAATATCAAAAATACATATTATTAGATAAAACTGGTGACTAAAAGTTTGAAAACAAATTATTTTAGTGATACTTAAACAACCACTTTGCTAATAATGTCATCTATCGTTTTTATGAATTCCTAAGTTGTATTTTGAACATATAAGATATTTTAAAAATTATCCACTTCTCTTTATTTGCTTTTTTATGATATCCGAAGAAAAATGTCAAAAATTTAAAAATACATAGTGTTAGATGCAATACCTAAACTTATTATAGTTTCAAAGTATAAAATAATAAAATGACATTTGTGTTACCTCTTTGCTAATCATACCTTTTTTCCAATTCATAATCTGTATTATAAGTATATTAAGTGACATATAAAAAGTCTGAAAAATATTTTTTTTTCAACTTTTTTTCGAAATTTTTCTGAAGACTACATTTTCAAGTAATACTGGAGTCCCAATTACTATTTGGTTTAATAGTAAAATAGTAATTTATTACTATTGATTCAATAATCCGAGTATGTTTTTTTTTCGTAATGTATAAGTGAATATTTCAGGCAGTAGGTAATATCACAACAATAGGGTGTCGGAAACGTAACTAAGAAAAAATAAAAATACATCGCTTATGTCAACGATATTTAAATATTATTATATGATCGTAAAATTACATAGATTTTATATTTCATAGTTATTTTTTTTCCACGTGATACGGGCGGCAAGCAATCCAATTTCGATAACGTTATCTAATTTTAGCGGTTCACCTATCATGCAGCGAACACAACTGCGGCGATGACTTTGTTCCCGTGCACAATTTAATCTCGCACGGTTTTTGTAGCTTTCTAAATTCGAACGGCATACATTTTCAAAACTATATATCTGAGTGAAGCAGGGGCGTATTTAAACTTACTTCTATGGGGAGGGGGGGGACTCAAATTTTTCTTTAATTGAGGCTCAAAATTTACAAGTAAAATTTTTGGTAATATTTAAATCAGGTGAATCCTTAATATTTGTGTTTTTTTTTTTTATGTAATGCAGGATCCACTTAGAATGAAATTTTGTATAATTCTTTTTTAACACTTGTCTGTGTTTTGAAAGTTTTGCATGTGTTTTATTTGATTTTTCACTAAGTATGGACCAGTACTTAAATCAAAATAATATATATTGATTACCGATATGGGACATTTAAACGTTTTAAGCAATTGAGCGTTATAAATAATTTAAACGTTATTAAATTTAAGCGTTTAAACGTTATACAAATTTAAACGTTTAAACGTTATACAAATTTAAACGTTTAAAAATTTTTCCGTTTAGCGTTTTCCGTTATTTAAATTAGTGTAAAATTTGAAACGTTTTCTAATGTAGTATTTAGCAATCAATACTATGTAAAATAAAATTACATATTTTAAATATTTATTTAAATATTTAATTATTATATATATATTACCTTTAATCGGTGGTGTATTGGTAAATATATTTGTAGGTATACGCACTAAAAAAATATGGATATTAATCTTAAAATAAATTTTCTTGCTTTGCTCGACAATTTTTTTTCTCTTAAACGGTTCGAAAAAATTTAATTAATCCTTTGTAACTACATGTTTATAAATTCTATTAAAACTATAAAATATAACATCACAAGATATACATTTGTAGCGCGTTATAAATTGCATGATGCAGATTTAAGAACCATGGGCTGAATGTTCACACTCCATACTATTTTATTCAATGTTATTCACTACAGTTAACAAAATACATTAAACATAGCGTACACTGTAATCATCAACAACTAAATATTTCAATCAATTTCATGGTTCATAACAATTTTTTCCAATGAACTATTAAATTATTATTAGTTTTTTTTTGTTTTCGAGTTATTTTAGTAGCATATACCCGTAAAATAATATTTTACAGTGGCGTAGCCAGGAACATTTTATGGGGGGGGGGGGGGTTCAGCAAATTTAAACTTACCATACTTTACTTCATGGTATCGGATATTTACTTTTATTGTAAAAATATAACATATATCGACAAAATGTAATACATCAATTTATTAATTTTAAATAAATACAACTTATTAAAAATTGTTAATAAAATATATAACAATATATATAATGTCCGAATGTCAGGGTTAAAATAGTTATCACCTACAATACAATGTAATTAAAATACTAAATCAATTTTTCTTTTTTTTTTTGCTAATTCATCCAACACTACTTCTGGATTAACTTCAATTGTCCTGTGAATATTCAGCTGTGCTAATCCATTTAAACGGTTCTCTGCCATGGTATTTCTGAGATAAGTTTTCAATCGTCGCATTGTCGAAAATGACCTTTCTGCAGTAGCTGTTGTGATGGGTAAAGTTGCCACGATTTTTAACAGTTTGTAGACATTTGGATAGTCATTTTCATTACAATTATTAAGTAATTCTGATAAATTAGATGGAATTTTAGGTATATTTTGTAGAGAGGTTGGCCATAATTTAAATTCTGCAATAACTACTAAAGGAGAAAAAGATGGTAATAATTGAGAATATTTTTTTACTAAATCTGTTATGTCATTTTCAAAAGTATCTGAAATATTTTTCTCTTTAATTGGAAACAAACAATGAAAGCTCTTCAACAAAGATTTATGTTTTAATAAACGATCACTTATCATTGTTATAAAATTATCTAAATATGGAATAAATATTGTCACCCTGTAATATTCCTCAAGCGTGGTAGCAGGTGTATTATCTCGATGTACTTGTTTGCCAACACGACGAGGCAAAGACAAATTGATATTGGAATTCTTACAAAATATTTCTGCTCTTTGAAATATTAATTTAAATTCTTTTTCAACATTTTTTCTCATTTCTTTTAAAACATTTAAAAAATTATCAGCCATATTAATAACATGAGATAAATCAAATCCAGGTGTTTGTAAAAGTTTATTTAATGGTAAACTAACAGAAAATACTGTTGATATTATGTGTATAGTAATCTGGAACTCAAAGTTATTAATCACAAAATGCAATTGATTTGCTGATGAAGATGTATTTTTATCGGGCCAATTGCTTATTTTTTCTAGAGCATCAATCACAGCATCTTGTAACTCTAGGTAAATTATTACCGAGTCATGGCGCTGAACCCAACGTGTTGAACATAATTGTTTTAATTTTGTATGAGATGAAATAGGTACAATATTTTGAATAGATGTAGTTAAAATATTTTGTCTTTTTGGCGAGTTAAAAAAATTATAAATTGACTCAACACTTCCTAAACAGTTTCTAATTGAAGTAATATTACATGCATCAGAAATAGCAAGATTCAGACTATGAGATGCACAATGTACGTATATTGCTAGTGGACATTTTTCTTGGACATAAACGTGGGCACCATGAAATACACCACTCATTGCGGCAGCACCATCATACCCTTGGCCAATCATGTAATTGTAATCTATCCCAATCAAATCAAGCGAAGTTAACAGTGTACTAGCAAGGCCTTTACCCGTGACATCTGTTACCGGAACAAACAGTAGAAAATCTTCATTAATTTGACCATTATAAAAATACCTCGCACACAAAGAAAAATGTTCGATACCAGAAATATCAGATGTTTCATCTGCTAATATCGAAAAACATTTTGCTTCATTAATTTTATTAACTATTTTTTTTAAAATAATGTCCCCACACGTTGAAATTATTTCATTAGCAATCATTGGACTTGTATAGGAAGCATTTTTAGAACAGGTTTCTAAGTGCGTTTTTAATGCTACATCACCACTATTAGCACGAAATCTCAACAATGAACGAAAATTTCCATCATTTTCATTAGGCTCTGTTAAATTCAAGGGTCCACTATCTCTATGACCTCTTAAAGAAAGATTTTGTCTACCACAAAAAATGATTGTTTCAATGATAGGAATAAGATTTTTTCTATTTTCAATTATTTTACGTTTTATTCCCGAATCTATTTGAATATCTATAGGTTCAACTTTTTTTTCTAAAATTTGTTTGGCACATGTTCCTTTTAGAATGCAAGTTTTATGATATTCACAATTTGTATGATTATTAAATACTTCAATAGCATCTTTCCAGTTTTTAAATGGTTTCTTTACCAAATTACCAAAAGTTTGTTTTCCAACACCTCCACCCTCTCCAGCAAACAAAACACAATATTTACAGTACGCTCCATCATCTTTTTCAGAATATGCCAACCAATTTCATCGTTTAAACCAACACCGTTGAAATTTTAAATTTCTCTTACCACTACTAGGAAAGATATAACAATCATCTGGTACCCAAATATCTGAAACCGTATTTATACAATGGCTTTTTTTATTGATAATCTCTCCGATATCGGTCGATCTACAAACTATTTCCTTTTGAATTATTTGAACGGGAATCTTATCATTATCATTTTGACTATTATTTGTATTAATCTCGGTATTTTTAAGTCTGGTTGACATTAGTTTTTTTGAATCAGGCAAAAAAAAAAAGAATTAATTTTTCTAGTCTGCTTATTTGTTAGAGAATTTGCCTATAATAATAAATAATAATAATTAATAATAATAATAACAATTTAGGGAATCAATAAGATATTACGTATAATATATAATTTAATTTCATATTTCGAAGCAGAATATTTTTCGGAATAAAAATAAAATTTCAGACGAATAGTTTATGAGTTTGGCCGTTTCACATGGGCGTGTATCATACGCGACGCATCGTCCGCGCTCGTTTTTAGTTTACATTAATTAAGTTCATACATGTGAAACGGCCCTTATACCTAACTATTAAAGTTAGGAAACTAGGAACTAAACTAGAAACATAAATATAAGTTATTAAAATATTGTCTGTCCAATCATTTAGGTATATTAAAAATTAAATGCTAAAAATAACTTACCATAATGGAATGTTTAGTCGTCTTAAAATTATGTCAAATTAAAATAAAACAAATAAAATAGAATACAAGTGTCAAATATAAACGAATAATGATATTAAATTAAGTAAAACAGTGAGACACCAACAGGCAACGACCAACTAATAACTATTAGTTTTACACAATAATGTGCTGGTGTTAAATGATCGGCGAGCCGCGAATGCAATAGGTTAGAAATTAGTTAAAATTTGAACACAGATAATGATATCGCTTTTATCGCTGTCATCGGGACCAGACGACCAATTCAGCGAACCGATTTAGAATCAACCGTTGTAGAAAACCTAAATAATATGTTTCCAAGCAAAAATGATCAAAGTAGTAAATATAATCATAATATAATATTATTATGACTTGTGTGTGTGTGTGTGTGTGTAATACGTTTATAGTCTTTATTCAAACTATTAATATAATTTCCAAGTCAAAATTCTAAAATATAAAAATGTTAAAGAAATAACCGTGTTTCATCAGTTTCATGTAAAAGTTAATTTACCATCTCAGGATCATGGGGGGGTTCTGACCCCCAAAACCCCCCCATGGATACGCCACTGATATTTTACATTAGGTATACGCCGAAAATCGAAAATCTGCTGATGTGTATACGCCGTATACCCACGTATACGTACAAATACACCACTGCCTTGAACGATATTTTCTTTTTGTAATTCTCATAACTCATAACTTATAAATAAAGTAATTATGTTGGTTATATAAGAACAACAAAATGCACATACCACGTAAAATATGTATTTATTGTTAATTTATAACTTATGTATAGTGTATTACTACTAATGTTTCACCGGTGTTCACCGAAATTATTTTTAAAGACCAGGCCACACGGGTTCCGCGCCCACAGTATCCAACGTATTTTCAGAAAACATATTTATAAATTATAATTGTTTATAAACGTTTTAGTGCCCTGGTATGGACACTAAGTGTCGGGCCACACGATGCGGTACCACCGGATCCGGTGGAATTATTTTAAAAATACATTATATTATGTTATTGATTTTATTTTGGTCTACACGACACGTTTTCGCCGGTTCCGGCAGGTCTCTACTGCAACATATTGCAGTGATACCGAATCGGCAACACCGGACAAACTCCAAATATACATTATTTTAGTATGGTTCGACCACAGGATCCGGCAGTGTCGTATGCGGCGAACTTATTTATTTTGTTTTATGCAAGTAAAAAAAAAATATATACATATATTTAATAAAAATGTTCGATTACGAAAAACTAATAGGTGAAGTTGAATCGAAACCATGTTTATGGAATATTGGTGATAGCAATTACCATAATAAACATTACAAAGCTTTGGCTTGGACTTCGATCTGTGAAACGATTTATAATAACTGGAATGAGCTTTCAGCTACAGAAAAGGATGAAGGAGGTAAGTTATTAGTAGATACGGTAATTAATTACGTTATATAATCATAAAATAGTGAAAATAATTATTTGTATTTTAAGATATAATAAAATTAAATACATTTCATAAATTGAATATTGTAATAATAACCTGCACAATATCAAAAACTAAAAAAAACCTTAAATAAACATACTTAAATATATAAATAAATAAATTTTAGGTAATCTCCTAGATATAAATTAAATATAAATAAAATAATACATAATAAATAATTTTGTGTAATCTGTTTCATCATAAAATAAGTAAAATGTAAAATGTCAAATAAAAATATTTACTGTAACTTATATATAAAACATTAACTTCAATAACAATAATGTTTATTAATATTAACTTAAGGGAAATTTTCAAATATTTTCATAAAAGATAAAAAAATAATTTTCACATTCTATTTTTGGATGAACCCAATATTCCCTTACTTTAAGAGTAGAAATAATTGGTTCATCTAGTTCATCTGTGGCTTCCACGGCACATATTATATTCAGAAGTAAATTATCACACATGGTTAAGCTGTAACAACCTGCAACTGTATTTGACGATAACCAATATCATAATGACCAGTGACATAAATAGGAACTATAATTAGTAAATAAATAATTATTTTATTCTGCCGCATCCGGCGAAAATGCATAGTGTGGTTGAACATGACCTATCCGGTATCGTCGCAAATTTTTCCACCGCGTGCAGTGATACCGTATCGTGTGGCCCGGCACTAAAGTATCGTTATAAAATGATCCACATTAAAAAAATTTGAAATATTTATCTCACATATGATCGATCCAGGAAGGCGACCGCCTCCCATCGCCTCCCCTCTAAAATATGCCCCTGGAGTTAGGTCATTTCACATGTGAGCTGCAAGTTTGTCGCTATGCAATATGGCGTTATCCTAATATCGAACGTTCGATGTCGTAAGGCGTGCACGTGTGAGCTGTTCCTTCGTTTACTTTTACACTACTCCGGCATATATTTAAATAATATTTCATTATACTATCGTATGTAACGCTAAATGTGTGTTCTAAACGCAATAATTGTATAATGGGCGTCGTCAGTACGTATAATATTCCTACACGGCGGTGGCGATCGTTGGATTCGTTTAGCTGCAAATAGGCCTCGTGCGGTTTCTTTACAACACACCACTAAGTAAATAATTTTATTCATCCATCGGTTTAGACAAAAGTATTGTTGCGCAACGATAATGTCTGTCGCAAGACACGTCGATTTCCTTCGATACATTGTGTGTAATATTTGTTCGGCCGAGGACGCATCGTTCTTGTCGATCGTAATCGGTATTGAAGTCGACAGTTTACAGTCCAAACAATTTTTCGAGTGGTACGCATGACTTCGGAATAATATTAAAGATGTCGGTTGTTTGCCCGTTCGTCAGCAGCTGTAGTTGGTCCTCTGTGGGTAGACCCGTTCAACACGTATAGGTATTGCGTCGAATCACCAAACCGGCTGAAATCATTACATCCAAAAAGGACGAAAAGACAAAATCACTATACACACACGTAATTTTATTTAGAACAGCTTTTCCTGCTCGACACTATTCCTCGTTGTCTTACGATAACAATCAGTATGCTGAAGAACTTTATTACTTTGATCATGGGCAAAGCGAAAAGTTTTTTGACTATACATATATCGTTCCCTATGAAATAGTGTACTTTAAATGGTACGAAACTTTTCAAAACATCAAGAAAAACTGAAAGATATATTTCTTCTTGTGTGAAAAAATAGGTTTGTTATAGTAATGTAATGTATATTTGAATAATCGAATTGTTCGAATATCTGTATTCGATGCTACAATACTTAATTTGTTTTATCCGTTTTTTTCCATGACAAGCTTTTTATACTATTTATTATTAATAAGTAATCCATATCTACACAACTAAAGATAATGTATGTCAATAATTAATCGACCTAAACACGAAAATAGTTCTTATCTTGCAGGCACTTATTCGGAGTTAGCTTTATTTTACTCGTTATAGATGTATATTTTAACATACAATCATATGTGTCGTGCCGGGACCTAACGTTTTGCTTGTTGTAAGTAAATCTGGCTATAGTGATTTATAGTTTATACTGTATTAATAATAATTTAATTATGATATTCGAGTATTTTGCACAATTTTTATTTTTTGTATTTTAATTGCCCTGTCAAATAGTAAATATCACTGGCTTCAAATCTACTTCTCGCAGCCTTTATGCACCATAAGCCATATAATATTATTATTAAACGTTTTGTGTTGCGTGAAAACTTAAACGAATAATTTTCGTTACGTATTGTATTTTAGCATCGAATACTGATATTCGAATGTTAGAATATTCGGATATTCGAATCATTTACGATAGACCTATTCGAATATTCAAACATTCTAATAATCCCCATCACTAGTTTGTGGTTTAAGAATTGTTCAAAGCCCAAACTCAAAGGTATTTTACTAACTGTTAAGTGTTTAAAAGATATGTGATCCATTCAATAGTTAACAAAAGATTTTTAAGTGTAAAAAGCTATTCCTGAAGGTTTTTTATCAACTTATGGTTATAGCAAAATATATCAATGCTTACAATACAATTGATACATAACTCAACAGATTTAAGAATTTATTCTCGGAAAAAGTATTGAATTGTGGCTGCGATAAACCTGTGAAATACTATCGAATACTAACTAATACTAAGATTTTTTTTTCTCTGAGATTTCATGTTTTCAACATTTAAAGTCAATTGACATTGACTTAACTATAATCAAATTTTAATAATTTTTTATTTGTTTATTCTACATCAAAATGAAATATAATTAATACATTAAGAGTGTAAATTAATCTTTTATTAAATTTCATTAAAATACCATTAGGTACTATATTAGTTTAAGTAAGCAGTAAAAGTGCAAAGGTATTTAAATGTTTCAACGGCTACTGAATAATAAATTACAGTAAAATAAATTATGGTTATATACGTACTATATATTTTAATTCATGAATTTGAAAAAAAATGTGTACCTAGTTGTAAATAATGACAAAAACCGAAGTGAAATGTTTCATGTTCCTTAATCGCTATATATATGAATTTATATTCATACTTTACATTAAATTATTTTCCTGTTATTTGGCATGACTTCTTTCTCCCACTATCTAGGCACACAGAAACTCTCACCATAGGATATATGATACTAAAAATATAGATGTTATGTTATGTACGAATGTGACTTTATTTTGATAAGATACGAATTTAAACGATTCCTTAAACTTGTTTACGGTATGTTATTAAAATATAAAATATGTTTATTCGAAAATTTTTTCAACACTTCGATGAAATCTCGTCACACAACCAACTAAACGAATCTTTTAGTGCGTGAAGTTGTTAATGTAACATGTAACCGTACATTAGGGGTCGCTAACCCCAGTCGGTCGTGATCAACAGGTCGATGGTAATAAAAAGTTTTGGGATTGGTTATCTGCAAAACCAATGCCAGGTATCACATTATCAAGCATATATTTTTTTTTTTACTTTTGCTGTGTACTTTAAAAATATTAAATTATTATTATTTATTATTATACTTATGATTAGCATTAAGAAACAATAAATAAATAAATAAATGTATATTATTTATATTATATAAATATGTAATATAAACCTTTTTCTTTTGTTCATCAAACAAATTTCCTCAAAGAATCTTCTAGATGTCGATCACTGAACACTTAAAATTTCAAATGTAGTTCTCTCGTTTGAAAAGGTTGCCAATCTCCGGATGTAGAGTATGATTTGTCGAGTATTATTTGCAAAACATGTTCAACGGTGCACAGACACACCGAAACGACCGTACTACTGTCGTATCGTGTGTTTATCAATACACACATGGTTATGTATACATGGATCCATTAAGTTGTAACCATTCGACTACGTGGAGGATTTATGCGTGTTGACACACGCCATACGAAACTCTTAAGGGAAGAGAGATAAAAACGAATTTTGTATAAATTAGTGTCTCCGTTTACGCGTTTTGTTCGTGTCACACAAAACAGACGGAGGAAAAGTGTTAACCGCCGCCGTCGCCACTGGGATTCGTATTGTATAATAAAGTAATACGCAGAGCTACTACTCAGCAGTGAAGTAGATCAACAGCATAGACGATCACTAATGAGTCAAAAAATTATTAATCAGCAACTCTAAGAATTTTCTTATTAGTCGTTTCATTGTTGTTAATGTAATGAGATAGTATTATAGTTTAAAAATCATATATTTGAACAGTATCCGTCTCTATAAGAATAATTATATGTGTTTATTCATATTCTATGCTGATAGAATATGATAGATTGTTTAAAATAATTGTTTTCACAACTTTGAGGAGTTTATCTTGAGTAATTTTTGCAATATATTGAATTATATTCACGTCATTGCTCTAGAAGTTTGTAATTTATGAGCTTGAAGAAATATATCCTCATGGTGTGATGAGAGATAATAGTAGAATTGTAGGCCTGTTTTACGTATGTTCTACGTTAACGATGTTACTTCAAATGTATTTAATATATTTGTATTAAATCTAGTAAAAAGAGTAGATTATTCAAAGTTTTTTAGGAGAAGTAAGCTTTGAAAAATTCACCTTGGCGCTAACACAGCTTTCCACGTAAAGGGTATTCGAGCATACGCTGAAAATGTGAAATTATCGGCTACCTCACCAATGTCGGAACTAAGGGGATGATGACGAAGATTCATCACCGGGCGTAAATTTCTTTTTGGAGGGTGTGATTTTTGTATTATGTAATATATTATTGACTACTAGTCTGATATATTTAACTATATTTTATCTTAAAAAATTACAAAAAATTGACGAAAAACTATATAAAAATTGCAACATTTAAGGCACACCGGTTTTTATTAAATCAAATTTTTGTTTTTATTATAACTCAATAAACAATAATCGTAGTAACTTTAAAACATCATTGAATGTTTTATGTCACTATTTTCTATAAATGATATTATTTTCAAAAATAGAATATAGATTTTTGTATAGTTTTTATAAAAATTTGACATTTTTATTTTGTCAAAGATTTCTTTTTAAAAAATGTTAATAAAATAAATTAAGACTTAAATATTGAACGCAAAATTGTTCTTACGTATCTTTTACCGATTAATGAAAAATAAATTAAGTCTTATTTAATAAAAAAAAATTATTAAGAGTGTTTTAATATTAAATTTTGATAAAACAATGAAAATCAACTGCATTTAAATAGTTTAAAATTCATTAAATTATCAGTTGTTATACTAAAAGTTTTAAAATAGAATATAAGATTTTCTTTGAAGTCAAAAAAAAAAAAAAAAAAAAAAAAATATATAACGAAAAGTTGCAGAAACGTTTTATAAGCGTACAAAATTAAATTATGAATAAATCAAATATTTCAACGAATTTCCATTAAACAATATAAGTTATTTAGTTAAAAGCATTTCATGGTTTTAAATTGTTTTGAAGAAATGTGTGCCGTTGATAGATACTTAACATTTTACGATT